ATACCATTACTTCGTGACAGAACATACTTTAGTGTCCCGATACCATTACTTTGTGACAGAACATACTTTAGTGTCCCGATACCATTACTTCGTGACAGAACATACTTTAGTTTCCCGATACCATTACTTCGTGACAGAACATACTTTAGTGTCCCGATACCATTACTTCGTGACAGAACATACTTTAGTGTCCCGATACCATTACTTCGTGACAGAACATACTTTAGTGTCCCGATACCATTACTTCGTGACAGAACATACTTTACTGTCCCGATACCATTACTTCGTGACTGAACATATTTAAGTGGCCCGATACCATTACTTCGTGACAGAACATACTTTAGTGTCCCGATACCATTACTTCCCGATACCATTACTTCGTGACAGAACATACTTTAGTGTCCCGATACCATTACTTCGTGACAGAACATACTTTACTGTCCCGATACCATTACTTCGTGACAGAACATACTTTAGTGTCCCGATACCATTACTTCGTGACAGAACATACTTTAGTGTCCCGATACCATACGTGACATTACTTCCCGATACCATTACTTCGTGACAGAACATACTTTAGTGTCCCGATACCATTACTTCGTGACAGAACATACTTTACTGTCCCGATACCATTACTTCGTGACAGAACATACTTTAGTGTCCCGATACCATTACTTCGTGACAGAACATACTTTAGTGTCCCGATACCATTACTTCGTGACAGAACATACTTAAGTGTCCCGATACCATTACTTCGTGACAGAACATACTTAAGTGTCCCGATACCATTACTTCGTGACAGAACATACTTAAGTGTCCCGATACCATTACTTCGTGACAGAACATACTTTAGTTTCCCGATACCATTCCTTCGTGACAGAACATACTTTAGTTACCCGATACCATTACTTCGTGACAGAACATACTTAAGTGTCCCGATGCCATTACTTCGTGACAGAACATACTTTAGTTTCCCGATACCATTACTTACCGAAATAACATAATATAGTTTCCCGTTAACATATATTTACTTTGTGACAGAACATACTTTAGTGTCCCGATACCATTACTTCGTGACAGAACATACTTTAGTTTCCCGATACCATATATTTTCTATGTGACAGAACATACTTTAGTGTCCCGATACCATTACTTCGTGACAGAACATACTTTACTGTCCCGATACCATTACTTCGTGACAGAACATACTTTACTGTCCCGATACCATTACTTCGTGACAGAACATACTTTAGTGTCCCGATACCATTACTTCGTGACAGAACATACTTTAGTGTCCCGATACCATTACTTCGTGACAGAACATACTTTTGTGTCCCGATACTATTACTTCGTGACAGAACATACTTTAGTGTCCCGAAAACATTACTTCTTGACAGAACATACTTTAGTGTCAACATACCATTACTTCGTGACAGAACATACTTTAGTTTCCCGATACCATTACTTCGTGACAGAACATACTTAAGTGTCCCGATACCATTACTTTGTGACAGAACATACTTTAGTGTCCCGATACCATTACTTCGTGACAGAACATACTTTACTGTCCCGATACCATTACTTCGTGACAGAACATACTTTACTGTCCCGATACCATTACTTCGTGACAGAACATACTTTAGTGTCCCGATACCATTACTTCGTGACAGAACATACTTTACTGTCCCGATACCATTACTTCGTGACAGAACATACTTTAGTTTCCCGATACCATTACTTCGTGACAGAACATACTTAACTGTCCCGATACCATTACTTCGTGACAGAACATACTTTAGTGTCCCGATACCATTACTTCGTGACAGAACATACTTTAGTTTCCGACACCATATATTTTCTACGTGACAGAACATATTTTAGTGTCCCGATACCATTACTTCGTGACAGAACATACTTTAGTGTCCCGATACCATCACTTCGTGACAAAATATACTTTAGTGTCCCGATACCATTACTTCGTGACAGAACATACTTTAGTGTCCCGATAGTGTCCCGATACCATTACTTCGTGACATTACTTAGTGTGACATTAGACAGAACATACTTTACTGTCCCGATACCATTACTTCGTGACAGAACATACTTTAGTGTTTCGATACCATTACTTCGTGACAGAACATACTTTAGTTACCCGCTACCATTACTTCGTGTCAGAACATACTTTACTGTGCCGATACCATTACTTCGTGACAGAACATACTTTAGTTTCCCGATACCATTATACCATTACGATACCATCACTTTGTGACAGAACATACTTTAGTGTCCCGATACCATTACTTCGTGACAGAATATACTTTAGTGTCCCGAAAACATTACTTCGTGACAGAACATACTTTACTGTCCCGATACAATCACTTCGTGACAAAATATACTTTAGTGTCCCGAAAACATTACTTCTTGACAGAACATACTTTAGTGTCCCGATACCATTACTTCGTGACAGAACATACTTTAGTGTCCCGATACCATTACTTCGTGACAGAACATACTTTAGTGTCCCGATACCATTACTTCGTGACAGAACATACTTTACTGTCCCGATACCATTACTTCGTGACAGAACATACTTTAGTGTCCCGATACCATTACTTCGTGACAGAACATACTTTAGTTTCCCGATACCATATATTTTCTACATGACAGAACATACTTTAGTTTCCCGATACCATTACTTCATGACAGAATATCCTTTAGTGTCCCGATACCATTACTTCATGACAGAATATCCTTTAGTGTCCCGATACCATTACTTCATGACAGAATATCCTTAAGTGTCCCGATACCATTACTTCGTGACTGAACATATTTAAGTGGCCCGATACCATCACTTTGTGACAGAACATACTTTAGTGTCCCGATACCATTACTTCGTGACAGAATATACTTTAGTGTCCCGAAAACATTACTTCGTGACAGAACATACTTTAGTTTCCCGATACCATATATTTTCTACGTGACAGAACATACTTTAGTGTCCCGATACCATTACTTCGTGACAGAACATACTTAAGTGTCCCGATACCATTACTTCGTGACTGAACATATTTAAGTGGCCCGATACCATCACTTTGTGACAGAATATATTTTAGTGTCCCGATACCAATACTTCGTGACAAAATATACTTTAGTGTCCCGAAAACATTACTTCGTGACAGAACATACTTTAGTTTCCCGATACCATTACTTCGTGACAGAACATACTTTAGTGTCCCGATACCATTACTTCGTGACAGAACATACTTTAGTTTCCCGATACCATTACTTCGTGACAGAACATACTTTAGTGTCCCGATACCATCACTTCGTGACAAAATATACTTTAGTGTCCCGAAAACATTACTTCTTGACAGAACATACTTTAGTGTTTCGATACCACTACTGAGAGAAAGTCACTGCAGTTAATATATACTACATTGTTTTGTCCTGTTATAGAATATACTGATATAGTAAATTTGTGCGAACCGTGCAGAAATGGAGTCAACGATATAGAGACAATACACATAACTGGCTCGAGACGGGCCGCAGGTCATTTTATACTGTATGTGCCTGGTCTGATTCCACAGTAACACTTGCATCAAAATACCTATTAAAAAGGTTTTTTTTATAATAATAATACTGATCATCATCCTCTTCGACAAAATAGACCCTTTGATGTAACACCAGCTTGTTTCTTCCTAAATTAATGTCCGAGATTCATTACCAATACCGGACGCCTCTTTTAAGTAAATTTGATTTTTTATTCATTCAAACTACAACACACAGTCTGGAGTTTGGGTCCACTTGACAACTTCATGAACCGGGCACGGGATTGTGAGAGAGTATGGACAGTCTGTGCCTGCCTCAGTTTAAATGTTGATAGAAATTTTCACTCAGTAATGATAACTGATGGTAGCGTACCAGGAAAGACTGACTCTGTAATGATAACTGATGGTAGCGTGCCAGGAAAGACTAACTCTGTAATGATAACTGATGGTAGCGTGCCAGGAAAGACCGACTCTGTAATGATAACTGATGGTAGCGTGCCAGGAAATACTGACTCTGTAAGGATAACTGATGGTAGCGTGCCAGGAAAGACTGACTCTGTAATGGTAACTGATGGTAGCGTGCCAGGAAAGACCGACTCTGTAATGATAACTGATGGTAGCGTGCCAGGAAATACTGACTCTGTAAGGATAACTGATGGTAGCGTGTCAGGAAAGACTGACTCTGTAAGGATAACTGATGGTAGCGTGCCAGGAAAGACTGACTCTGTAAGGATAACTGATGGTAGCGTGCCAGGAAAGACCGACTCTGTAAGGATAACTGATGGTAGCGTACCAGGAAAGATTAACTTTGTAATGATAACTGATGGTAGCGTACCAGGAAGGTAGCGTACCAGGAAAGACTAACTCTGTAATGATAACTGATGGTAGCGTACCAGGAAAGACCGACTCTGTAATGATAACTGATGGTAGCGTACCAGGAAAGACCGACTCTGTAATGATAACTGATGGTAGCGTACCAGGAAAGACTGACTCGGTAATGATAACTGATGGTAGCGTACCAGGAAATACTGACTCTGTAATGATAACTGATGGTAGCGTACCAGGAAATACTGACTCTGTAATGATAACTGATGGTAGCGTACCAGGAAATACTGACTCTGTAATTGTAACTGATGGTAGCGTACCAGGAAAGACTGACTCTGTAATGGTAACTGTTGGTAGCGTACCAGGAAAGACTGACTCTGTAATGATAACTGATGGTAGCGTACCAGGAAAGACTTGACTCTGTAATGGTAACTGTTGGTAGCGTACCAGGAAAGACTAACTCTGTAATGATAACTGATGGTAGCGTACCAGGAAAGACTGACTCTGTAATGGTAACTGATGGTAGCGTACCAGGAAAGACTGACTCTGTAATGGTAACTGTTGGTAGCGTACCAGGAAAGACCGACTCTGTAATGATAACTGATGGTAGCGTACCAGGAAAGACTGACTCGGTAATGATAACTGATGGTAGCGTACTAGGAAAGACTAAATCTTGATCACTTATGTTGTTCTCATAAATGAAACAAAACAAAAACAAAAAAAAATGTCAAGTAATCAGAAGAGGAAAACTAAAATGTGATAAGTTGAAAGATACATTTCTATTGTAGTAGTCGTGCTTCTTCGCATACCAAAACCACAACTCCGAGGGTTCGTTTAAGCGTTTATTTTCAGATAGTAATAAAAAAAACCTGCTACAGATACAACATATATTACTACGAATCACACCTATTACACACTAAGAATATCACAGAATCAATGAGTGTCATCCTGACCGTAGTCAGTTACTAATTTAACAATTACACTGTTAACTACATTCCTATAAATTATACAGAAATTACAGCTTAATTATAAATTAACGAATATATAATATTAGACATTAATACACATAAAATACCCACCTCTTCAATGCGAAGAAGGTTTTTTTTTCCCGGACGAAGTCCGCCGAGCACCAATTCTGGCTCGAAGCTTACACTATACAAAAGGAAAGTACGATACACATCAAAGTCTCCTTCTTTAAAACTATAGACCTATACGCTTATTACAAAATGTAAATTGACCACACCCAATATTTGAATTTACTAGATTCCGAAAACATTTACTTTTACTTGAAACAAAACTATTACGTAAATTAAATATATTATCAAATAGATACTATATTAAATTATACTCATAGTTACATACTAAGTATCGGGTACTTACATTACTCCTATAGCTAGTGTCCCACAAATAGCAATTATGACTAGGTAACTTGTTAATGTCGCCGCATCGGCCGCTCTGCCCAAATGACCAGTGCGCTCCCCGATCACCCAATATCCCCCGTAAATATACTAATAATAGATAAGACAGACTGGACAAACCGGTTTACAAATACAAACGTCACATCCATCTCGCGCTCCACTCTCATTTTCACGTGCCATACTCGCGCGCGCGCTAAAATCCATGTCGCAATGCGCCACGTACCGAATAATACGAAAGGTTGACTTCCGGTTCTGACACGCGAACGCCTAACGATAATATTAAAACAATAACAATTGCATATAGCACATATATTAAAATATGTCAAAATAACATTACTACACTATCATTTTGAACTGACAGTAATTTGTCATCAAGATGACCGCCAAATTTTATGTGTAATGCTATCGTCTACTGGTTATTATTTTTTTTTCGTGTTTTTTTTTTTTTTTCAAACTGCGTCTGCGACCGGTCGGGCTGCACTAAATTGACTTGAAACGTTGTTCACATAACGTAGAGTAGATGGCTTCGGAAAAGTTGTAGATGTGGAAGCTGTGAAATAGTAATTAGTACTTCCAGCGTGAGGTCAGAGTGAGGGCAATGTGTTAAGAAATTTCCTTATAAGGTTGTAAGGCGATATAACGCCAATAAATATTTAAACAGAGAAGGGTTCACCTGCGATTCTGGATGGTGAAAGTGCCCAATCAAAATGAAACATCTCACCATTAAAGTATGTTTAGGATATCAACTGCTATATTTTTCTTCTTCTAAAGAAAGTTCAATTATTACTGGTTTTAGTCTCTTATCTGTTCCAATATTCATTCTAGCTCTTATTATTTCTATCTTTTTTTCTTTCTTTTCTATTTTAAGAAATATGTCGTTTTTACATTCCCTTTTTAGCTTTTCACAAATATTCTTTATCTAAGTTCGGTAATATCGTTAATATGCAACACATCAGAAGAAATTATAAGATATTGACTTTAAAATATGTTCAATTTTCATTCTGAATCTTACAAAGTTATTATTCACTTGTATTTCAAAATTCAAAATGTGAATGTGTTCCTTTTTGGGTACTGTCCAATCTAAATACAATTTTCCCTGTTTTAAATATGCATTGATACCTTTCTTGTTTGATAGCAAAATAAAAACGCGACAGCTAATTTATCCTTGAAGAATTCTTGCACTCATGATATACAATCAAATAAAAAAAAAGTCAGACACAATATTTGATCTCATGCTTGTTTGTTTATTTCCCTCAATGTACCCCTCATACTAAAATAAGAAGCGATCACAACATATATTCTACTTCCGCTTCCGGTATTTTTCAGTGTTTGTTGTTTACACTTTGGGGGTTTGACTTCTAGTCGTTGTTTTAGAGAAAGTATTACATGTGTCATAGCTACATCTATGTAAGTACACCAGCCTGTGTCGTGATTAATTGTATATTTTCATACGATAAAATGTTTAGTTCACCTGGCCAATAACACAGCAGTTTTGTCTGTGACAGGTCTTCACTGTACGTGTTTCGTTTCCGTATATTGTCCGAAGAGTGCACGTTAGTGACAATATAGGCCTATCATAAGGGTAGGTATAACATATTTAGTCCAAGCAAGTGATTAAAAAGTTCTAGTACATCTTCGTACAACCCGAACACGTTACTAAATCCAGAGCTGACCTTTGTAGAAAGCTGACATATAATGTATAATTAAATGCAGCTATCTGTTAAACCGCTTCAAAAAAGCGCCAAAAAAGAGAAAGCATGCAACGTACATAAAGCGAGAACTTTAATCACTGACCTCCCATCCACAGTTTATCCTGAGTGGCCGGTATATATCAGCACCTGTAACTCCTTACTGCCAAACACTGTGGATGTCATAATTATTCAAACTAAGAGAGCAAAAGTAGAAGCTTGATTGAATGACAATTTTCCCAATTCTTAAAGCGCATGACCGGTTATGACTCTCCACACATCTTTAACCTATAACCCATTGGAGACAATCTCTGTTAGTATAACTTGACTAGGTACATTACTGAATGAAGAAGGCTTGTTGACCAAAATCTGAAGCCCTCTGGAATTTGGGATGTATACAAATCTTGTAAGTAATGGAGGAAACCAAAGAACAGAAAACGCTGATATCCTTGATCAGGTGACGTATGATACAGTACAATACGTCCCTGCCTTGGTTCTCATAAATTTGTAAATTACATTCCCGAAGCCAAGCACTTGTGATCAAAATATCCATTGTTAACCACTTAGTACCAAAAGCTGTACCTTCCTTCCTAACTGTATGTGATCGTTGTACAGTATACAGTTGTATAAGATTTGTAACAAACAAATTCTGTACCTTGAATTGTAACACAAGTGAATTGTGTTAAGAAAACATTTTGTGACTAAGGATGAACTTTAGTTTCTTTATGGTCAGTAACAACTTCCATGTCATTTACAAATTGTATAGTGAGTATTTTATGTTAAGTGTTATCACAACTTGACCTAAAATTTATATATAGAAACATTGTTTCAAAACACTTCTCTGTTAATGGTGCTCATCAAAACTTTTGCAATTGTGTTGTGAACTGGCTTGACAAAAATCCAACACAAATTACTGATATGTTAGAACAGCTATTTTGATCGAAATGTAATTTAAAAAGTATTTGTCATTTTCGTATGTCAGCGATCTATGTCACCAATCAGTTGTTATGATTATCCTGGTGTATTTTTATAGGTTTTCCTTTCAGTGTAATGAGTTAGAAAAGAAGTAAGATGGACACAACTGCTGTTATAAAAACTGACGTCTCACAGCCCCAAGAGAAAACACCACAGGTAGAAAATGTGCATTGCCAAAAATTAATACAACAATTGATGACAAAAAATTCCTTGCAAATATTGAATGTGTCTTACTCTTTGTCTGTCCTATTGAATATGTCTGGTCTGTTATATTAAATGTGTCTTAAATGTTATATTGAATGTGTCTTGTCTGTTGTTGAATGTGTCTTGTTTGTTGTATTTCATAATGAATGTGTCTTATATGTTATATTGAAAGTATCCTGTCTTTTATCTTGAATGTGTCTTGTCTGTTATATAGAATGTGTCTTATATGTTATATTGATTGTGTCAGGTCTGTTATATTGATTGTGTCAGGTCTGTTATATTGACTGTGTCAGGTCTGTTATATTGATTGTGTCAGTCCTGTTATATTGATTGTGTCAGGTCTGTTATATTGATTGTCCCAGGTCTGTTATATTGATTGTGTCAAGTCTGTTATATTGATTGTGTCAGGTCTGTTATTTTGATTGTGTCAAGTTTGTTATATTGATTGTGTCAGGTCTGTTATATTCAATGTTTCTTGTCTGTTATATTGATTGTGTCAGGTCTGTTATATTCAATGTTTCTTGTCTGTTATATTGATTGTGTCAGGTCTGTTATATTGATTGTGTCAGGCCTGTTATATCGATTGTGTCAAGTCTGTTATATTGATGGTGTCAGGTCTGTTATATTGATTGTCTCAGGTCTGTTAAATTGATTTTGTCAGGTCTGTTATATTGATTGTGTCAGGTCTGTTATATTGATTGTGTCAAGTCTGTTATATTGATTGTGTCAAGTCTGTTATATTGATTGTGTCAGGTCTGTTATATTCAATGTTTCTTGTCTGTTATACTAATTGTGTCAGGTCTGTTATATTGATTGTGTCATGCCTGTTATATTGATTGTGTCAGGTCTGTTATATTGATTGTGTCAGGTCTGTTATATTGATTGTGTCAGGTCTGTTATATTGATTGTGTCAGGTCTGTTATATTTAATGTTTCTTGTCTGTTATATTGATTGTGTCAGGTCTGTTATATTGATTGTGTCAGGTCTGTTATATTGATTTTGTCAGGCCTGTTATATTGATTGTGTCAGGTCTGTTATATTGATTGTGTCAGGTCTGTTATATTGATTGTGTCAGGTCTGTTATATTGATTTTGTCAGGCCTGTTATATTGATTGTGTCAGGTCTGTTATATTGATTGTGTCAGGTCTGTTATATTGATTGTGTCAGGTCTGTTATATTGATTGTGTCAGGTCTGTTATATTGATTGTGTCAGGTCTGTTATATTGATTGTGTCAGGTCTGTTATATTGATTGTGTCAGGTCTGTTATATTGATTGTGTCAGGTCTGTTATATTGATAGTGTCAGGTCTGTTATATTGATTGTGTCAGGTCTGTGTCAGGTCTGTTATATTGATTGTGTGTCTGTTATATTGATTGTGTCATGTCTGTTATATTGATTGTGTCAGGTCTGTTATATTGATTGTGTCAGGTCTGTTATATTGATTGTGTCAGGTCTGTTATATTGATTGTGTCAGGTCTGTTATATTGATTGTGTCAGGTCTGTTATATTGATTGTGTCAGGTCTGTTATATTGATTGTATCAGGTCTGTTATATTTAATGTTTCTTGTCTGTTATATTGATTGTGTCAGGCCTGTTATATTGATTGTGTCAGGTCTGTGTTATATTATAGGTGTGTTATTGTGTCAGGTCTGTTATATTGATTGTGTCTTGTCTGTTATATTGATTGTGTCAGGTCTGTTATATTGATTGTGTCAGGCCTGTTATATTGATAGTGTCAGGTCTGTTATATTGATTGTGTCAGGTCTGTTATATTGATTGTGTCAGGCCTGTTATATTGATTGTGTCAGGTCTGTTATATTGATTGTGTCAGGCCTGTTATATTGATTGTGTCAGGTCTGTTATATTGATTGTGTCAGGTCTGTTATATTGATAGTGTCAGGTTTGTTATATTGATTGTGTCAGGTCTGTTATATTGATTGTGTCAGGTCTGTTATATTGATTGTGTCAGGTCTGTTGTATTGATTGTGTCAGGTGTGTTGTATTGATTGTTAGGTCTATGATTGTGTGTCAGGTCTGTTATATTGATTGTGTCAGGTCTGTTATATTGATTGTGTCAGGTCTGTTATATTGATAGTGTCAGAGTTGTGATATTGAATCTGTGATGTGTCTTAGATTGATTGTGTCAGGTGTGTTATATTGATTGTGTCATTGTTGTATTGATTGTGTCTGTTGTATTGATTGTTTCTTGTCTGTTATTGTGTCAGGTCTGTTATATTGTTATATTGATTGTGTCAGGTCTGTTATATTGATTGTGTCAGGTCTGTTATATTGATTGTGTCAGGTCTGTTATATTGATTGTGTCAGGTCTGTTATATTGATTGTGTCAGGTCTGTTATATTGATTGTGTCAGGTCTGTTATATTGATTGTGTCAGGTGTGTTGTATTGATTGTGTCAGGTGTGTTGTATTGATTGTGTCAGGTCTGTTATATTGATTGTGTCAGGTCTGTTATATTGATTGTGTCAGGTCTGTTATATTGATTGTGTCAGGTCTGTTATATTGATTGTGTCAGGTCTGTTATATTGATAGTGTCAGGTCTGTTATATTGATTGTGTCAGGTCTGTTATATTGATTGTGTCAGGTCTGTTATATTGATTGTGTCAGGTCTGTTATATTGATTGTGTCAGGCCTGTTATATTGATTGTGTCAGGTCTGTTATATTGATTGTGTCAGGTCTGTTATATTTAATGTTTCTTGTCTGTTATATTGATTGTGTCAGGCCTGTTATATTGATTGTGTCAGGTCTGTTATATTGATTGTGTCAGGTGTGTTGTATTTAATGTTTCTTGTCTGTTATATTGATTGTGTCAGGCCTGTTATATTGATAGTGTCAGGTCTGTTATATTGATTGTGTCAGGTCTGTTATATTGATTGTGTCAGGTCTGTTATATTGATTGTATCAGGTCTGTTATATTTAATGTTTCTTGTCTGTTATATTGATAGTGTCAGGTCTGTTATATTGATTGTGTCAGGTCTGTTATATTGATTGTGTCAGGTCTGTTATATTGATTGTGTCAGGTGTGTTGTATTGATTGTGTCAGGTCTGTTATATTGATTGTGTCAGGTCTGTTATATTGATTGTGTCAGGTGTGTTGTATTGATTGTGTCAGGTGTGTTGTATTGATTGTGTCAGGTCTATTATATTGATTGTGTCAGGTCTGTTATATTGATTGTGTCAGGTCTGTTATATTGATTATGTCAGGTCTGTTATATTGATTGTGTCAGGTCTGTTATATTGACTGTGTCAGGTCTGTTATATTGATTGTGTCAGGTCTGTTATATTGATTGTGTCAGGTCTGTTATATTGATTGTGTCAGGTCTGTTATATTGATTGTGTCAGGTGTGTTGTATTGATTGTGTCAGGTGTGTTGTATTGATTGTGTCAGGTGTGTTGTATTGATTGTGTCAGGTGTGTTGTATTTAATGTTTCTTGTCTGTTATATTGAATGTATTTGGTTTGTTATTGACCTATAAATGTAATGTGTTGTTGTCTACATTTCATTAGTTTTTAAATGAGATGTGTTGTTTTCTGTTAAATAGCCCAAATATAAGGAGAGTGTGACCAGTACAGCAAGTACACAGTCAACAGGCAAAAAGACAACGAAAAGCAAGACTAAGCCTCTTTATTTCTGGACATGTGCTGATGTCAATAAATGGCTGAAGAAACACTGCAGTCAGTTCCATGGCATTTATGGTGACCTACTTCTACAGCAGGAAGTCACGGGTCAGCAAATATATCTTAAAAACTGACGTGTTGATTACGATTGGTTGTTAATTAATTAAATTTCTATTCTTTTAATTGATTAACTTTTTAATGCTGTGTAGAAACATAGATTTTCATACTGTGTATGATACAGAACTTTTATGGATTTGATTTTTCATTTTTACTCTTACCATTTTCTGATGATTCCCAACGAAAGTTGACCACAAAGTTTACTTAGTTGTAGTTTTGGTAGCTTTTTAAATTGTCATTAAGGTCATTAATAATTGCCATTAAGTTTACATATATGCAAATGAGAAAATGTAATTGAACGATCAGATGTTTCATCACTAGTGATAGCCGTTTCTGATTTGTTTTGCTTTTGTTTTGTTTTTTGCTTTTTTAAACTTCTGGTCTTTATATATATGATGTGTTAGAGATTTTATGATTTGTAGTAAATATTGGAGAAATAATCTTTCTGCAGCTTAAAATTTTATATGTTATAACGTAATTATATATCTACTGATATATTTCAGGAAGAACTTTGATTCGTATGAATGAAATAAAACTAGAACGAATAGGAATTGCCAAAGCAGAACATAGGTATGTAAGAATAATTTTCATGATTAGCCCATCCATACCTCTACACAAAGTCCAAATAAATCCATCCATACCTCTACACAAAGTCCAAATAAGCTCACCCATACCTCTACACAAAGTCCAAATAAGCTCACCCATACCTCAACACAAAGTCCAAATAAGCTCACCTGTACCTCTACACAAAGTCCAAATAAGCTCACCCATACCTCTACACAAAGTCCAAATAAGCTCACCCATACCTCTACACAAAGTCCAAATAAGCCCACCCATACCTCTACACAAAGTCCAAATAAGCTCACCCATACCTCTACACAAAGTCCAAATAAATCCATCCATACCTCTACACAAAGTCCAAATAAGCCCACCCATACCTCTACACAAAGTCCAAATAAGCTCACCCATACCTCTACACAAAGTCCAAATAAGCCCACCCATACCTCTACACAAAGTCCAAATAAGCTCACCCATACCTCTACACAAAGTCCAAATAAATCCTTCCATACCTCTACACAAAGTCCAAATAAGCTCACTCATACCTCTACACAAAGTCCAAATAAGCCCACCCATACCTCTACACAAAGTCCAAATAAGCTAACCCGTACCTCTACACAAAGTTCAAATAAGCTCACCCATACCTCTACACAAAGTCCAAATAAATCCATCCATACCTCTACACAAAGTCCAAATAAGCTCACCCATACCTCTACACAAAGTCCAAATAAGCTCACCCATACCTCTACACAAAGTCCAAATAAGCTCACCCATACCTCTACACAAAGTCCAAATAAGCCCACCCATACCTCTACACAAAGTCCAAATAAGCTCACCTGTACCTCTACACAAAGTCCAAATAAGCTCACCCGTACCTCTACACATAGTCCAAATAAGTCCACCCATACCGCTACACAAAGTCCAAATAAGCTCACCCATACCTCTACACAAAGTCCAAATAAGCTCACCCATACCTCTACACATAGTCCAAATAAGCTCACCCATACCTCTACACAAAGTCCAAATAAGCTCACCCATACCTCTACACAAAGTCCAAATAAGCTCACCCATACCTCTACACAAAGTCCAAATAAGCCCACCCATACCTCTACACAAAGTCCAAATAAGCTCACCCATACCTCTACACAAAGTCCAAATAAGCTCACCCATACCTCTACACAAAGTCCAAATAAGCTCACCCATACCTCTACACAAAGTCCAAATAAGCCAACCCATACCTCTACACAAAGTCCAAATAAATCCATCCATACCTCTACACAAAGTCCAAATAAGCCCACCCATACCTCTACACAAAGTCCAAATAAGCTCACCCATACCTCTACACAAAGTCCAAATAAGCTCACCCATACCTCTACACAAAGTCCAAATAAATCCATCCATACCTCTACACAAAGTCCAAATAACCCACCCATACCTCTACACAAAGTCCAAATAAGCTCACCCATACCTCTACACAAAGTCCAAATAAGCTCACCCATACCTCTACACAAAGTCCAAATAAGCTCACCCATACCTCTACACAAAGTCCAAATAAGCCAACCCATACCTCTACACAAAGTCCAAATAAATCCATCCATACCTCTACACAAAGTCCAAATAAGCCCACCCATACCTCTACACAAAGTCCAAATAAGCTCACCCATACCTCTACACAAAGTCCAAATAAGCTCACCCATACCTCTACACAAAGTCCAAATAAATCCATCCATACCTCTACACAAAGTCCAAATAACCCACCCATACCTCTACACAAAGTCCAAATAAGCTCACCCATACCTCTACACAAAGTCCAAATAAGCTCACCCATACCTCTACACAAAGTCCAAATAAGCTCACCCATACCTCTACACATAGTCCAAATAAGCCCACCCATACCTCTACACAAAGTCCAAATAAGCTCACCCATACCTCTACACAAAGTCCAAATAAGCTCACCCATACCTCTACACAAAGTCCAAATAAGCCCACCCATACCTCTACACAAAGTCCAAATAAGCCCACCCATACCTCTACACAAAGTCCAAATAAGCTCACCCATACCTCTACACAAAGTCCAAATAAGCTCACCCATACCTCTACACAAAGTCCAAATAAATCCATCCATACCTCTACACAAAGTCCAAATAAATCCATCCATACCTCTACACAAAGTCCAAATAACCCACCCATACCTCTACACAAAGTCCAAATAAGCTCACCCATACCTCTACACAAAGTCCAAATAAGCTCACCTGTACCTCTACACAAAGTCCAAATAAGCTCACCTGTACCTCTACACAAAGTCCAAATAAGCTCACCCATACCTCTACACAAAGTCCAAATAAGCCAACCCATACCTCTACACAAAGTCCAAATAAGCTCACCCATACCTCTACACAAAGTCCAAATAAGCTCACCCATACCTCTACACAAAGTCCAAATAAGCCCACCCGTACCTCTACACAAAGTCCAAATAAGCCCACCAATACCTTTTAATCTGATGTTTCAGGAATGAATTTATGCAGTACATATTACGTCTTAGACTTCGGCATGAAACCGGAGATTTAAAGAATTTAGACCAGAAAGGTAGGTGTTGTGTCAACATGACATACATGTAGTATAGGAATCAGGAGATGACTGTAATTCATTTATTTGGTTGGGGTATAGTTCTTAATTCTTGTGATAAATACTTTTTATGCAATCCAGATTTATGTTGTTTTTGGTAAATACTGCATGATGACAATATGGTAGTGATTTGTTTAAATCACAATGACACGTGTTTCTAATGAATTGACTGAAACAGCATGAATATTTTGAGAAAACTTTGGTTTTATCCATGATCACTCTGCATGTGTATATATGTAAAGATGGAAGTAGTTGGAAAATCGTTGTGCTCGATTGGGAACCACTTCATACTGTAAACAGACTTAACTTGACTCAATCAAATTGTAGTGCATCATTATTTTTTTTTGCAAATAAGTGCATTGATGAATTCGCACACCAACCAGGATTGCTTTATAAACAGCATTCAGAAATAGCAGTCATATATAGCACATCATTTTCACAGACATAAAATACAACAGAAAATCTTCTTACATTACTTTGTCTTCAAGAACTCAGAAATTAATTGTGTTTTGGCAAATAAAACCTGATATTTCAAACACATGAAATATCATCAAAGATTTTTCTATGAGTCCTTCCCATATGGATTTATTTCATAACATGGCCAAATCCAAAAATGTAGTTCTTTTCAATTACATAATAGTTTTCTTCCAAATGTTAAATAGAAATACCCTTTCCCAAATTAGCAGAAAAAACCCTGCTCATATTCTAAAGCACAAATTCATGAGTTAATCAATTCCTTCGTCTTTATATTACAAGAATAAAAATGTTGGGTGGCAATTATGCAAAACTAGCACTTGAGCAAGACTGATACTTCTGTATATACATGTAGTACGTTTCAATACTACATAGATAATAAAGTAAGTAGTCTTGCTTAAGTCAATTTTTTTACAATTAAGGGGACAAAGATAAATCATTTAGTCTCTAAAAATCTTAAGACCAGGGTTTCAGAAAAGGTGAACAAATGCTTTCTCCTTTGTTCTCAATTATTAAACTGAAGGAATCAAAATGGAACAAAATTTTTAGGAAGAAAATGTCAACTAATTCTGATTAAGAGAATCAATCAGCACATCACAGATTTGAGAATAAAAAAATGGTCTTTGCTTTCATACCATTTATTGAATATCTTTACTAGATCATGTTACATAACGTATTCTAGTCCTTGTTGATTGGCTGGTAGAAATGTACATGTTACACAGCCAGGGAGTTATCTCCTGGCCAAAGCATCAGGTCTTCTGCAACAAGATCTTTGTAATCTCAGAAATACTAGACATTATTGCTTTGTTTTGTTAAAGGTAGGTACTGATGCATGACATGATTTGCTTTTTGTAGAAAGGCAAACAACCAAATACATAGAACGCTATGTGTCAGGTAACTTAATATGACTGAGTGTAATTATCAAATATCTCTGATGATGTACAGATCTTTTTGTGTCCAGTAACTTAACCAGTGTAATTATCAAATATCTTAACTCTAATGGTGTAAAGATCTTTTGTGTCTAGTAACTTAACCAGTGTAATTATCAAATATCTTAACTTTAATGATGTAAAGATCTTTTTGTGTCTAGTAACTTAACCAGTGTAATTATCAAATATCTTATCTCTAATGATGTACAGATCTTTTTGTGTCCAGTAACTTAACCAGTGTAATTATCAAATATCTTAACTCTAATGATGTAAAGATCTTTTTGTGTCTAGTAACTTAACCAGTGTAATTATCAAATATCTTAACTCTAATGGTGTAAAGATTCTTTTTGTGTCCAGTAACTTAACCAGTGTAATTATCAAATATCTTATCTCTAATGATGTAAAGATCTTTTTGTGTCTAGTAAATTAACCAGTGTAATTATCAAATATCTTACTTGTAATGTGTGTAACTTAAAAATTATCTTTTTGTGTCCAGTAACTTAACCAGTGTAATTATCTAATGATGTACAGAAGTAATTGAACCAGTGTAATTATCAAATATCTTATCTCTAATGATGTACAGATCTTTTTGTGTCCAGTAACTTAACCAGTGTAATTATCAAATATCTTAACTCTAATGATGTAAAGATCTTTTTGTGTCTAGTAACTTAACCAGTGTAATTATCAAATATCTTAACTCTAATGATGTAAAGATCTTTTTTGTGTCTAGTAACTTAACCAGTGTAATTATCAAATATCTTATCTCTAATGGTGTAAAAATCTTTTTGTGTCTAGTAACTTAACCAGTGTAATTATCAAATATCTTATCTCTAATGATGTAAAGATCTTTTTTGTGTCTAGTAACTTAACCAGTGTAATTATCAAATATCTTACTTGTAATGGTGTAAAAATCTTTTTGTGTCTAGTAACTTAACCAGTGTAATTATCAAATATCTTATCTCTAATGGTGTAAAGATTCTTTTTGTGTCTAGTAACTTAACCAGTGTAATTATCAAATATCTTAACTCTAATGGTGTAAAGATTCTTTTTGTGTCCAGTAACTTAACCAGTGTAATTATCAAATATCTTATCTCTAATGATGTAAAGATCTTTTTGTGTCTAGTAACTTAACCAGTGTAATTATCAAATATCTTAACTCTAATGGTGTAAAGATTTTTTTGTGTCCAGTAACTTAACCAGTGTAATTATCAAATATCTTAACTCTAAGGATGTAAAGATCTTTTTGTGTCCAGTAACTTAACCAGTGTAATTATCAAATATCTTATCTCTAATGGTGTAAAGATTCTTTTTGTGTCTAGCAACTTAACCAGTGTAATTATCAAATATCTTAACTCTAATGATGTAAAGATTTTTTTGTGTCCAGTAACTTAACCAGTGTAATTATCAAATATCTTATCTCTAATGGTGTAAAGATTCTTTTTGTGTCTAGCAACTTAACCAGTGTAATTATCAAATATCTTAACTCTAATGATGTAAAGATCTTTTTGTGTCCAGTAACTTAACCAGTGTAATTATCAAATATCTTATCTCTAATGGTGTAAAGATCTTTTTGTGTCCAGTAAATTAACCAGTGTAATTATCAAATATCTTACTTGTAATGGTGTAAAAATCTTTTTGTGTCTAGTAACTTAACCAGTGTAATTATCAAATATCTTAACTCTAAGGATGTAAAGATCTTTTTGTGTCCAGTAACTTAACCAGTGTAATTATCAAATATATTACCTCTAATGATGTAAAGATCTTTTTGTGTCTAGTAACTTAACCAGTGTAATTATCAAATATCTTAACTCTAATGGTGTAAAGATCTTATTGTGTCTAGTAACTTAACCAGTGTAATTATCAAATATATTACCTCTAATGATGTAAAGATCTTTTGTGTCTAGTAACTTAACCAGTGTAATTATCAAATATCTCACTTGTAATTGTGTAAAAATCTTTTTGTGTCTAGTAACTTAACCAGTGTAATTATCAAATATCTTAACTCTAAGGATGTAAAGATCTTTTTGTGTCCAGTAACTTAACCAGTGTAATTATCAAATATCTTACTTGTAATGGTGTAAAGATCTTTTGTGTCTAGTAACTTAACCAGTGTAATTATCAAATATCTTACTTGTAATGGTGTAAAAATCTTTTTGTGTCTAGTAACTTAACCAGTGTAATTATCAAATATCTTATCTCTAATGATGTAAAGATCTTTTTGTGTCCAGTAACTTAACCAGTGTAATTATCAAATATCTCACTTGTAATTGTGTAAAAATCTTTTTGTGTCTAGTAACTTAACCAGTGTAATTATCAAATATCTTATCTCTAATGGTGTAAAGATCTTTTTGTGTCTAGTAACTTAACCAGTGTAATTATCTAATATCTTAACTCTGATGATGTACAGATCTTTTTGTGTCTAGTAACTTAACCAGTGTAATTATCGAATATCTTAACTCTAAGGATGTAAAGATCTTTTTGTGTCCAGTAACTTAACCAGTGTAATTATCAAATATCTTAACTCTAATGGTGTAAAAATCTTTTTGTGTCTAGTAACTTAACCAGTGTAATTATCAAATATCTTATCTCTAATGATGTAAAGATCTTTTTGTGTCCAGTAACTTAACCAGTGTAATTATCAAATATCTCACTTGTAATTGTGTAAAAATCTTTTTGTGTCTAGTAACTTAACCAGTGTAATTATCAAATATCTTATCTCTAATGGTGTAAAGATCTTTTTGTGTCTAGTAACTTAACCAGTGTAATTATCAAATATCTTAACTCTGATGATGTACAGATCTTTTTGTGTCTAGTAACTCAACCAGTGTAATTATCAAATATCTTAACTCTAATGATGTAAAGATCTTTTTGTGTCTAGTAACTTAACCAGTGTAATTATCAAATATCTTAACTCTAATGGTGTAAAGATTCTTTTTGTGTCCAGTAACTTAACCAGTGTAATTATCAAATATCTTATCTCTAATGATGTAAAGATCTTTTTGTGTCTAGTAAATTAACCAGTGTAATTATCAAATATCTTACTTGTAATGGTGTAAAAATCTTTTTGTGTCCAGTAACTTAACCAGTGTAATTATCAAATATCTTAACTCTGATGATGTACAGATCTTTTTGTGTCTAGTAACTCAACCAGTGTAATTATCAAATATCTTAACTCTAATGATGTAAAAATCTTTTTGTGTCTAGTAACTTAACCAGTGTAATTATCAAATATCTTAACTCTGATGATGTACAGATCTTTTTGTGTCTAGTAACTCAACCAGTGTAATTATCAAATATCTTATCTCTAATGGTGTAAAGATCTTATTGTGTCGGAATAATTATGTATTTAACCTTCAGTAAGCTCAGGGACCAACTAATAACATTCACTTAACACCAGGAGGTAGACCTGTGATAGGAAAATGAAGCAGCATTTGTGTTAAGTTCTTTTGTACTGCATTGATATGGATTAGCTTTTGATATGTCATTGAATCATTACTGGAGAAAATTACTTAAGTAATGTAGACTGTAAAGTGACTACATCTAAGATCCATCGGTTCACTTAAACATATTAAATACATATAAAGATTTAAATCTTACAGTGTTTAGTAATGGGATTATGTTAAACCTGTTGATGTGTGGTAGTGGGATTATGTTAAACCTGTTGATGTGTGGTAGAGGGATTATGTTAAACCTGTTGATGTGTGGTAGTGGGATTATGTTAAACCTGTTGATGTGTGGTAGTGGGATTATGTTAAACCTGTTGATGTGTGCTAGTGGATTATGTTAAACCTGTTGATGTGTGGTAGTGGGATTATGTTAAACCTGTTGATGTGTGGAAGTGGGATTATGTTAAACCTGTTGATGTGTGGTAGTGGGATTATGTTAAACCTGTTGATGTGTGGTAGTGGGATTATGTTAAACCTGTTGATGTGTGGTAGTTGGATTATGTTAAACCTGTTGATGTGTGGTAGTGGGATTATGTTAAACCTGTTGATGTGTGGTAGTGGGATTATGTTAAACCTGTTGATGTGTGGTAGTTGGATTATGTTAAACCTGTTGATGTGTGGTAGTGGGATTATGTTAAACCTGTTGATGTGTGGTAGTGGGATTATGTTAAACCTGTTGATGTGTGGAAGTGGGATTATCTTAAACCTCTTGGGGGTTGGGGGAGCTTTGTATATTGGGAGAGCTTTGTATAATGGGGGTTGGGGGAGCTTTGTATATTGGGGGTTGGGGGAGCTTTGTATATTTTGGCTTGGGGGAGCTTTGTATATTGGGGGTTGGAGGAGCTTTGTATTTTGGGGGTTGGGGGAGCTTTGTATATTTGGGGTTGGAGGAGCTTTGTATATTGGGGGTTGGGGGAGCTTTGTATATTGGGGGAGCTTTGTATATTGGGGGAGCTTTGTATATTGGGAGAGCTTGTATATTGTGGGTTAGGGGAGCTTTGTATATTGAGGGAGCTTTATATATTGGGAGTTGGGGGAGCTTAGTATATTGGGAGAGCTTTGTATTGGGGGTTGGGGGAGCTTTGTATATTGGGGGAGTTTGTTATATTGGGGGTTCGGGGAACTTTGCATATAGGGGGAACTTTGTATATTGTGGGTTGGGGGAGCTTTGTATATTGGGGGTTGGAGGAGCTTTGTATATTGGGGGTTGGGGGAGCTTTGTATATTGTGGGTTGGGGGAGCTTTGTATATTAGAGTTGGGGGACCATATTGGGGGTTGGGGGACCTTTGTATATTGGGGGAGCTTAGTATATTGGGGGTTAGGGAGCTTTGTATATTGGGGGTTGGGGGGGGAGCTTTGTATATTGTGGGTTGTGGGTTGGGGGAGCTTTGTATATTTGGGGTTGGGGGACCTTTTTATATTGGGGGAGCTTAGTATATTTGGGGTTAGGGGAGCTTTGTATATTTGGGGTTTGGGAGGTTTGTATATTGGGGGAGCTTGGTTTATTTGGGGTTGGGGGAGCTTTGTATATTAGGGGTTGGGGGATTTGTAAAGTGGGGGAGCTTTGTATATTGGGGGTTGGGGGAGCTTAGTATATTCGGGGAGCTTTGTATGTTGGGGGTTTGGGGAGCTTTGTATATTGGGGGTTTGGGGAAGCTTTGTATATTGGGGGTTGGGGGAGCTTTGTATATTGGGGGATGGGGGAGCTTTGTATATTGGGGGTTGGGGGAGCTTTGTATATTGGGGGAGTTTTTTATATTGGGGGTTCGGGGAGCTTTGTATATTGGGGGAGCTTTGTATATTGTGGGTTGGGGGAGCTTTGTATATTGGGGGTTGGGGGAGCTTTGTATATTGGGGGTTGGAGGATCTTTGTATATTGGGGGAGCTTTGTATATTGTGGGTTAGGGGAGCTTTGTATATTGGGGAAGCTTTGTATATTGTGGGTTGGGGGAGCTTTGTATATTGGGGGTTTGGGGGAGCTTTGTATATTGGGGGTTGGGGGAGCTTTGTATATTGAGGGAGCTTTGTATATTGTGGGTTGGGGAAGGTTTGTATATTGGGGGTTGGGGGAGCTTTGTATATTGTGGGTTGGGGGAGCTTTTTATATTGGGGGTTGGGAGAGCTTTGTATATTGGGGGAGCTTTGTATATTGTGGGTTGGGGAGCTTTGTATATTGTGGGTTGGAGGAGCTTTGTATATTGTGGGTTGGGGGAGCTTTGTATATTGGGGGTTGGGGGAGCTTTTTATATTGGGGGTTGGGGGAGCTTTGTATATTGGGGGAGCTTTGTATATTGTATAATTTCAGTTTTTGTTCTAGTTAGATTGTAACAGATTCTGTATCAAATAGTATTGTATACTTACACCTGATATATCATGTGTATCATTACAGGTACTGGTTTTGAACTCAAACTACCAGAGAAATCCCGAAATACCAAAGAGCTGAAAGACAAACATCCGCCGTAACAAACAACCATTGTAGGCATGTGATATAGACACCTTGAATATCCCGTATCAATCTCATCTATAGAGTAGCTGTTAACAGGACTAATTGAAATGTTGCCACTAACATATCCACCACCCAAGTGACTGACAGACAGTGGAATGAATGCAGTAGTGATGGATGGAGAGTTCATGTGACTCCAGAATGCTGAAAGTGATATTTACTGTTAGACTTTTATCCTCCATTTGAACTTTTTAATGATCATAATAAGTTTGTAATTTTAGATTCAAGTGTGATAAGGAGAAGTGATGACCTACATTGGAGCTTTTGCTAGTAGCACCCTCACACTAGAAAAAGTAATGCTCTACCAATCCAGCTAAAGACTTATGTTGCATCAGCTGAGTGACAGACAGTATGTAACACTATATACAAGCCACACCGCCCTGTCAACTGAGTGACAGACTGTATTTAACACTATAAACAAAACACACTGACCTGTCAGCTGAGTGACAGAGACTGTATTTAACACTATATACAAGCCACACTGTCCCATCAGCTTAGTGACAGAGACTGTATTGAACACAATACAAGCCACACTGACCTGTCAGCTGAGTGACAGACAGTATGTAACACTATATACAAGCCACACCGCCCTGTCAACTGAGTGACAGACTGTATTTAACACTATAAACAAGTCACACTGACCTGTCAGCTGAGTGACAGAGACTGTATTTAACACTATATACAAGCCACACTGTCCCATCAGCTTAGTGACAGAGACTGTATTGAACACAATACAAGCCACACTGACCTGTCAGCTGAGTGACAGAGACTGTATTGAACACAATACAAGCCACACTGTCCCATCAGCTTAGTGACAGAGACTGTATTTAACACTATATACAAGCCACACTGTCCCATCAGCTGAGTGACAGAGACTGTATTGAACACAATACAAGCCACACTGACCTGTCAGCTGAGTGACAGAGACTGTATTTAACACTATATACAAGCCACACTGACCCGTCAGCTGAGTGACAGAGACAGTATCTAACACTATATACAAGTCACACTGACCTGTCAGCTGAGTGATAGAGACAGTATCTAACACTATATACAAGTCACGCTGACCTGTCAGCTGAGTGACAGAGATTGTATTTAACACTATATACAAGTCACACTGACCTGTCAGCTGAGTGACAGAGACAGTATCTAACACTATATACAAGTCACACTGACCTGTCAGCTGAGTGACAGAGATTTTATTTAACAATATATACAAGCCACACTGACCTGTCAACTGAGTGACAGAGACTGTATTTTACACTATACAAGACACACTGACCTGTCAGCTGAGTGACAGAGACTGTATCTAACAATATATACAAGCCACACAAACCAGTTCTTTTACAGTGACATGTAGATTCCAGTTAATATATATCTTCATTAGAGACTATATAAAAAATTGTTTGGTTTTCCTTTCTTTATTGTTTTGTGTACTCTTTATTTATTGATCCATTTGAAAAACTGATTCTGTTGTCTGTCCATCATCCATCTGTGGTCCAGCATCAAGTTTTTCTTTTAAACAACTTCCCTATAATCAATGGAGCAAATGTTTTGATATTTGATTTATATGTTCCAAGGATAAATCCTGACAAAGTTTGCAAAAAGAAATGACCTTGACCTATGTGCAAGGTCACAGGGATCAAATTTGTTAAAACCTTTGAATGACTTCTCATAAACTAAAAAGGTCTAGATGCATGATATTTGTCTGGTATGTTCCCTGGATGAAGACTGACAAAGTTTGCAAAAAGAGATGAGCTTGACCCTTATACAAGGTCACAGAGGTTGAATTTGTCAAAACCTGTGCAATGGTGTACATATTAATATATCTGTGATTAACACTGATTCTATTTGTGGTGAACATTGAATACCAGGTGAGTTATGCAGGCCAATTAGACCTCTTTTTGAAATTCTAACTGGGTTGAGTTTATTGTAAGACAATAAAATCAAATTTTTAGCTCATATGAGAGTCTCATATTGACCTATTGCGATCACCTTTATCCAGTGTCGTGCGTTAGTGCATCACACATCCATAAACTTTTAACATTTTGACTTCTCAAAAAAACCTGAACCAGTTTCAGTGAAATTTTGCAGAAACCTTCTCTGGTAAAATAGTGAATTATACAGTCGCCACCTCACAGGGGCCTGAGGGGTGGGGCTAAAAGTGATAAATGGATTCAAATTTTAAAAATCTTCTCAACACTCAGATATGATAGAATCAAATGCTCTTACACATGGAAACATCTTAAGGTGCTTTACCAAAATTGTGAATTTCATGGCCCAAGGGTCTCACATTACCCATGGGAAGCTATCAAAGTTTACACTGATTTATATCACAAGAATTGATTTTTGAGCATAATTTGTTTAATATCCAATGGAACTATTTCAACCTAAGTTAGAATTTTGAGCAAAGAATGACGTTCTGATGGTATGCTCCAGGGGCTGATGGGCGGGGCCAAAATGGTGAAATTGACTCAGATATGATCTACTCAAAAATGCCCTTCATGGATGGAAGCATCTTAAGGTGCTTTACAAAAACAGGTCTCACATTTCATGACACCTGAAAGCTACTTACCATTTCACTCTTTATTGCTTATCTCTAGGCCTTATCTCACTGATTGAATCCCATTTTTCTATTATAAATTCATTGTATTATTTCCTGGACTCCTGGAAAAAATTAACCAAACAACCATGAACACATGTACACATGCATTCCTTTGTTTTCGAAGATAGTTGTCATACTCTCTGATTGTCACTAATTTTATCATATTTTTCTCTGTAAATTCAATATTTAATCTATTACGTACAAACTTGCTATATATACAGGTCTGAAGTCTTTGTATAATGAGATTTCTTTGTAATTTTCTTTGAAATTGACACTTTAACCTCTTATTGCTTGATATCTATTTTTAGATATTAATGTACAGCTGTACCAATGTGCTGTTCTGGATGATGGTGGGTTATTCAAATAGCCATACGTCCGTGATCCCTCCTCCGTCTATCGGTAAACAATATTTTTATCAATATTTCTTGAGAAGTACTGGATAGATCTTTCTCAAATATCATATGTAGATTTCCCATGGTTGTGTCCATTTGATTTTGGGCCTGATGAAAAATCAAAATGGATGATAGGCAACCATTTTGGTTTTTTTCAATGAAGTTTATAATTAAGATTTCTTGAAAAGCACATGAAGGATCTCTCTCCATTCTCATATGTTGGTTCCCCTGGGTGTGGCCATCTAATTTTGGGACTGATCAGAAAAACAAAAAAAGACAGGTGGCCATCTTGGATTTTGTTATCGCTGTGTCTTGAGAACTATAGCATAGATCTTTCTTGAATTTCATGTGTATCTTTCCCTTGATCCCTGGTTGTGCTTGTTTGATTTTGGTACTAATCAGAAAAAGAAAATGGCTTACAGGTAGCCATATTGGATTTTGACTTCAAAAGTTTGTTATTGCTCTTTCATGTGTAGTTTCCTGTTGAACCCTAGTTCTGCTGGTTTGATTTTGGGACTGATCAGAAAAATAAAATCGCCGACAGGTGGTCATCTTGGATTTTGCCTAGTAAAGTTTGTCATTGTTTTGGAATTACCAAATTGATCTCTATCATATTTCATGTGTAGGTTTCCCTTGGTCCCTAGTTTTGCCTATTTTGATTTTTGGACTGATCAGAAAAAACAAAATGGCTTCCAGTTGACCGTCTTGGATTTGGCAGTTACAGATTATTATCCCTATTAATGTTCAAATTTCTTATCATTAACAGCAAAAACATAAAAGAAAAGAGAAAAGAAGGGAAAAGATCAAATTTTCAAAGAATAAATAAAGATCAAACAATGGTGGGCACCAAGATCCCTCAGGGATCTCTTGTTTATTTTAAAAATTCTTTGTGACATCTAAGTACATGTAGTGGCCTTTCCAAACATCATGTGTATCATTATTAATATTATGATTTTCATTTTTTGTTTGGTTTTGTTTGCTTGTTGATCCTAGAAAGCAATTTAAGAGTTTCTTCAGGAAGGAAAACTGATCACCTGCTAAGGGAAAAATGTCAAGTAATACATCAATTCATTTTACATACAACATAAGAAATTTGTAGATAGTTAATTATAAATGTAATGCATTTTTTATGTATTTTTCACAGAAAATTATGAAACAGACTGTAGTTTTTTCTGTTACTCATATGTTCAAAGTATAATTTTTTTTGTTTCATTCTATTTTTGAAAATATTAAAGAATAGATGCCAATGAAATAACAACCTTTAGACTATCTCTTGTCAAATATTCTTTCATTAGGGATGGAATATCGTATTATTTTACATAATATTGAAACCTTACTCAGTTAAAGGATACCCAACAACTTTTAAAAAATGTAAACCCTAGACAGCACAAATTTCCATGTCTACTAAAATCCTGTAGGATATAAATATATACAGATTATTCATAAATCTATTAACTAAGTAGGTAAACGTGTTGTTTTTCTATTTGAAAATAATGTATTGTGTGGAGGCAGATTAATCCTCTTAAATACAAGCACACAGAAAGTGAGGACATATTATTACGTTGTGATTGGATGGTCCTTCTACACAAACAGCTAAACAAAAGGAAGAATTTCTTTATATTTTGTATTATTTGTTAATTCAAGAGTGCAATAAATCGTTAGAATGACAGCTGTTGTGGTTAATGTTTGTTTACATTAAATTTTTCTCCAGCAATTGGTGAATTTGTTGTTCGAATTTCGGGTCAGAATGATATGGTTAAGATTGTTTACAACAAACATTTCCTCTCTTCAAAAATTTGTTGGTTTGTAAGCACAACTGGCCCAAAGGACCAAGTGAGCTGATGCCATAGTGCAGCGTCTGTCATCTGTCTGGCACCAGTTCTTCCATTTAACAGCTTCTCAATAACTAACAATCCAGGTGTCATGGTATTTCACCTAGGTCACAGGGATCAAATTTGTTAAAAAAAACCCTGGACAACTTCTGACTAAACACACAGAAGCATGATTTTGCCTGATAGGTTACTATGATGTTTGCAAAAAGAAATTTTTTAAAACTTTTAACAACTTCAGGGTAATGAAAAGGCCAAGATGCATGATATTTGACCGATAGGTCTTTGGGCGAAACCAGAAAAAGATTTCAAAAAGAGAAATGACCTTGAACCATATTTAAAGACACAGAAGACAAAATGTCAAAACCTGTAAACAGTTTGTATGTGCTATTGGTAGCCTCTGTAGTCGTACATTTACAAACAGGCATTTATGTCCAAACATGTACATACAACAAGAATATAGTGACCTTTTTGTGCCAAGAATGAAAAAAAATATGGTTTTGGGGGAAATGCTACAAAATCATTTCTTCAGTGTTTTAAGAAAGCGAAATATGAACATATTAGATATCATATATGCAAAGCAAGAAGTCCACAATTTTGAATACTTTGGGAACAGGAAATAATAAAAAAAAAATGCTCTTTTACATTAAGAGAAATTTTCTGAAGATCAAAAATACAACTTCCTACTGGAATCCATTTGTAATTATGTTCTAAAAAAACATCTTCAAAAGTATAAAATAAATTACCCATAAATAGTGAATAGTAGTTTCGTGCAAAGTAAATAAAATTGATTGACAATATTGCTTTGTATTTTTTGGGGAAAATGAGCAAAGAAATAAATCTTTTTTTGGATTGAAGTATCGTAAAATTAACTTGATATATAATATTTACACTTAGTTTTATTAGTACAAAAGGACCGTTACCTACACTAAAAACTCACTAAAGTGAAATTTCGACTTTCAAAATGGCCGTCATGTTCCCTGATCACCACAAAAATTAAATGTTCTTACAACTGCTGAATTAATATTATAACAAGAATGCTACATGACACATCTAAGTTGCTTTACACATTAAATACCTTATCTGGAATTCTATAAGACTTCTTTATCCTAGAATCTGATTGCTATGTTAGTGTTGGTTACATCATACAGTAATGTAGTTCTAATTGTACAAGTCAATCATACCTAATGCCATGGAGATGACAGTTGGTAGCAAAATCTACATTACTTGAGGTTTGTCTTAAACTTTTCGACTTTTGGATGCAAGGCTTACTAGTTTCCAAATGCATGTAGTATCCTAAATAGTACAGGATACTAGTTACATGGTCACATACCCTCGTGGTTCTCTGTCCAGTAGGACGCTGGCAATAATCCATGATATAATTAATGGCGTGGGAGCCGTGATGCTGGACGCAAGCATTGAACTTAACACTTCTCTTGTGCCTGGAGTGGATCTGACATTGTCCAATGTCTCGTAAGTGACGATAGATCCATATCTTGTAGTCACCATCATCACTGAGGTGCTCACTTATGTAGCCAGCTGCCAATGATATTAGGTATGTACCAAAGGATTTTGTCCGAAGGTATTCCATGTCTAACTCAGGAAAGTCACATATATCTGCAGTGGCATCATTGACAAAAAATGACTTGGCCCTTCTGGCAAGATCTGGCTCATTTTTACACACTGAGCTAAGTTGTTGTGAACATTAAGGCGCCGATTCATCTCGGCAGTCAGTGCCCTATTCTTTGCATCTCACTCGTGTGTTCTAACATATATGAGTCCGCAGAGTCTATGGAGAGAGGCTGTTACTATTCCAATGAGTACTTCGATGACATCAATGAAATAGTTGGAGGTAAGTTGTGTTTTGAAAAAACAGCCATTGCTTGAATTATACTAATATGACTTCACTACCCATCTGGATTTAGTTATGGATCTTCAAAGGTTAGTTTGTAGGTTGTCATGTTGAGTCAACCCAGGTTTAGATAAGACGGCATATTTGTTGTCAAACCAGGTGATGCCAAATCTGGCAAAATATCACTAAACCCTCAATTAACAATGATGTCATCTTTCTCCAGCCAGGGGAGACGATTCATAATGGCACCACAGCTTGCGATGAAAGATGAGTTGGAGTTTTGGGTGCTTGGGCAATATGGTCGAGTTTTAATAGAAACTCTTCATACATAGAATGTTTTATGCATTGGAAGACTGACCATAAAATAGATCCTCCATGGATGATAGTCAGATCTAACTCTCATTGTGAGAACGGTACTGTGTTGGACATGTAAAGTCTCCACCTTAGTTAAAAATGTAGAAAGTAATGTCAAAAGAACAATGGATGATATTGGGGTATGTGTGGTATATAATATATTGTTGAAAGATTTGTATTGTAACAATTGGTCATATAACATATTGTATTTACAAATCCTAACAAAGTGTGGCATTATCCCCCACGCACAGGTGTTGGTATGGAACCCAAATATGCTATATATAGCACTGTAATAATTTGAGACTTCACGCACTTATGTATCAGTACTTTGCACGTGAAGGTCTATTACAGTGAAAGCACTAGTAGAAAATAATAAACTCACATCTCCTCAACTTCAACATTATAGATATATATATAGAGATATAATTGAAAATATAGAATCAACACAACAAATGTGTTTCAGTAACGTTTTCAGGCATAACAGCTATCTTCAGGCAACAAAAGATTTACTATGTAAGAGATGTAAAACATGTAATAATAAAGATAATGATCACACACTGAGGGGCCAATGCCTTGAAGTTGTAGCTCAGAAAAAGCCTTCTTTTGAGGTTTTTAACTATATTTTTGCAAAAACTGAAAAAATATAATAAAAAAATGAAATGTTGTTAATAGCAAAAGGTTGAACTATGGCACTAAGTTAATATTTACAGAAAGTTTTGTGAAGTTGAGTTTGGAAGATATAGCCTGGAAAAGCCTCTTTTTGTGTTATCTATGTTTCCATAGAAACAGAAAAAAATATATATAAAGTGAAATGACGGCAATAGCAAAAGGCACAAATAGGGCAATGACTTAATATATACAGGAAGTTTTGTGAAGTTGAGTGGAACGGTTTGGAAGTTATAGCTCGGAAAAGCCCTCTTATGGTGTTTTCTGATTATGTTTCCATGGTAACAGAAAAAAAATATAAAAAGTGAAATGTCGACAATAGCAAAAGGCACAACTAGGGCACCAACTTAATATATATAGGAAGTTTTGTGAAGTTGAGTTGAACGGTTTCGAAGTTAGAGCCCGGAAAAGCACTTGGACGGATGGACGGACGGCTCCACGGGCGCATGGACAGAACCCAATTTAATATCCCCCGCAAACATGTTTTGCGGGGGGATAATAATACACATCGGCATGACTTGTATGTATGTTAGGGTTTGTTATAAATTAAGAAAGGCACTTGTCCTATTTCCACTATCGTTTAACAAGTCATGGGGTGATACACATCAAAGCCAAAAATCAAAACACTTTGCACAAATGGTAAAGTTTCGATTTATCTATATGCTGAATAATTTTGAATGGACTGAATACGGAAGATATTCAGAATGTCATTTGTTAACAAAAATTTGATATTTTTCTCACAAAATGCTTCAAAAATCAATAATTTTGACGGTATGCTTACTGTTTTAGTATTTTGGTATTTAGTTCATGGTTTGAATTTCCTATTTCATTAAAATAATTGTTTTTTATTGGTTTTGTGACAATCAGCATTCATAGTCGAGTAATTTAGTTACATGATTAATTAATTAGGCAAGTGAGTCATCAATTAATTTGGATTAAATATAAAGCCAAGTGAACCAACCTGGGAGCACAAAGCAATGTATCAGTGAGTGGTCTGTAAGGGTGAAAAATCATTAGGCTGACCTTTATGGGGAAATTAGCAGTGCTGGAAACCCCACCTTTAGAGAAAACAAGGGCCGTCAGAGATGGGTCATGCTCCCTGATTGGGCCAAAGTTGAAGTATGAAAAATAACAAAGGGCAATAACTCCTAACGTATGCAAATGAGAGTGATGGTCTTTATGCACTGCACTTATCCTTCTTGAGATTTATCTGCCTATGAGGTTTCATGTTGATACCTCTTACAGGTTTTGTGTTATGCCCCAGACAAAATTATGACAAATGACATTGACCTGTAATTCAGGTCGTAACTGTCACTGTTTATATCTTAGTATTAGAACTTAGTATTTTAACCTAATCGATCATCCCTGGCTTATCATCTAGAAAACATTTGGTCTGGACAGATGGATGACAACAAACACTAAAGGCTTCACGAGGAGGGAACTTATAAGGTATCTCTGTACAGAATTTGTTTAAATTCTGTCCATTTTTTAATCAGATATACATTGATAACAAAACTTTGACCTTGAAGTTTAAGATGACTGCCTGGTAACCATATATCCCTTTATTTCTACAGACAAATGGCATATATATTTGATCACTAGATCCCAAGGAGAGTCTGTTTAATTTTATACAGATTTATCTTGTTCTTCCTCTAGATTTGTTTATAAACTGACAGCTGGTCCAATGCCACGATTGACTGACAAACCAAGCATGGAAGTGAATTAAAATCCATCATCTTTACAATCATGACAACAAATGATTCTATATTAAAACCTTTACTGTATCATCTTGATGATATAATGATATTTGCTGTCTTTTTACTAAAAGTTAATATTACCCAGAAAAGTGTGTAGTTAAATATTCTGGCTGTTTTCCCTGATTAAGAAAGGGAATAAGTTTTACTGATTTATAAAGGGAATAAGTTTCATTGATTTATAAAGGGAATAAGTTTCACTGATTTATAAAGGGAATCAGTTTCATTGATTTATAAAGGGAATCAGTTTCATTGATTTATAAAGGGAATCAGTTTCACTGATTTATAAAGGGAATAAGTTTCACTGATTTATAAAGGGAATCAGTTTCATTGATTTATAAAGGGAATCAGTTTCATTGATTTATAAAGGGAATCAGTTTCACTGATTTATAAAGGGAATAAGTTTCACTGATTTATAAAGGGAATAAGTTTCACTGATTTATAAAGGGAATCGGTTTCATTGATTTATAAAGGGAATACGTTTTACTGATTTATAAAGGGAATAAGTTTCACAAATTTAAAAATGGAATAAGTTTCATTGATTTATAAAGGGAATAAGTTTCACTAATTTATAAAGGGAATAAGTTTCACTGATTTATAAAGGGAATAAGTTTCACTGATTTATAAAGGGAATCGGTTTCATTGATTTATGAAGGGAATACGTTTTACTGATTTATAAAGGGAATAAGTTTCACAAATTTAAAAATGGAATAAGTTTCATTGATTTATAAAGGGAATAAGTTTCACTAATTTATAAAGGGAATCAGTTTCATTGATTTATAAAGGGAATAAGTTTCACTGATTTATAAAGGGAATCAGTTTCATTGATTTATAAAGGGAATCAGTTTCACTGATTTATAAAGGGAATAAGTTTCACTGATTTATAAAGGGAATAAGTTTCACTGATTTATAAAGGGAATCGGTTTCATTGATTTATAAAGGGAATAAGTTTTACTGATTTATAAAGGGAATAAGTTTCACAAATTTAAAAATGGAATAAGTTTCATTGATTTATAAAGAGAATCAGTTTCACTGATTTATGAAGGGAATCAGTTTCATTGATTTATAAAGGGAATAAGTTTCACTGATTTATAAAGGGAATCAGTTTCATTGATTTATAAAGGGAATCAGTTTCACTGATTTATGAAGGGAATCAGTTTCATTGATTTATAAAGGGAATAAGTTTCATTGATTTATAAAGGGAATCAGTTTCATTGATTTATAAAGGGAATAAGTTTCACTGATTTATAAAGGGAATAAGTTTCACTGATTTATAAAGGGAATCAGTTTCACTGATTTATATAGGGAAAACAAGTTTCACTGATTTATAAAGGGAATCAGTTTCATTGATTTATAAAGGGAATAAGTTTCACTGATTTATAAAGGGAATCAGTTTCACTGATTTATAAAGGGAATAAGTTTCACTGGTTTATAAAGGGAATCAGTTTCACTGATTTATATAGGGAATAAGTTTCACTGATTTATATAGGGAAAACAAGTTTCACTGATTTATAAAGGGAATCAGTTTCACTGATTTATAAAGGGAATAAATTTCACTGATTTATAAAGGGAATCAGTTTCACTGATTTATATAGGGAAAACAAGTTTCACTGATTTATAAAGGGAATCAGTTTCATTGATTTATAAAGGGAATAAGTTTCACTGATTTATAAAGGGAATAAGTTTCACTGATTTATAAAGGGAATCGGTTTCACTGATTTATAAAGGGAATAAGTTTCACAGATTTATAAAGGGAATCAGTTTCACTGATTTATAAAGGGAATATGTTTCCTCCCCACAGCAAACATACACAGGTCACCAATAGCCATTAATGGACATTGTTGCATGTATCCATCAGTATAAAACCATGCACAGTTTTTATTTCATAACTTTAGTGTGTCAATCTTCAGATATCAGTAGAATGTCCGATGACAAACTCACACAAGTTACATAATTAATTTATCCATTTCAAATGCCTGCACCTTTTATTTTAAATTATCCTCACATCATCCAAACTGTTCACATTCTGAAATTAAACTGTAGCCATCTTGTCCTTTGCTCTTGTCTGTTTCACTATGAAACACTTTGTTCCCTTTCTTGGCCTCTGTCGATAAATTCTTGTTGTCTCTGGCCTCTAAGGAAATTCTGTTCTTATCTTGGGTCTCTGCAGACATACAATAACTGTCTTTAGCCTCTTTAGACATAATATCCCTGTTTTGGGCCTCAGAAGACATATTGTCCCCATCTTTAGCCTCTTTAGACATAATATCCCTGTTTTGGGCACCTGAATACATAATGTCACTGTCTTTAGCCTCTTTAGACATAACATTCATGTTTTGGGCCCCTGAAGACATATTGTCTCTGTCTTGGGTGTCTTTAGACACAACATCATTGTTTTGGGCCCCTGAAGACATATTGTCTCTGTCTTGGGTGTCTTTAGACACAACATCCTTGTTTTGGGCCCCTGAAGACATATTGTCTCTGTCTTGGGTGTCTTTAAACACAACATCCTTGTTTTGGGCCCCTGAAGACATACTGTCTTTGTCTTGGGTGTCTTTAGACACAACATCCTTGTTTTGGGCCCCTGAAGACATATTGTCTCTGTCTTTTGTGTCTTTAGACACAACATCCTTGTTTTGAGCCCCTGAAGACATATTGTCTCTGTCTTGGGTCTTTTTAGACATAACATCCTTGTTTTGTGCCTCTGAAGACATACAGTCCCTGTCTTTGGCCTCTGTAGATACATTGTCCCAATCTGGGGCCTCTGCAGACAAACTGTCCCTCTCCTGTTTCCAGGTGCCGTCCTCTCCTGTCCCCTGATTCCAGCCTGTATCAAGTACCAGGTCCCCATAGTATGCTGTGATAGTCTTTAGTTTGTTGTTTAGGAGATTCTGTTCGACCTCTACATGACCTCCTGGACCTGCCAAGGCTGTCAACTGAAATCAAAATATCTGTTATGTTAGCAAAAATTTCAAAACTAACAAAACAGACTGCGTCCTGAATGATGTTCAAACACTTTGAAAAAAAAGCTGTCCAAGACAGGATTGGCAAGACATCTATTTGGAAAGGATGAGAAAAGACAAACTTTAAATGGTTGACAATAAAGGAAATTAAATATACTATTGAGAAATTATAAATATGAAGCTGACTGGCCGCTCTACTGTTACTCAATGTTGTTTACAAATAGCCTACTAAGTTGGTCAAAGTAAAATTGGATAACTGTGTTTTTGAAGGTCAAGGTTTACTTTCAAACATTATTGAATTTCTTACATGGTAGGCACATATTATAGCCTTTCACTTCAGCATGCTACAAGCTCAACATTACTGCCATGGGCCTCTTGAATATTGCAGAGTTTTAACACATTTGACCCCTGTGACCTTGAAGGTCAGTCATTTCATTAAACTTCATCCCAGCATGCTACAGCCCCTAATAACACCTCTTGGTTATTGAGAAAAAGTTGTTTAAAGACAAAGGTTGATGAATGACAGATGCTATGGTATAAGCTATGGGCAAGTGAGCTTAAACCTAATTTGTGACTCACCTGCTCAAAGTCTGAATTCCTTGGAACAAAAAAAGCGATGTTACTTGTTACCTTCTGTGAAACCTCAAATATATCTGAAGTGTGACTGTCAAGGAAGATAACTCTACAGAACACATTTCATCAAAACAGGAACCAGTAAATCCTTTAACAAGTAATCTGATTATATCCTCATACAAATAAAGACTTTTTTATCAGTTTACGTGATATATAAGTGACATGTGACAGAAACTGATAGTGTCTTTAATATGATAACTAGTCAATGTCAAATTATTTGTGATGCTGTATAAATAAGTGTCTTTATTATTGCTAATTTTAGGTACATATATATCTGGTGAAACCAACTGGGGAGGGGTTGGCTTTATGGCCAAACACATATTGTAAGGATATGCTTTCAGTTCCATCATGGTCTCCAGATCAAACACGTCTGCATTTAGGTAGTCTGGCCCACCCCAGGGAGGACTAAGGAATATGACATCTGCCTTAAGTAGTGGCGCTACCTTAAGGAAGTCACCACAGATGAATTCGATTCTGTCCTCCACTCCGTACACAGCAGCATTGTGTCGGGCACACTCAATCTTAGCAGGATCAATGTCAACTGCAATAACTACAAACAGCATAATGTATTTTTATTGGTAAAAATGTATCTAATCATTTGATTGGGAAATCTATTTCTAAATCACTTTGAAGACATTTTTATAAAAGTTCATGTAAATCGTAAAATGAAAGCAATGTATGTGTTATACCTCTATCACAGGTAAATACAACGTAAGTGTCATACCTCTCTCACAGGTAAATACAATGTACATGACATACTTCTCTCACAGGTAAATACAATATATGTGTCATACCTCTCTCACAGGTAAATACAATGTATGTGTCATACCTCTCTCACAGGTAAATACAAAGTGTGTGTCATACCTCTCTCACAGGTAATAACAATGTATGTGTCATACCTCTCTCACAGGTAAATACAATATATGTGTCATACCTCTCTCACAGGTAAATACAATGTATGTGTCATACCTCTCTCACAGGTAAATACAATGTATGTGTCATACCTCTCTCACAGGTAAATACAACCTCTCTGTATGTGTCATACCTCTCTCACAGGTAAATACATTATATGTGTCATACCTCTCTCACAGGTAAATACAATGTATGTGTCATACCTCTCTCACAGGTAAATACAATGTATGTGTCATACCTCTCTCACAGGTAAATACATTATATGTGTCATACCTCTCTCACAGGTAAATACAATGAACATGACATACTTCTCTCACAGGTAAATACAATGTATGTGTCATACCTCTCTCACAGGTAAATACAATGTATGTGTCATACCTCTCTCACAGGTAAATACAATGTATGTGTCATACCTCTCTCACAGGTAAATACAATATATGTGTCATACCTCTCTCACAGGTAAATACAATGTATGTGTCATACCTCTCTCACAGGTAAATACAATATATGTGTCATACCTCTCTCACAGGTAAATACATTATATGTGTCATACCTCTCTCACAGGTAAATACATTATATATGTCATACCTCTCTCACAGGTAAATACGATGTATGTGTCATACCTCTCTCACAGGTAAATATAATGTATGTGTCATACCTCTCTCACAGGTAAATACCATGTATGTGTCATACCTCTCTCACAGGTAAATACAATGTATGTGTCATACCTCTCTCACAGGTAAATACCATGTATGTGTCATACCTCTCTCACAGGTAAATACAATATATGTGTCATACCTCTCTCACAGGTAAAAGCAAACTGGATAGCGTTGCCTCCAACACCACAGAATGCATCCACAATGACATCACAGCGACATCTATCCGCAATGTGTTCGGCAATCTTCTCAGGTGTGACTGAAAACCAGCCCTCTAAAAAAATCCAAAAAAAAATACAGATTTAAGGTTATTCAATCCCCATTTATTTATTCTCCTTTTTGCAAAAGTTGTCATCCTGCAACCTAACGCTTACTGATCAGGTGACAAGTCAAATTAACCAGATTTACTATATTTAGAAGTTGTAACAGAAAATTGCTGTGAAATGTAAAATATTAAAAGAAGTTGTTCAGCTGATCTAAATATAACAGGATTACATACCTCTATCTAATTTGATACCATCATCAAAACGTGTGAAGAGTCGATAACGTTGGGCCCAATACTTCCTAAGCTCAGGATCATTTGATATTTCCTCTGGAATTTTACCTTGTTTTTTCTTCTTTCTTCTTTTGTTCTTCTGTGGGGCAGATTTTGCATCACACTGAAGATTAGTATCATCAGAAAAGGTCTCCAAATCAGGAAAATTCTTTTTACTTTGTACCGAGTCATCATCTGATGATACAGACATATCCGACCAATCAATGTCTTCTATTCCATTTGCTGCAGCAAAATCTACAGCGAACTGAAACTTAGTATCTTCATTGATTACAGAGTTAGTAGCCTGTGGTCCAGTGGATATATCACTAGGACTAGATTTATTTAAAAATGCTTTCACTTTATTCAGCTTTTTACTTTTGCACACTTTGAGTTGATGTCCATCACCATCAAATCTAATGTGGACCGGCTTTTTACCCAAGTTCAGATAAGTCTTCCTGTGTTTGCTTTTAAAAGATAATTGTCCTTCTGTGATTCTTGGCTTTTTAACAACTCTGAAAGAAATAAGTAAAAATGTCATATCAAAACTGACAAAAGATTCATCTTTCTTACATCCTGTAATAAAAACTTACATGCCTTTTTTTCATAAATCGTTTTTAATTGATTGGTAGTGGTATATTGTAACACTATGGTATACTGTATCTGAATCCCAATATCTACATACATTTCAGATTGTCCTACTTCTTCCTCCAGAGAAAATCCCAAATATCTAAGTTGATCTTGTACCCTACTTTCTTCATCCATGTGTACATCCTCGTTGTCCATTTCATGGCTACAAAAAAGAATTTATATGGCTAACAAAGCATAAAGGGCATACAGGGGATGTCTCATACCAGTCATAAGACTACAAAACAAAGGATCACATGACTACAAAACAAAGGTCATGGGGCTACAAAACAAAGGATCACATGGTTACAAAACAAAGGATCACATTACTACAAAACAAAGGTCATAGGGCTACAAAACAAAGGATCACATGGTTACAAAACAAAGGATCACATTACTACAAAACAAAGGTCATAGGGCTACAAAACAAAGGATCACATGGCTACAAAACAAAGGATCACATGACTACAAAACAAAAGTTATTTATATCAAGAAATATCAGATATTTTTTCAAAAATATTGAAATTTATAAAGCTATAAATCAAAATGAGAACATTTAGCTAACTATAATCACATTTGCTCCTAGTCCCTCTACTATTTAGAATTGGACACAAATTGATGATATTTAGAATTGAATACAATCAGAAGTAAAAAGTCTTTTAACAAATAGCTTGATGTTTTGATCATGCATTCCTGTAATAAAAAAACAACAAATGTAATAAGAAGTCCTGCCAGAACTATAACACGATTCCTTAAACCATCTATCCCATAATAAGAAGTCCTGCCAGAACTATAACACGATTCCTTAAACCATCTATCCCATACATAAGTAAAAAGTCTTTTAACTGCCAGAACTATAACATGATTCCTTAGACCATCTATCCCATAATAAGAAGTCCTGCCAGAACTATAACACGATTCCTTAAACCATCTATCCCATAATAAGAAGTCCTGCCAGAACTATAACATGATTCCTTAAACCATCTATCCCATAATAAGAAGTCCTGCCAGAACTATAACACGATTCCTTAAACCATCTATCCCATAATAAGAAGTCCTGCCAGAACTATAACATGATTCCTTAAACCATCTATCCCATAATAAGAAGTCCTGCCAGAACTATAACACGATTCCTTAAACCATCTATCCCATAATAAGAAGTCCTGCCAGAACTATAACATGATTCCTTAAACCATCTATCCCATAATAAGAAGTCCTGCCAGAACTATAACATGATTCCTTAAACCATCTATCCCATAATAAGAAAAGACGAAGACAATAGCACTTTAAATACAAATTCAGACTTAGATACAGTAGAGCTGAGCAATGAATTAAACACCATCATACAGCTGTTTCATCTTTCTAGTGAAGGAAATACCAGATGGCAGAATATTGAGGGCGACCATTTTGACAGAAATGTTTTCCTGACTGGAAACTGACCTACTGGGAAGCTGAACTGGTCGTTCATCTGGAGGGTCATCATCACCTCCACATCCAAAACTCTGACTTGTCTGGCTAGTCATTTGGACAGGAGTGCTGGACTCTAAAATTAAAAACACAATAAACTTAAATGGCAAATAATGTCAAATTGCCCATAAAAAAGATTGCAATAATTGATTAAATGAGAAAATATCCTTCAGACATGAATGATATTAGGGAACTGCATTTAAGGGTTTTCTTTGATTGGTGATTGCCACCTTTAAAGCCAAAAACATGAGTTTATTTGATATTGATTAAACCTCTATAAGGACACAAGTGATTAGGAAATGACAGGCGTTAACATGATCTTCTCTCCCTTCCTTTTCTTGGTTACATTAGATGAGAGACTGGAAATTTTTAGCAGCTGCATCCTTTTCTAGGTTATGTTAGAGGAGAGATTGGAAATTTTTAGCAGCTGCATCCTTTTCTAGGTTATGTTAGAGGAGAGATTGGAAATTTTTAGCAGCTGCATCCTTTTCTTGGTTATGTTAGAGGAGAGATTGGAAATTTTTAGCAGCTGCATCCTTTTCTAGGTTATGTTAGATGAGAGATTGGAAATTTTTAGCAGCTGCATCCTTTTCTAGGTTATGTTAGATGAGAGATTGGAAATTTTTAGCAGCTGCATCCTTTTCTAGGTTATGTTAGATGAGAGATTGGAAATTTTTAGCAGCAGCATCCTTTTCTAGGTTATGTTAGATGAGAGATTGGGAATTTTTAGCAGCTGCATCCAATACTCACTTGAAGTGTTTTGACTTGCTGTGTTGGATTTGTTCTTTCTCCTCCTTCCAGAGCCTCCACCATCCACCAACTCCTCTTCCTTATTCCCTCCTTCTGAAATAAAACACTCCTTTTCATCCTTGGATTCATCTTTACTTTGAGAGTATTTTGTATTACTATCATGCACAGAGTCAATATTTGTGAGAGAGTGGCTATTATCACCAAGGCAACCATCTCTAAAGGAAGTGTTACCTTGACAAATGTTGCCAGGGGTCTCATCACCCTGGATACCATCACTATGGGTAGTTTTGCCCTGAAAACTGTTGCTAAGGCTAACATCACACTGAACGACATTAGTGTCCACTTTTGTCCCTGTGGTGGGGACTTGTACACTCCCATTAATGCTTAGACGGTCAAATTCCATTGAGAACTGGTTAAAATAGTACCAGTAAGTTTCTGTATAGTGGTCATTCCACATCTCCTGCCACTCTACCTCATAATCTTCCTCCTGGTCCACGTGATCATCCTCACACTGACCACTGACCACTGACTGATCACCTGGACCTGAGGCATAGGAATGCATCATGTGTACAATCTCTGATCTCTCATTAGACATATTGTCCTCCTCAGCATCCGAAACTTCATCCTGCTGGTGTGTATTCAACTGTTGCTGATTTTCAACACGACCTTTAAGTGTGGATTCTATAGCTTGATTGAATGATATCTGAAACTGGTTTAAAGATAATTTCTCCTGTTTCAAACCATCATCACACAAACCACTATCAGGTTTTGTCTTGTTGTCATCTATCTGATCAATATTTTGTGTTCCTTGATCATGTGTATCATTTATGTGATTCAGATCATCCTCTTCACACAGAACTGGTTTGCCATTTGAACCTTGTTCTTTGTTAACCTCTGATCTTTGACTTTGATTTGAATTTGTACTGCTCTCATTCTCAGTTGTAATGTGAGACAACATGTTCTCTGTGGCACTGTTTATCCTTGGATCCTTTATATTGTGTTTAACTTCTAAATCCTCATTGAATTTACTAATCTCTAACCTCTCTTCTTTGTTGTTGACCCTTGAACTCTCATCTGGTTTGCTGACATTTGAACTCTTCTTTGTGTCGACTTCGAAACTCTCCTGTAATTTTCTGACCTCAGAACTCTTCCTTGAATTATTGACCTCAGAAGCCTCAAACTGGTTGACATCTGAAATTTTTTCTCTATTGTTGACCCTTGAACCTTCTTCTGTTATACTTAACTCTGACCCCTCCTCTGTGTTGACCTCAACCTCTGTGGTGTGAGGCACACCTTTGCAGATTCCATAATCTATCTGCTCAGGGTACTTGTTTACCCAGCCCTCCCAGACTAAATATTCCCCATACTGGCCCCAGTAGCCCTGCCAGGCCTCCTCAAGGTCTAACTGTCGGAATTCTAGTACACTTTCTGGGGTGAGCTGAGGAAAGTCTACCAAATCTAACCCAGCTTTTTCTTCTTCTTCTTCCTTCATCTCTGCCTTTCTCTTCCTTTTCTTTTTCTTTTTGTGACCATGAGATTTCTTTTTCTGTGCCTGAAGTGAAAGTAACAAACTTTTACAGGGTGTTCAATTCTGCAAATTTTCCACTAGCCCAAGGGCCAGTGGGCCACTCTTTCTCACTAACCCTGATCAAAACTACTAGCCTCACTTTTGGATTTTTTCAATTAACCCTAAATGTTTCGTTTTTTTTTCTATAATTTACCGTATCCTCAATAAAATTAATCACATCTGTACTGTTCAATAAAACATTAAACATGTACAAATAATACTGTTTGTCTAGTTTCTATGCAATACGTTGATAATTAACATGAAAGAAATTAATTAACATACATGTACACAACAGGAACACATGAATTTATTGAACTGGTACATACCACATAGTCAAGTTAAATATTCAAACACATAAATATCAAGACGAAATCAAGTCAAACTTGTTTTTAATATAAACAAACTAATATATATACTTTAACTGTTTAGTTAAATCATAAATTTAAGACCAAAACATAATGTTAAAATGTCAATACAACTATTTCTACAAATTAGCTTCTGATTTTATTACATGGAAATTTAGCTTGTCACCCTGACCTTTACTGTCTAGGTATGAGTAATTTATCCTCCCGTCTCATTGCCAGTGAGAAACACTTAAGTATAGTGGTGATAATATCAAATCAAATTAAATTAACATCCATTATTTCCCCTAAGTGTGTGACAGAGTAAAAGTGTTCATTTATAAATACAAAATGTTTTAAGTATAAAGCCAACAAAAAGTTCTCAGAAATGTATATTTCAGAGGACAATGTTGTAAACATTTGTCAAGTATAAATCTCTTCATGTAACGAAAATATTTACTTAAATTATCTGGAAAGCCAACAGTGGCTTATTTTGATATGACCATGTCATGTGTGATGTAACACCTATCAAAGCAGTAGAACTAAGTAAAAATTATCAATTCAAACATTATAATTATCCCTGCAAATCCCTGCTAGTGGAATTGTAAACCCCTGTTTTATACTATCAGGAGTTGTAAAGTAAAATTTACTGGTACTGAAGTCACTACCAGTAAGTTCTCAAACATCAAGAAATTCAGGAGAAAACTTCAACATACCCTAAGCACATCAACAAATTTTGAGTATTCTTCGGACAAAAAGCATTTAAACATTTTTTCTTTCTCTCCAATTTAATGTGTGCCCTGATTTCATTGAAGAATCACCTTTCCTGTGAGTGGGCTGTTTCCACTACCAAATGATACTGGTAGACCCATCATCTTCATCAATCTGTCCTCCTGTGCTTCCTTCTCTTCCTCTTCTATTCCACTTTGTTCCTTCTCTCCATCACCCTCCTCTCCATCTTCTTCCTCTCCAACTTCTGCACTCTATACATCCATCAATAAAAAAATCCCAATTATCAAGTAAGAAATCCTACAGAAAACTTTACCATGATTCCAGGTTTTATTTATATGTCAACAGTAACCAGATAAAGCGCACTCTCTGCTTCATTTGAATGAATCATCTGTCACCACCTATCCAAAAACAGTTATTAACTTGAGATTTTTGTATTTTCAAATGGAACGACTGAATTGATGAAGTCTTTTTTGTGTTAGTGAAACAGATTTTTATGTCAATGTGTTACCAATTCAACCCTACCTGATCTGTTTCTGTACAGGAACTGTCACCATCTTTTGGCCATGTCACCAAGCTCTGCTTAACAAGTTCACTGTCACTTTAATTTCAAAAACACATATTTATTTCATATTGATATTGATATCCTGTGAAATAACTTGTTCGTTTTATCAAATATCTGATGGAATTCCAATGTGAACTCTCCACACACCTACAGTTCAGTATAAGAAATGGACAAATTTCCAAATTTTGCGCCACCTTACATCCCTAGCATCTGACTAAATTTAGATGGTGTCCAACTAAACTTGAAGAAAATCTTTTTTAAATACACATTATGGCCAAATCAATCAACATTAGCCCTATGGGATTGGAAGGAGAGCCTCTCCGTTTCTACAGTACTTGTATCTCATATCAAGGATATTTACATACCAGGTTCGGGCCCCATCCTCCACCATGTCCCAACTCCCTTCTGGTAAGTCAGTTCTTTCATATACAAATTATGAATTCTAGTCCACTGAGGAAGTTTAAAGTGAAAATCTTTTTGAAGGGCTATCAAGAATTGTCTAATTTAGGGGGATATTTTGGTCAAAGGTAACACATTTTCCTTTCCATAAGGGCTTTCCTCAAGTTTTCCATCTTTAGTATTTTAGTATGACCCTTGTGTGCTTCCATTTTAGCCAATAAGAAAGATAACAATAAGTCTACAACCTCCTTTACAATGGTAAAATAAATACAAGTTTTTATTTACATCCTTAAAATGTAATTGCTGATTTGAAAAAAAAGAAAGAAAAATTAAAAAAATAATTTTTAACAGTTGCCTACTGCCTATCCCATATCTCACCGAATGAAAGCTCTGGTACAATGGCACATGATATCAAATCTGTCCAACGTTAAGTGAACCTCCGCCAGGTGGCACCATCTGTGACACATCTGAAAAAGATCATAAATTTGGTTCATTATAAGTTCAGAGGCAACATCTACAAGTGGACACAATTTCACACCAAGTGATGTCAGAATTAAAATGATGTCATATTTACCTATCTGTCAGGAAAAAAAACACATAGAGAGGCAATCAAATTGAATCAAATCAGGAAATGAAACTAGTTGAGAAATGTTTGTGTGCAACTTTGTACTATCATGTACGAGAAACAGAATCTATTACCAGTACAGTGTATATATGTTCAAGATCATCATGAATGAGAACTTGTTACAGAAAGTCAGCCTTCAAATGAGATAAATGGATACCAACAACACAAAGGTAAGAAATTCTATTATTGATAACAAATCTACACCCATTATTTTGCCAACTCTCCCTTCTGTACTGACTTGGAGATGCCTTTTTAGCCCTGATGTTAACTACACAGTACTTAACGAATATGTGGCATTACATTCTATATAATTTATGAGTTTAAAACATCATTTTTTAAGATATAACTAGTTTGTTGTGTTTATCACTATGTTAAAGTTCATCGGTTTGTTTGTTCTGATGTTAACTACAGTGTGACCATGTAGCCTGTGACTGGTGCACTGGAAATTCTGAAGATCTATCATTCTGACCCTTGTATTTGTCTGTCCTAAGTAGATCCAGCCTCAAGCAAATCCAAACCAATTTTCTAAGACATTCTAATCCCTATATTTCTTTTTTTCCTTATTATAATCTCCTTTTTTGATGTATCTATGATACTTTGAAAATATAATGTTTTGTGACTTTTTTAATACAATGTGGCTAAAGCGTGCTGTGACAGTGAGGACACACGACTTGTCTATACAACATTGTCACAAGATGCAGAGGTACAGATAAAGATAGGTAAATGATATACCACCAAAAACAAGTAGTGCTTTGAAAACATCATCAACGTTGTGTAATCATGTAGGGTGACTTCCCTTTCACAACAGAACAATTGTCCTTCGCTTTAATGTTTATTTTATTAATTACTCATGTAAATACTGTTATCACAGCACACTATTGTAATGTTGAATTGATGAAGATGAAACAATGATGAAGATGAAGTAATGATGATGTGATGTAATGATAAAGAGGAAATAAATATGTGATCAGATATGTTGGTGGTATGATTATGATATGTCATGAAGATGAGATGATGATGTAGTTTTGATGATGATAGTGATGATGATGATGGGAAGATTTTGAAGAACACTACCCAGTATACAAAATCATCTCCTTACAAAGTATGTTTGTTATGGAAATCATACACCTCAATTTACCACTTAAACAAACATTTTATATTTGATTTTCAGAAATTCTATGTAGATCTAGCTAGATTGATTTACAAACCTTTGCATAGTCCTGAATGCATCATAATTATAATGGTTTTCGTTGTTATAACAAACAAAATAACATTTGTGTAAGTTTCAAAATCAACAGAAAATAAACCTAATGAAGTAATCCCAGCAGAACCTTTGTGTATTTACCGAATACTCTATATAAAATCTATGAGCCAGGGACCTTTCAGTTTCGCATTTCTCAATGTACTATATCTAGATGGAAGTTTTCTAACCATATCGCCTGTCGAATGTGTTAACTGGAGAGATATTTTGAAGCTAAGAATAGTTTTAAAAGCCATGAGAATAAATTGTTAAAACGTACACAACGGCCAGAAATTTTGTGACCGTCACTTTTGGTTTGTATGTATTTTGCATTGTGTGTAATCATGTGTGGTGTCATGTGATGTGTTGTATTCTTTTGTTGACCGGACTGACCACTCCGGACACATGCACGCTGCCTATTTTCCTGTCCTTTCCTGCTTTTCTGTCTTTCCTTTCACTTGGGCACCATATCTCAAAGGGGTTGGACATTCGAAGTTTGAACCTATTACGACAACTTTATCTATTGTATCTATTCATGATAGAAGTACACATCCCCTGCACTATATGCAGGGCAAGTTGCTGTGAATTATTTGTAAACGATTATTAATCATAAATTATTAATATTGCTGTACAAGTTCAGTCTTTCATATTTTACACATACACATATATTATCTCTTACTTCGGATGTCCAGTTCTTCACATTGTGTATTAAGAAGTAATTGTATAGTGCGTTTGATAATGTATTGTTAAAGTAGTTTGATGTGCTCGTATTGTATATTCATGTTTTTGTCTTTTTCGGGATTTTTTCGTGCCCGAAATAAATTTGAAGCAGACAACCTCGAGTCAAGTCGTTTTTTTTTTCAAAAAGAACCCGAATTTCACAATGGCGCCCATGTAGGGATTACAATCAGCGTGCCACATATTTAAAAACAAAAAGGCACAAAAAATCTTTAATAGTTAAATAAAATAATGCAATTTTGTATTAAATCTGTACATATATGATATTTACTCCATCATAACAATAGCCATTAATTGTAAAATTTGGTAACATATTTACTGTTATGATGATAACAATTTGAATTAAATTATTCGTGTGTTTGTTTATTTGATATGAAATAATGTCATTTCTTTTAAAAATATCATTTTTTATGTGAACTACAATAATTTAGTATCTGCAGGCTCGCTATTTCAATCTGAATGAAGTTATTCGGCACATATATTATACACTAATGGATTATATCTGTATTGTATAGGCATTCATCGGTAATTCTTATACGAAGTTTGTGTCCCAGTGATCCAAAAAGAATACTTCAGTCATCCACAGGCACTTTTATATAGCCAATCCACTGTGCAACAAGAAGCTTCGATTTTGCTCGATTTGTTTAAATTTGGTTGCTCTATATCTCTATTTATATTTTTGTTTGTCGTTACCTCAAAACAATCTGGTACTTCTTGAGTGACAATAACTCTGACTAGCTGACAGGTCAACATGTACAACACACGTGCGATCAAGGGCCGACGAGCAAGAACGGATTCAGTTTACACTACGTTTACTTTCACAGCAAAAAAGAGTTCCACATCCGCGAGGTTTCTGCTATTGGGTTTTGGGGCACCAATGGGTTTACAAAAATGCATTTAGCTTAAACAGTGTAATGTTACACCATGTTTTACATGTTAGGCGGGAAAACAAGCTTTGTGTTTATGTTGATTTATTAAAACACGAAAGTTCCAAGCTAATTAAGTACATGTATTTCTTTACTACATAACTGTTGACTGGATTTTTCAATAAGAGTAATACTGCTCTAAAGGACCGGTGTGTTTATGCCATACCGCGCGGTGTTGTCTTACGTCCGTCAACCTTTCCTTACAAATTGCTACATGTCGTGCACGCCTGCTCAGATTTTAATCAAATTTTATCGACAGCATCCTTGAAGAAACAATTTTTGGATAAATAATGTGTCTCGGCCTCTAAGAGTCGGGAAGACGGGACCCAAAATGTTGTTGTTATTGTGTGTGCTTTTTAAAATCTTATTCTTCTAGTACGAATGATAGGGTTTTATTCCACTTTCGTCCCAAGCATCTTTGGGTGAAGAAAATCGATTTTGTATAGACAATATGTTTCGACCCCTTGGGTGGACGGGTTGGGCTTGGCGGGCGGGATGGTGCCCAGTAGAGGAAACAGATCAAATTCTTTAATACTCAACTCTACTTCTAATGATAGGAATTTTCAATTATCCTGTAAAAATCATTTAGACATGGAACACAAATGGAGCTAACACTGAACCGCAGGAATTTTCTATTCCAACATGAAATCCAGCCAATTAGATGGCGAGGAATGGACAACTTGCATATCCTTAACCTTGTTATAAGGATGGGAACTCGCTTTCATCAGTGGATTACCAGAGTGCAGGCGACAAGAGGGGCCATTGCATGCTTCTTTTCAGTATACATGCATTATGCAATAAAAACGTACACCTGCAGAGAAAAGAAAACAAATATGTAATAAAGATGCCAACTATACAATGATAAATGGGGAGTTAAGGAACACAAATAGGAGAAAAAAACAATAGCACCGAGGAGCGCTAGAAATGTGAAATGGTGGCAATGTAAGAGGATTCTGGAGCAAGCGGAAGAGAGATTCGTCCCGACAAAAATTGTAACAATTGGGAGAAATAGTAAGCAAAGCTTTGCAGCGGATAATGTAACACTAGACACCACTGCTGAGAGAAACAATCTTTGTACAAGAAAGTAGGAATAAACAAGGATCTTGACATACCCAAGGAATACAACAAAATTCAAAATAAAGTAATCAAATAGTAAATCAAGAAAAAATTATGAGCAAAACATCACAATCAAAACAAAAGCCGACCGTGAAGTCATTTGGAACGATATCAACTACAACATCGGACATAGCAGATTTACACCAGGACCTAATGGTCAAGATGAAGGAACAGCAAATTACCTGTGTAAATGTCAGTAGTCTCTCTCTATTAAAGATCAGACTGTTACCGGAACTACAACAAAAACGGACAGAAGAAGGTCAATCTAACTGTAAAGGAAGGAACGGTTCTCAAATTACTGAAGAACCTAAAACCGGAAAATCACCACGGCTAAAAATGCTGCATGTATCTAAAACACATAAACGACATTTCTCAACGGTAGATGACTGGAATAAAGCTCAGGTCAGCGCAATTTTTAAGAAGGGGGACAAATGTATGGCTGGAAATATCGTCTGTGTTATGTCAAGTTTTTGAAACCATTGTAAGAGAACACATCCTAAAGTTTTTTGAGGGCCAGCGACTACTTTTCACCGAAACAGTATGGCTCCTTATTAGGAAGATCCAAATGTCTTCAACTTTTACAGGTGATGGATGCTGAATAGCCTTAGACAACGGTCAAATACATAAATGATTAATCAACAAACTCCAAGCATTTAACTTAAGTTAGCATAGCATTTTTGCAACCACCCCCTCCCCACCCAAAAAAAATCGTCTATTCATCAGTCGCTAGTTAGAAAGAATGTTTGTTTCTAGTTTAAAAAGGTCCGTTTCATTAATTTGAAAGTTTCCTTTTTTCTCTCTTTTCATTTTTGTTTAATAATGAGAAGATGAATTATGCTATGGCGTGTCACACATCGTTGGCTATTCCGTCCAACATCAACTTTTTTCATCAAAACACGTTTTACTCCCAATAACCAAAATGCCTAAGGGATTCGAACTATTTTTTTATGAATGACTTCGGCCTTTTTTTTTTTTATCAAAGTCATAGTGGGTCAACCGTGTTAAAATCATTTTTAAACAACTTTTTGGATCAGGGTATGGTGTTAGGCCTGTGGCATGCTGAATTGAAGAGCTACTGATGGTTTTCAAATTATCAACATTCACCTACTTAGCTCAAGGTCCAATTTGCTCATTTCTTTCTTTCCTTTTTTTTGAATGCTGAAATGAAAGGCTTCCAAGTTTGTTCAAATGAATGACCATGAACCACTTACAAGGTCAGTGGGGTGAAATATGACTCGGAGCTCTGATATTGGGTGTGTGTAGAATGCTGACGCGAAGGGATACCAGGTTTAATCAAATTGTTAACCTTGACCAACATTCAAGGTCATGGGGAAAATATGTTAAGTCTTCAAACAACTTTTCCATCCACAAATGGTGCACTGCATGGTGTTGATACTGGTTCTATAGTATGCTGGAATGATGGACTGCCACATTTGTTCAAATGTACAGCCTTGGCCCACTTTCAGGGTGACAGAGATTATATATATCAAGAACTGAAAGTTTCTTCTGGTCAACAAGCAACAGATCTTGGGTTATGGTATTTGTAGTGTAGCATTTTGAGGAAAAGAAGGTGATGTTTCAACTTTCTAGGGAGAAGATTATGTGTCTCTAGTTTTCAGGGTAATGTTTTTCTAGTTTCTAGTACTAAGGGTACTGTCTCCCTAGTTTAGAAGATTCCGTGTCTCTAGTACTAAGGGTACTGTCTCCCTAGTTTAGAAGATTCTGTGTCTCTAGTACTAAGGGTACTGTCTCCCTTGTTTAGAAGATTCTGTGTCTCTAGTACTAAGGGTACTGTCTCCCTAGTTTAGAAGATTCTGTGCCTCTAGTACTAAGGGTACTGTCTCCCAAGTTTAGACGATTCTGTGTCTCTAGTACTAAGGGTACTGTCTCTCTAGTTTAGAAGATTCTGTGTCTCTAGTACTAAAGGTACAATCTCCCTAGTTTAGAAGGATACCTGGTTACAGGTTTGTCAAGAATCAAAGGTAATAATTTTACTAATTGTTCAATGATTTCGGATGAGACACTATAATCACTATGAAGAAAAAAAACATAGACATATTTCAAAACAATCCTTTTATTCTATTTTTGAAATTTCAACAAAAAATGGAATTATCCATTAGCTTCATTTCGCATTATAACTGATATTCGTCTCTCCTTGGGGACAGGACATCCATTGAAAAAAGAATCCTCATTGGATAGCACTTCATGTGTATAATCATATCTTGCAACATCTCTGGAAAAGAAATAGAAAAGGAAACTAATGTATTGAACCATATTTCTTTGTTTTATAAACAAGAAAAGACTTGGTTTTTCATACTGTGTGACCACATATACAGATAGGAGATCCTAGAGGGATCTTGGCTCTCACTATTGTGTGATCTTTATTATAAACAAGAGAAACCTACCTTCAAACCTTAAGGAGAGATCTTGGAGGGAAATTACATCCACATTGTCTGGTCAATTCCCATCTCCACAGGTTATCAAAATTTATATTTTATTTGGTAAAATTTCAATGTTTTGACCTTGATCACTAGAATGCCATAGAAAATCAGTATACAAATGGAGCATAACATTTTGTAAATTTTGTAAACATCAATAGTAAATACATTATCAACACTAAAGTTTTACTGAAATTATATTTTGCCTTTGAAATACAACGGAGAACATTGTTAAATACAGTTACAAAATACTGAGCTTCCCTCATTACCTCCCTTTGCTTTTATTCTAGTATGAATTGTTCTATTGGAGCAAATCTATACAAAATACAATCTTTATTACCTCCATTTAATTTTCCTTCATGAAAAGTCCAACTCTACACCAACATATTCTTGGAAAACTTTACGGGGTTGATACTATTGGAAATCTGCAGTTCAGAACTAAGTGGACAAATATTATTCATGTCGTACAAAACTGATTGATTGTGGTCCAAACACATTACTTGTTAACATCTGATTTCAAACATAAAATATTATACAACTCTCTGGGCTGGTGTAAATGTCTTACTTCATAATGTAAAGAGATCGTCTGTCAAGAAGAAAATCTGCCCATCTTTGCTTGTCTTTGTCGTGTACAAGTCTCATAACACATGGTGATAGCAGACAAAGTCCCGCTATTGTACTGCCACAGAACTGCAAAATAACAAGCACATTAATGTTATTTTTCTTTTTTCAATTCATTCTTACTTGGAGGTTGATGGAGAGGAGACAACTCTAACAAAAATAGTTTCACAGAAGTTCTATCAGTATCTTTTGTAAACACATAAAACAACAGATAGAAAATTATTAAATAATTCAGTAAAATTGAACTTTTAAACACTGACTTGCTGCTAGTATCTGCTGAAATTTTGGCTCAAATTATATTCCAGCCCAACTGACTTATTGAGGTGCAAAAAAATGGAAAAAATGATAAATATAAATGTAGTAAAAGAAATGATTACATACCCTTACAGCATCTATATGTGGTTTTATGTGTCCATCTTTACTCAGATCTAGGATATGGACGTGAGCCAAGGGCTGTATACCAGCAGGGAATGCCAGGTCTCCAACTCTCTTTAAAATAGCTTCATTGTTCTTTGTCCATTTCTTTCTCTCTGTTTCTCTATACCCTTGGATAGCCTGTTTGTTGAGAAAGCTAAAACTGATTATTTGATATATATATGAGATTTTTTATCATTCGTTCCATAATGTTTTATGTCAACATTGAATTAAATGTTAACATCGAAAATTGTGATTTCTAACTTTGATCAATCTTTGTGCAAGTTTTAGTTCACAATTATCATCAAATAATTTGACAGATCTTGCTGTATATAATAATGTAATTCTTGTATGTCAAATTCTTACATTTTCATCATGGACAAAAAAATAAGCATGTGGAAAAATAAATAATGCTTAAGGTTTGCTGTGTTAACTGAGCTTTAACGTGATAAACAAAAAATCAAACAAATAATACTAATACATCTCAGTCAATTGTCAGTATGTACAAATGTAATCATTCATTTGGACAGTCTATAAAATATTGTTACATAAAGCAGGCTGCTTAAAGTTTTAGATATTGCTTAAAGTCAAAGAATTAAATACATATTGTAGTACTTTTGCACTTTTCTAACATATGTGTATAGATGACATGGAGCTGTGTAATTGATGTCTAAAATACTCACACCATCCCAATGATCATATGTGTATAGATGACATGGAGCTGTGTAATTGATGTCTAAAATACTCACACCATCCCAATGATCATATGTGTATAGATGACATGGAGCTGTGTAATTGATGTCTAAAATACTCACACCATCCCAATGATCATATGTGTATAGATAAAATGGAGCTGTGTAATTGATGTCTAAAATACTCACACCATCCCAATGATCATATGTGTATAGATAAAATGGAGCTGTGTAATTGATGTCTAAAATACTCACACCATCCCAATGATCATATGTGTATAGATGACATGGAGCTGTGTAACTGATGTCTAAAATACTCACACCATCCCAATTATCATATGTGTATAGATGACATGGAGCTGTAATTGATGTCTAAAATACTCACACCATCCCAATTATCATAAGTGTATAGATAAAATGGAGCTGTGTAATTGATGTCTACAATACTCACACCATCCCAATGATCATACTCATATCTTAGGCGTTTCATGTATGGCTCAACTTCATTAACCAACCGTTGCTCTTCTTCAGACGAAATAAAGTTTTGATACACAAGCATTGACGGACCAAGTTCCATTGCAGTTTGTGGGTCACTTGTAGTCATGAAAGAAATTCGGTCATCATGGATATGTTTGTTTGTAGTACTCTCTTTAGATGCAGTACAAAAGCAAAGACTGTCCTTCAACCGTCCACTTGACATTACTTTTGTCCGTAGTGACACACAAGAACACATGAGTTGACGGGATCCAGGAATATATTTTGATGAAAGGCATTTCTTTGAATACGATTGTTTTGCTGATATTGATATGCACGGAGTTTTAAACCGTGTTATGACTAACTTGCGAAAAGAAATCATAAATCCGGTCGTTTGACACGGCATACTTATCTTTAATTCTTGTTTCGTTTTAATAGCATCTTGCTATTGGAAACGCTTAAATGAAACGACTGAAGAACCAAACGTTTTACTGATTACGATTGTGATTTTAAGGAAACGGAAACGGAAATGCTACATGCCTGCGCATTGTTTCCCACAGCAACCACATTAAACAACTTCCACAGGTATCGATGATACCTAGATTTCGGTGAAAAACCAGCAACTAAGGCAAGTATATATGCAAGCCATTCTGTTTTTAAATCAATAATCAATATTTCTTTATGTTACGCATTTCTTGAATGAAGTAAATCACCGTTTAATGCGTTTAAAATGGAATATTTTCATCTGAACATGAATTGTTGTTTGGTGACAACGTCAACGTAGAGAGAAACATTAAATTGTGTTTACCTTGGAAGGATTATATAACATAATCTCAGCATATACATACATCGGTTGATTGGTGAAAGCAAGTATAGAGCTGACACAATTACCAGAATTCATATCACACTCTTCCTAGTTATTCTCACTCATGAAAAGACCACAAATGGCAATGTCTCTATCATGGTATGCGTGCATGTCTTTTTTCCGGATAGAATCGCCAGTTTGTCTTTACATGTTATCACTTATTCAATATAGTCGATTGCATACATAATTTACGCGGACAGATCATTGTCTTGCAACTCCTGCTGAAAATCTGTTGATAAAATTTGCTCTGACATATTTTACATACTTTACCTCTCTGCAGTACATATAGCAATCAGACATTTTAGTACATAGCTATCAGCCTAGGAGTTTTCAGTTAATGGCATCAAAGCTGAAGGGTAGGAATAAAACCATTGAAATTGTTGAATGCGTTCAGATTTACGAAATCATTGTACAATATGGTATTGTTGTAGGCTAGTGGAAATATAACCAAGATCACCACTTAGTTGTGAACTGAAGCCTCTTGAGCTCCTAGGATTCTAATCCCAGTCCTGTGGCTTACTAGGTTTACACTAAACTGATCAAGCCAAAGAAATCTGTCTAGCTAAGACAGCTTTACCAGGTTTACAAATCACTACAGTTACAACTCTACTATCGGCAAATACATGGATGCTACTGTAATCACATTCTTTTCTTTGTTATTTTCAGGTTGTGAGAGACAACAAAGATGTCGATAGCAATTGCACAAGCCAAGCACATCTTTGGTCTCAAACCAGGTGTGACTGGCAATATTTGTTATCATGATGAACAGACCATTGTTTATCCCTCTGGAGCAAATTGTATTTTATACAATATCGACCAAAAGTCGCAGAAATTCATTCCTGGCACAGATAAAAGTGAGGGAATGACAGCTTTGGCTGTCAGTCCAAACAGAAGATATGTAGCTATTGCTGAAAAGGGCGAAAAACCTACAATCACAATTTATGATCTTCACAGTCTCCGCAAACGAAAGGTCCTTAGCTCTCCAGATGTTCAGTCAAATGAATTTGTCAGTTTGGCATTTTCTCCAGACTCCAAATACTTGGTCGCTCAAGGAGGAAAACCCGACTATACGCTGCTGTATTGGACATGGGAAAAATCTAAAGTAATGGCTGTCACAAAAACATCAAACCCGCAGACCAACCCACCAGTGTATCAGGTATAAACTGTAAACTTCTATAGACCAGTTACCAGTATTGTTAAAATCTTTTGAAAGTTACTTTTCTTTTTCAGATCATAAGACTCTGTCTGCTAATGAGTAGAGTTTCTGTTTACTGATTTACATACAAGTTCCATTTTATAAGCCTGTCAAAAGCCTACCCCATGATTTTGTGTTCAAAACGTAGTAGGAAACTGTTAATTTGCATTTTTTCCTGAAATTATTGGTCATGTTTGAGATACACAGGTAAAGCAGTTTGGTTATGAAAAATACATCATTACATCTATATATTTATAAACTACATAACAATTACATTAATAGTAGAGAGATAAAATTTGTGTAAATAAAATTTCCTGATTTCTGACATATGATTGCCAGGTAATCAACTTGAAAAATGCTGAAAATGCAAAAGTACTACTAATTCCAATCTAACACTACAACTTTATAGAAGAAATTAATACATTTGTATCTGAACACCTGTCTTAAAATCAACAACACTGCCATGTTAACAAACTACTTACATTTCAGCAAATTCCTACTTGGAACGCATTCACAACATGACCATACGTAAACACAATGAAAATTTCACTTCCTGTAAAGCTAGTTTTCGGTGTGTAGACACAGATTTGAGTCTTTCCAAATAGTAATCTCCAACACAATGCAAAAATATTATTCTGAAAAATGTGAAACCCCACATTGTCCACTTCAAGATGACGACCGATCAGAACAAAATTGATATGTTTTTCCATATTTTTTTGCAATAAGCATTAAATTGTTAAAAAAAGAATTTAAGTGCTTAAAATTCCATGTCATCAGATTGTTGAAGCAATAAAATATCTGTATCTTTGTTGTTTAATTAGGATAATAATTCATTTTTATGTTATTTACTAAATTTGTAATCAATTAGGCAATTGGACCCTTGGGTCTGCTGTTGAAATAAATTATATAATTATAGATAAATTAATGAACAAGTAAATAATGATTAAAGTATGATTTTTAATGTTTACAGGTTAGCTTCAATCCTCAAGATAACACCCAACTCTGTGTCGTAGGAAATGGCATCTTCAAACATTTTCGCTACAGTGAAGGGAACCTTAAAACTTTCAACTTCCAAAAGATGGAGCCACAGAACTATCTGTGTCACGCCTGGGTTTCAGAAGAGCGAATCATTGTTGGGACCGACACTGGACGACTGCTTCTTTTTGAAGCTGGTGAATTAAAAAATGAATTTAACATTGGAGCTCAACAAAAGGATGCTGGGTAGGCCAAATTACAGACAATTATAAATTCTTTTGTATTTTTCTTTAAGATTCCTGATTTTTAGAATACAAAAATATGATATGGTACAAAGCATCCTTTCCAACCTTCCTTATTCAAAGCAGAGTGTGGATCACCTACAAATCCTTTCGGTTATTCATAATTTCAAAAATCCCTTTTGTTCACCAGAGTCTAGCTGCAGAAAGGTAAAGATTGAAAAAAAAGAGGTTTAAAATGTATGTTCTAAGTTTTTGAACTTTGCAATTTCCTTAAGAAAAAAGTTTGGCAATTATGACACAGAAACAGATTAGTTTGAAAATTATAAAGTTGAATGAATAATTTTTGTGATTTAAGTAATTTGTTATCTGTTCATTAAGAAATCTATCAACTTTATTGAAAATTTGTTAATATCAAGTATGTTATTCACACATGTTTTTTTTATCAATATTTAGGCGACCAAATGACGGTGAAGAGGCTTCTGCTATCCCAATCATTCCACAAGTTTCAGCCATTGTAGCATACTCCAAGGGTTTTGCTTGCTCATGCGGACCTGGTACTGTACACTTGTTTGAAAAAACTGATGATAAAGATTTCTTCAAGAAAACAAGAGAAATAAAGGTGTGTTACAATCTCAATAACACTGACTGTTTTGGTATCAGTACTGGTTGATTGATTACGTACTGCTTTAGTAAGAATGATCACAAAATCTTTTGAGAACTTATGTTCTTGCTTTCCTCTTTGGCAAAGATAGTGTTACATGCTATAAAAATAGTGTTGTGCCAGTAAAACATTTTATTGGTTCTTAGACATATCAGATATAGGTTTTATGAAGCATTTAAAATTCTGACTTTAACAGCTCTAGGCTTAAAAATGTGTGAACAATGAAGTCATGGTTTGGAACTAGATGCTCTGGGGTTTGGTTACAGAAAAAAAATTTGGTTTCTGTTCAAATATTTATTGAATTTCAAATTGAAATTTGGTTGATAAAACCACCAGGATATAAGCAGACTTGTCTTAGGTATATGTAAATTGTATGTATTTGTAGTTTAATGTTTTTTAATATGAAGGTTTGATATTTTTGAATATTAAAATTTATGATTTTGTTTGCTTAAAAACCAAGTCAAAACACCCCCCGACCTCCCCCCCAAACAAAATCACAAAGTGAAGCAAAAAGAAAAAAACAAAACAAAACAAAGATCTGAGTGGAGTTGGTATCAGAAAAAAATGTTTCTATGGAGTACCTGACAGAAAATTAAACCACAATTTCCAGGATGATAATCTGGTGTTTTATCAACTGAGCCGAAAAAAGCCTGTTCTGTCAGCTGAGTGACAGAGACCATATTTAACACTATATAAAGTAAAAGTCACATGGACTTGCTCCAATACTGACAAACATTTCTTGTTTAGATCCCACCAGACAACAACAGTGCCGACCCAGCAAAAGCTCAGCAACAACTGATAACATGTCTCACAGTCAGTCCGTCTGAGGAGACCCTTGTGTCCAGCACTGACCTTAGCCAGCTCTACTATCTAACACTGCCGAGTGCAGACCTTGGAAAGGTAAAGAAAAACCTTAGAAAAAAGAGATATATGTATGTGATTCAAAAGAATGAAAACAGGGAAAAACTAACTGTAGTTTATAATAAAAGTTATCTTAAGTTTATTGTGAAATATTGAAAAAATATGATTTCAAAATCATGATCTAGGGGTGTGTATTTGCATCTACATAAATCCAGAAAACAAAAAGTCTTTTAGTAATCATCAAGGTTATAAAAAAGGATGATATAATTACATTATTGTTGTACTTTAAAGGACAATATTTCAATAATTTGAAATTCTTATTTTTGGAGCAAATCAGCATCTGTCTATAAAGATGAAATTTTGTTGTTTTTGTTACTGATGATGCTAAGAATTAGAAAAGTGTAAGAATATATTCTTTATTATTGTGTTTTTTTTTTTAAAAAACAATTTTAGAGCGAGGGTGACCAGGCTCATTTTGAAGTACTAGCTCAGTCGTTCCACTACGGTCAAATCACTGGTCTGGATGTTTGTATCAGAAAGCCTCTGATTGCTACAAGCTCTCATGACAGATCCGTCCGAATCTGGAACTACGAGAACTGGTGTGTAATTACTTTCATTCGAATAGTGGCATGACTCATAACATATAAAAGCACTTGACTTTGTTCTGAATTATCGGATACATTGAAATTAAGAAATTTACTACATTATGGGGCTAGTATGATTACTTTTTTATCCTCAGTCACCTCTGTCAAAATATAGGCCCTTAGCATCACTGATGAGTCCTAGAAGGACACAACAGCTGTATGGTGCAGTTTAAATCTGTTTGGCTCTGTTGTATCTAACTCTAAATTTGTATATAAAGGTGCTATAGACATGCATGTTTTTGTACATTCTTTTTCATTCAATGCAACAAAGAAACTGTTTAAAGCAGATTCTAGTGAAAAAATGATCATCACTGCATATATTAGGTTACTGTATTACATCAGAAGTGAAATAACTATTGACTAAGTCATTAAAATCTATATATCATTTAACAGTAACCTGGAGCTGTATAAGGAATTTGCTGAGGAAGCATACAGTATTGCCCTCCATCCCTCAGGTCTGTACATTCTTGTCGGCTTCAGCGACAAGCTCCGTCTCATGAACCTTCTCATTGATGACATCAGGACCTTCAAAGAATTCACTATCCGTGGATGCAGAGAGGTACAATTTGACATCAATTGTAGTATTTATGTGTCCTTTTTTTTCAGTAGAGTTGTGAATTAACTCTCCATAAAGTAAAAGAATAGAAAAACTTTTCAAAAATGTGCTTTTTTTTTAATTAGATCTTCAGTTAGAAATTATCTGATATTTGTAAAAACTTATTGGTTCATGTTTATTACAGTGTGGTTTCAGTAATGGTGGACACTTATTTGCCGCAGTTCATAGCAATGTCATACAGATCTACTCCACATCAACATTTGAAAACACCTCAAACCTGAAGGGCCACAACGGTAAAGTCCGCTCGATTGTTTGGAGTGCTGATGACAGTAAAATGGTGTCCTGTGGAGGAGACGGTGCCGTTTACGAGTGGGAGACTTACTCAGGGAAGAGGGTTGGCGAAAGTGTTCTCAAGTCTTGTGGTTATACTGGAGTTGCAGTCACACCAGACGGAAAAGCCACTTTTGCCGTCGGCTCTGACAAGTCCTTGAAAGAGATTGCAGATTCACAGGTGAGTGCAATCTGTACTAATTCTATTCAGTTTTGTTAGTTAAATATCAAAAATTCAAAATCTTCAGAGAAATTTTAAAACTACAGTCACATTGTGTTCAAGTGGTGGAGATAAGTTTAGCATAGAAATTTAATAACTTATTTTTGTACTTGATTTTTATTATTCATTATTAGAATTAATATCACAATTTTGTGAAATGTTTGTAGATCCTTCGTCAGATAGAAGCTGGTGACATGACACTGAGTAGTGTGGCACTGTCCCATTCTGGTCGTATGTTGTTTGCTGGTACGGTCAAAGGAACATTGTGGTCACTGAAGTTTCCCCTTAATCCTCCAGGAGAGTGGACAGAACACTCCGGTCATGGAAGTCAGATCACCAAGGTAACAATGAGAATTCATGTGACAGAACTGTGACCTATCCCTAACATCAGAAAGTCCGTTAACTGTAACACTACATGTTTTAGAGTTTCATTTTTTTACCATTTGTTTTTTTGAGAATGAAAACCAAAATTCTTGAAAGTTATTTGAAAATGAGAAAGCCATAGCTTATTTCATAGCTTCCATGAAAAGAAAAAAAAACATGCAATAAGTGGTTTTGAAAATATAAAAAATATTGTGACATTATGTTTGTTTATAATACAGACACAACAAAATCTGAATTTTATTAGATAAACTTTCCTGTTCTTGAAGTCAATGTCATTAAAAAAAACTAAACACATTTATACTGTAGATCAAGAATCGTGTTGGTCAGATCAAGGGCTTTAACATTTTATAAATGTAATTTTTCCTCCTCATTTGCAGTTGACTTTAGTTACATTGTTTTCTGACAGATGAAGATAAGCTATGATGACCAGTACTTAGTTACTGTATCCGAGGATGCTTCAGTCATTTTGTGGAAGATCCAGGACAAAGAGGGACGTGGTCTGAAGAGGGACAAGGAAGTGGGCTGGGCTGAGGAAATTCTCATTACAAAGAGTGACCTTGAGGAAAAGGTAAAAGATTTACATAGATATGGCAATCAAAAAGCATTAGCTCTATAATGTCTTGACAAAATGTATGTTTTTGTACATAAATTGTAAAATGCTCTTGCATTGTTGTTTAAAGAAAATGATGGTTTGATAGAGACCTAAAAGCAGTGTTAGCTTTTATTATTTATCTCACAAACTATGATGCTTAAATGACATTTTTCATATCTCAAAGAACTCAAACTAACCATGCTTTATCTCATTTCATTCTTATACCTACTGTCAGTCAGTGATGTTCAAACTTTCCCTCAAATATTTTTTATTTACTTATCTTATCAATAAGCCCATATTCAGAAATAAGCCCGCCCTTATCTCTTGCTGTTCAAAAGGAAGCTGAAACTAGTAATAGACCTGTAACAAGTCTTTAGACCAGGATTTCTATGTTTGCTTCCTGGGCCCATTGAAGGTAAAATTTCAAACAGAACGAAAGTCATAGGAAATTGATTCCAACAATGTTTGTATTTTGTAGAACACGATGATGAGTGATCTCAAGACAAGGAACGATGAACTGAAGCTTGAAAATGATTATCAACTACGTCTGAAAGACATGAACTATAACGAAAAGATCAAGGAACTGACAGAAAAATTCATCCAAGAAATGGAAGCTTTAAAAACTAAAAATCAGGTAAACAGGCAAAAACATCATGTAAATGAGTGGTAACATCAGGTAAACGGGTGATAACATCAGGTAAACGTGATAACATCAGGTAAACGGGTGATAACATCAGGTAAACATGATAACATCAGGTAAACGGGTGATAACATCAGGTAAACGTGATAACATCAGGTAAACGGGTGATAACATCAGGTAAACGGGTGATAACATCAGGTTACCGGGTGATAACATCAGGTAAATGGCGAAAACATCAGGTGGTAAATGGGTGGTAACATCAGGTAAACGGGTGATAACATCAGGTTAATGGGTGATAACATCAGGTAAATGGGTGGTAACATCAGGTAAATGGCAATAACATCAGGTAAATGGGTGGTAACATCAGGTAAATGGCGATAACATCAGGTAAACGGGTGATAACATCAGGTAAATGGGTGATAACATCTGGTAAATGGGTGATTACATATTTACAAATATGTATAAAATAGAATGTGTGTGTGTGTGTGATGATAAATTCATCTAAAACGCTCTTTTGGAAATTTTTTTTTAAACTTTTGACATTTTCACTTCCTTACATCAAAAGTTTTGTAAGAAAGCTCATTGTTAGAAATAGCATATCATAATGTTGTTTATATACTAAATGTAAAACAATATAACAATTTTAGACATAATTATTATCAAGATAATTGTTTTTTGATATTTTTGCCTTCAGTCTTGTTTTTCGGTTCAATTTTGAAAGAAAACAAATTATTTTCTTTTGAAAGGTTTTGAAGACCGACAAAGATAAGGAAGAAGCAAAACATGAGGAAGAAATGAGAGAAGTGATGGATAAACACACAAAAGAGCTCCAGGATCTTGGTAAGACAAAACTGAAGGAATTGGTCCATTAAACACTTTTATGTCTGCTAGAAAGTTTTTTGCTCTCATATTTCCTTTAGATTTCATACTTTGTTTTTATTTCCATACTGAAGAAATACGTAGAAATGAGAATTCTCCTCTGCCTTGTTTTGTTATCATTCATTGGTTTTGTGTTATGTTATCATCTATCAAATCTTAAATATACAGAATCGGCCAACAACCAGAAGCTGATGTTGGAGTACGAGAAATTTCAAGAACAACAGAGCAAGACAATGAAAATGCAGGAAGAATATGACCGCCTGCTCCAAGAAAAAGAAGAAAGCAAAATGAGGGCCATGGAAGAACTGACTGAGTACTATGAGACAAAACTCCAGGAGAAAACCACTCAACTGGAACAGGTATGTGTTGATCTGTGTTAAAATAAATTATCTTAAAAAAAGATGAAAAAAAAAAAAAAAAAGTTTTTGTACAGTTTTAAGGTAAATGAAAAGTGAAACAGAATGTGAACCTGTTGATCCATGTTAGCATAATTTTTTCCGCGGAAAAAAGGAAAATTTTAAAAAATGGAAAGTTCTTGAAAAGTTTTAATTGAAAGGTAAAGTGAAACAGAATGCTTAATATATACCTCCACACTCCACACTGAGGCCATGATCTAAACCTTTTATACAGGCTCATGATGAGGCTAGGCAGTCACTGAAGGAATATGAGGAAACTAAGAAACAGATTGAGGAGGATGCTGATCGAGAAATCCTCGATATCAAGAACAATTATGAGATCAGACTTCGCGCTGAGAAAGAGGACAACATCAAATTAAGAGGAGAAAGTGGCATCATGAAGAAAAAGGTAGATTTCAAAACAGTCATTTTTTTAGTTCAGCTTGGAGATTCAGACTCAGTTCCATTTTTGCTTTGGATATTTGTTTCATTCCAGATTTTTTAGGAAATAAGTCTGTTTTTATTGTCTTAAACTGATGCAGGTACAACTTTAATGTCGACATGTGAATTTTAAGTCTTTATATTAAAATCACAATACCTTTTATGTATCATATCTAAATCATACAACCTCACAAGAAAGGATAAATAAGCAAAACTAAATACAAGTTAAATAATTATAAAACAATTAAAAATTTTATACTGAGAAGAATGTGATTTATTTTAACACCCAAAAAAGTACCAAAATGACACTAGTGTTTATTGAACAGCATTCAACTGAGATAAAGGTGTTCTACTTTTTCCTCACCGAAGTTGATCAAACAGAACAATGAGAAGGTTTCTTTCTTGGACCCTCAAATTCTTATGATTTTGAAATACTGAAGGTCATATATCTGAGAAAAAATATGTCCCCTGTGATTAGAAAAGATTTATTTTGTAAACAGACAAATCTCCAACATCATGAACAATGCTTTTTATTTGTAGTTCACAAGTCTACAGCGAGAAATTGATGATCACAAAGAGGAAATTAAGAAGTTTCAGGCAGAAACTCAGAAACAGACAAATGTGATCCGTAACATGGAAAAGGACATTATGGGTCTGAAGAAGGAGATCCAGGAAAGAGATGATACTATTCAGGACAAGGTAAGGTTGATATCTTACTTTGGTGATGGAAATACAGGGGAGGGGTTGGGGATATAGAACCCTCTGTGTTAGGGGAGGGGTTGGGTATATAGAACCCTCTGTGTTAGGGGAGGGGTTGGGTTATAGAACCCTCTGTGTTAGGGGAGGGGTTGGGTATATAGAACCCTCTGTGTTAGGGGAGGGGTTGGGTATATAGAACCCTCTGTGTTAGGGGAGGGGTTGGGTATATAGAACCCTCTGTGTTAGGGGAGGGGTTGGGAATATAGAACCCTATGTGTTAGGGGAGGGGTTGGGTATATAGAACCGTCTGTGTTAGGGGAGGGGTTGGGTTATAGAACCCTCTGTGTTAGGGGAGGGGTTGGGTATATAGAACCCACTGTGTTAGGGGAGGAGTTGGGTTTATAGAACCCTCTGTGTTAGAGGAGAGTTTGGGTATATAGAACCATCTGTGTTAGGGGAGAGGTTGGGAATGTAGAACCCTGTGTTAGGGGAGGGGTTAGGTATATAGAACCCTCTGTGTTAGGGGAGGGGTTGGGTATATACAGCACTATACTGGTTGGTAGATGTAAAAGATTGAATTTTATGTACAATTTGACAACATAATATTTTCTGAAATTTAACATGTTTTACATCGTAGGTCTAGATCTAGGTCAACCAATAAAATTTAACTTTGTCGTAATTGATTTATAGGAAAAGAGAATTTACGACTTGAAGAAAAAGAACCAGGAATTGGAGAAGTTTAAGTTTGTGCTAGACTACAAGATTAAAGAATTGAAGAAACAAATTGAGCCCAGAGAGAACGATATAAAGAGAATGAAGGACCAGATACAGGAGGTAAAAATCATCTGTCACCAAAACATTATCAAAGCTCCAAAAATCAATAATTTTACAAGAAATAGCCAAATTGTCTGTTCCATTTCACAATCCGTAAAAAAGGGATGCAATTTTTTCAAAACAAAATACAAAAATAATATTGAAAGATAAAAAGAAATGTCACATTTTTTTTTCTTTTCTTTTTTTCCCCCAAAGTGTTTGCAGGCACATAACACTTATAAATTCTTGAAGAAAACAAAAGTACTGTGTCAAATATTTTGCCAATCAGAATTGGTTTGAAAAGGAAGGTAGCATATGTCTCTGATTTTTATTAGAGATGTACCAAATTATCTGGTTACCATGTTTACAGATGGAGAGCGAGCTTGAGAGGTTCCACAAACAGAACACACAGCTGGAGCTTAGTATAAAGGAGCTGACACAGAAACTCAGGGCTACTGATAAGGAGATGCACCAGGAGAGACAGAAGGTAGGTCAAGGTCATCATATCAAAAGGTTAGGTCACTATGTAGTAAGATCAAGGTCATATCAAAAGGTGAAGGTCATCATATAAAATCAAGGTCATTCTTTTATGAATTCAGTGTCAGCATAATAGAAAGTCAAAGTAATTTTATCACAGATTTAAAGTCATAACACCATAGGCCAAGATTATTGTAGCACAGGGTCAAGGTCATATCACACAGACAGGTGAAAATTTAATAGTCTTTTCTTTGAAAAATGCGTCAACTGTACAATGTAAATTTAGCCAATAAAAATTCATGATAGAAGTTTTCACAGCATGAATGTGGCTTTAGATTTCATCAATTTTTGTGCTGCAGGTGCGTGATGTTGAAGCAGTGGTGAAGAGATTCAAGACAGATCTACACAACTGTGTGGGATATATACAGGACCCGAAGATGTTGAAGGAGAGCATCAAGGCTTTGTACTCTAAACACGTCCAGGAAGATGTGGTAAGTAATAATAATCAAAGCCCAGAGATTATATACAGGAACTAGTGGTAAGTTAAGAACACAGTGTTTTTATTGGTTTACAGTGGTATGAATGCAATAGGATGCAGATATATTCTGTGTAACATGTTAGAGATGTATGTCCTTTTACAGCACCCTTTGTTCGATATAGACACCAAATGATTTGGTGAAATAGTCCCTTTTATAAATCACCATTTCTTGGATAAAACATTCTCCTGTTTGTTGAGACTAAAATCAGGATTTGGCAAACAGTACTATGCATTCTTATGTACATAATTACATGTATTCATGTTCAGATCGTTCATAAATGTTCATGTCCACCTCATCATATGCCGGTTATTTTTCAAATGATTATCAATACTGCATACATTTAAATAAGGGCATGAAGTATAATGGAGATTTCTTGTAATATGAAATCAATGAAATTGAAATAAAAAGAGTAACTTGAAAAGATAAATGTGTTACAAATTGTCAGTAATCAGGTACATATGTATAAGTAGTACACTAGACTATCATTTACTGAATCACATTTTTCATTACCAATACATAATAAATTTAGCAAATGCAAAATACTGCACTATCATCATGATTGACAACAAATACTTTCCCCTTAAGACACAACCTGTCAGTCACTTCAGTAATAATTCCCTTTAAGTACAACTTTTAAACAAAAAATAGACAAAAAATAGTACAGTGTGAGGAAAATATGTTTTCTTTCTAGACGGAATCAGCCAGTGTAGACGCCGACATCCAAAAGGAATACAGTCGACAAAGGGAACATCTGGAACGATCCGTAGCCTCCCTCCGCAAAAAACTTTCCAAGGATTCGGAAATCCACAGAGCAGACAATGTTAGAATTATGCAGGTGAGTTTTTCTCTTTAGACATAAATAAAGTGAAATGTAGTTCTCACATTCACAAATTAATATTTCAAATTCTGATATTTTAAATTTTGAATATTTGGAATGATACTCATCAAAATTCAAAATATGAATGCTCTGCATTTTTTGCAGAACATTTAATGCATGTAATATGAAATTTTGATGTTTTTCATTTCTTTCTTTTCAGGAAAATGTGTCTTTGATCAAGGAAATTAATGATTTACGTCGAGAGCTCAAGATAGCTAGAACACAAATCCATGATCTTGAAGCAGCAATGGGACTTCACAGCAAGAAGAACAAAAACGATACTGCAACCATCGCTGCCATCACAGCCAAAGGACCAAATGCTCTTATGGAGAAGGACATGGAAGAAAAGAATAAAATCATTGAGATGCAGATGGTAGAAATTCGACGTTTACGTTCTGAGATATCTGACTTAGATTTAGGCTCCAGACCACCATCATCTCATCGTCTCCCACCTGTACAGTTAGTGTCATGATCGGACAAGTATTGGACTCTGCTGGATTCATCATGAGAATATTTTGATCATGCTTAGAGTTAAAGAAAATGGTGATATGATAAGCCTGATAACGTATACGGAAGACATTCACATATTCTGAAAATTTGTGCTTTTGTATGTCAAAATATCTGATCACTGTATATGATGATGATAGGAAGTAAAAACAATATTTTGAACAAAACTTGTCGGGGATCTTGACGGATGTTTTCAAACATGTTTCATAAATTAGTGTGCACTTCAAACAAAGCTGCTATTTTGAGAAAAGTTATTGTACTTAACCCTGCTGACTTTCTGTCAACTATTTTTATATTGTATCAAGCAGTTGTTTATTAAATATCTCTTAAGAAAAACAAAGTACCATAATTCTATAAAGGAAATATATTTACTCACTCTGCTGAATTGCTGAACCAAAACTGGACATAATTTTTTTTTTTTTTTTTGCAAAAAATCATTTTTTCTCATAATATAAAATTTTAATATCACACCATGTTAATGCAGGGAGATAACTCTGTGTATATTAAATTTGTTGATTATATATTTTATGAAGTATCTTCATTTTCTTTTTTTGGGGGGGAAATGACAGGTTTTATTCAGGCTGTGATAAATTCAATGTTAACACTATGTATCATTTTCCTGGCAGATTTTCATGCTTTCCACATGTTTACATTTTTTAATAAAAAATAATCTGAATTTTTTTTTCAGATTTTCCTTTTGAAACCTTGTATTTGTTAATGATATACTTTACTGAATCTAAAAAAATCTTGAAATAATACAAAGTTTAATTGTGGAGGAAATATTTTCAGGAAAATATCTCTCCTAATTTTTACAATATTTAGAACTGTAAATTGTGTACATAAAATGTATAATATTTTTTTTTATAGTCTACCACACTGTTTATGTGGGAGTGCTGTAAGATCAAGTGAATTCTGTGATAATCTTATGTATAAATAATTTAATTAAAATAGTTTTATGGATAAAAGTTTTTCTTTTATTTTTGAAAGTAGAAGGAGAATGTGACCAGGTGTTTGGGGAGAATAACCGTCTTATGCTTTATTGTCTACACCACCATGTTAGTCACTGTCACATTTTAAAATGACAACAAGATATACAACAATGTTACCAACACGCAAACCAATGAGCATCAAACATGCCCAGCTTCATATCGCACAAAGAAATAGAATATTTCTCAATACTGGGATACCTAACATTCCAGTGAGATGACACTACAGAAAAAGATGTCATATTACATAACATTTTTATATATTCAGCCCAGATATACCTACATAAATGTGGAGGTACACAACAATGTGGCTCAGCACAAGGGCTTGGCAACACAGCTACTTAACATCCTCACTGCATCTGTATTTACAAGGTTTAGGCAGGCATGGTAAAATTTATGATTAGGAACATTTTATATATAACTCGGTTATAAATCGCACTAACAAATTTCCTAACTTTCTAAAGCAAGGTTTGTTTTCATTAACTATATCTGTTTTACCCATTATAGAAAGGGGACATAGAATGTTAAAAGAATATGAACATATTGTCAGCTTAACTCCAACTCGAAATTTATCAAACCATGGCAACAGAGTGATTACTCGGGAACTCCTGAAAAAGTACAAGGAGAATTAGACCAGTTGTTCCGGAAGAGTAACCGTCTTCAGCTTGATCAGCGACACCTGCCATGTAAACCTTGGTCAGTGCAAGCAAGTAATGTCAGGTTTTCAATGAGAACAAGGTATTAAACAACGGAACCTATAGGCAAACTAATGAGCATCAAACAAGTCCAGCTTCTTATCACACAAATAGAATATTTCTCATTGAGATCATTATGACGACAGGCAAACTTTCCCATAATTCAAACGGACATTCCTAAAAAAGTACAATAAATAAGACCAGGTGTTCTGGAAGGGTAAGATGTCTTCTGCTTTATAAACCACACCCGCCTTAATAATGTTAGTCTAAGTTAAAATCAGATTATAAGGTAAAAAATCAGAGGACAGGCGAACAAACAAGGGTCATTAGAAAAAAGGACAGAAAATTAAAGGTGATTAAAAGGGGATTTTTAGATCAATTATACGAAGACGTACTTTGACCAGAAAAGAGATTTAGACATAAACAAAATGTAAACAGATAATGAAAATAAAATGTAATGAAATAATTTATTAAGGATAAGAATTACGTATTTAACACCAGAAGACTTGAACGATGTTCACATCATTACACGTATATTCATTAATATATAAACAACACACAAACGGTACCACAACTGGCTACCAGTCCCAAAGTTTTTGTAAAGAATTCTAAATTCTTATATTAGCTTATCTCCCCCGAACTTGAAGATGAAACTCCAAACAATTATCAAAGAGACCAAAATTATGAAGTACAATTTTATTTCAATATTCTAGGTCGAAGGAAACAGTTCATTGAATTTTTCCTGAAATTATTTGAGACATACAGGTAAAAGAGTTTGGTTATGAAAAATACATCATTGCATGTGTATATATATATAAACTACATAACATTTACGTTAATAGTAGAGAGATAAAATTTGTGTGAATAAAAAATTTCCTCTGATTTCAGACATGTGATTTCCACGGTTACCAACTCAAAAAATGCAAAAACACTGCTAATTCCAACTTAATACTACGACTTTATAGATGAAATTTATTTTTGAACACCTGTCTTAAAATCAACATCACTGTCAGTGTAACAAACCACTTTTATTTCAGTAAATGCCATCTCGGAAACATCTAAACACCATGAAAATTTTACTTCCTGCAAAGCTAGTTTTTGATCCGTAGACACAGATTCGAGATTTCCCAAATGGTAATTTCCAACAAAAAGCTAAAATATTATTCTGAAAAAATTTTGAATAAAACCTTTATAATGGAGTATTCCAATGAAGAAAAACAGCATGGCCACACCAGAGACGTATATATCACATGTCTCTGGCCACACCGATAAACTGTGTACTGCTACCTTAGAGACGGTGATCTGTCTTTGCAAAACCGGTAAAGTCTTTGCAAGTTGGTTATTTCCGCTATCCTTGTTTGGCTTACAACATGATTGGAGTGTTTGGACGACGATTTGTTTGGTGCCGTTTATATTATCAAACTTGTGTCCTGTTGACATGATTTTGATGAGTTCAGCTAGCCCCATCATTTAGTCTCCGAATTTTGTCGAAGATATTTCGGCCAATTTGTAATCTTCTTTAAGCCCCTAGCATCACTGCCGAGTTCAATATTCAAAACAAAACAGGAGTTTAATGTAGTTCCGTTCAGAGTTTCGTAACCTTGAACCTATTTTTTAATTGATATTTGTTCTTCAATGGTAGAAGGCAAGGTCTAAAATTTATATGAACCGCTAAAAAACACACTTTCTTTGAATTATGAGTCTGGTATCTCTAAGTCTGCTGCCCTTTTGGTTCTAAACTCTAATTACATTACTTAAGTTTATTTTGTTTAATAATTGGATTTCCTTGTCGTCAAATTCACAAAAATGAACAAAAAAGTCTGATTCGTGGTAAGTGGCCGACAATTATTCCCACGACAATCAATCAAAGAACCAAAAACACTTAGAAATAAGGATATATAAGCAATATGAAAACCACAAATTGTTTATTTAAGTAAATTTATCACTTAAGATATATACACCGAAAATTGAAAAAGTAGAATGTTGATAACAGTATGTATTGAAATGATATATTAGATGTGTTTTTAACCTTGACTGTTCACAGAACGACAAAACGTAATACTGCCCCGGGAACACTCTGTGATCATGTTAATATTGATATACCCCGTGATGCTTCGATGGTAAACACAACTCGCAACGATAATGACCTCCGTCATTTACAAACACTCTACGTGTTTAGTTAGATTTATAATTTATTAACAAAACGTATCTGAAGGTATTTATCCCGTGTTTATTTTTAAAATATAAGGAAATGTTGACGGATTTACAAGATTTAAGGTGTGGAGGTATCTGGGCGGAATTTCTATTTGAATGAGCTAATATGGAGATTTAAATGAAGATATTTCAAGCTGACATGATGAGGAATCTTGTCACGACTTTGTACAGATGGAATGGAACACAAACCCGTATCGTCAATCCCTGCTTATTTACGATATGACGTATACCACGATTTTAGATACAAAATCATTTTGATCGAGTTATTTTTTACGTATCTTTTTAACTTTAGGATAAATGGAAAGTGACAAGTGAAGCGAAGCTAATGGTGTTTTTTTAATTTAAAACGCACACATATATATATATATATAATGGTAGACTTAAATGCTAGCTGTTTTTAATGAAATAAGTGGTTTGCTTTTTCTATGAACTTTGATTTTTAAAACAAGTGTAACCCCAGATACCCAGACATAATGACAAAACGACGTATGTCCAGCTACACACTGAGTTCCGGGATTGTTAGATTTGAGGACATGGACGGAAGTGGAATACATTCCTGGACCACCAGTACGAACCGCAATGATGGAAACGTTACCATGGAAACATATCTGGACATTAACCAGAGTGAGATGTTGGAGCGCAACTATTCGAATTTTCCAGGAGAGAACAACTGGATTCTGTCGAAACCCCCTAAGGAACCACCTGTGGATTACGATATGAAGGTAGGGACACTTACACATCACTATGAATATCACTAATTGCTTTATCAATTAATCATTTTTATTGCTCACATATACGAAATTGAAAGGGTATGGATTAGTTTATTCAAAAGGCATACAACGAGGACGTTATATCATAATTGTTTAATCACGTGTCTGTAGAAGATATCGTATATAAAACGAGATTTCGTAATATTGAACATCAGAAACTGATATTTTCTTGTTTTTGTTTTGTTTTTTTTTCGCTTTTTAATCTAATTCTATATAAAACATCTTGATAGAGACGTGATTTTAATTATATTATCTTTCACATAGAACATTAATTACGATATCTTTTATTCTTAATAAAACATATCGTACAGGTAAACAAAATTATGGGCCGACATTGCTTCATGATTATATCGTACATGTACTGATAGTTATACAATTCATGTTAGCTTGCCTCTCTCTCTCTCTGTCTGTCTGTCACTCTGTCTGTCTCTCTGTCTGTCTGTCTCTCTGTCTGTCTTTCTCTCTGTATCTGTCTGTCTGTCTGTTTGTCTGTCTGTCTTTCTCTCTCTGTTTGTCTCCCTCTCTGTGTGTCTGTCTGTCTGTTTGTCTCCCTCTTTCTCGCCCTTTGTCTCTTTCTCTGTCTGTCTGTCTGTCTGTCTGTCTGTCTGTCTCTATCTCTCCCTCCCTCTCTGTCTGTCTGTCTCTATCTGTCTGAGTGTGTGTCTCTCTCCCTGTCTGTCTCTCTCACTCTCTCCCTCTCTCTCTGTCTGTCTGCCTGTCTCTCTCTCCCTCCCTCCCTCTCTGTCTGTCTCTCTCTGTCTCTGTCTCCCTCCCTCTGTCTGTCTGTCTGTCTCATATGGAAACCAGTATGAAACAGAAAAAAGTGATAAGCAGGACGATACCTCTAAAAACATTAAATTCTCGTACACATCTGAAATCTTGGAGCTAAGGTCATTTTCCGGGGAGATATATTTTACACACAAAGTTTAATACACTTTTAAGAATCAATTTAAGACGTTTTCATAACCTATCCCAAATATAATACTGATCTGTTCAACATTTTGACTTATACATGCAAAACAATAAGGAGAACAAGTTAGAATAAGAAAGGGTTCTGGTTGTCTAGATTGTCCACTAATTAGTTTCGAACCTTTTTTTTGTTGTTTTTATATAAGAAAGCACGACCAATATAATATTGCATTGGTTTGGAGTGGAAGGACGGGGACGCCCCGGTAAAGAACATTGACATCGGGAATGAGCTGGGTACTAATGTCAACTAGAATTTAAAATACCAATTCGTGGATTTACAAATTGTGGACAAGTGAAAAGTAATGATGATACGCATCTTCGTTATCATCACCACAATGACATAGAGGTGAGGGACATATACCCACACGAAATAAATCACTTTTAAGACCGCTATACCTATGTCTAATTCGTGGTAATACCGACAGATATCGGTAACCAACATTCATTTGGTAGAAGGCTACAACAGATAGACCATACACAAGTCTAGCAGTTTTTTATTGCACTCTTTCCACGGCATTTGACAGTTTATGAGAAAAAACATCCCAGACACAGGAGACATTTTCAGGAGTTGGTCGAAGACCTGTATATAGTATTGAGAGTCTCCTTACTAACTTGATAATTCAATTGTTTTAAAGAAACGAAAACAGCCTTCGTTTTAGCAGGATTGATAAATGATGACAATAAGTTTTAAAATTTAAAGGAAACCACACGTTTGACATAAATAAGTATTCATTTATGAAATATTTTCGTCCTTTTAGACGCGCATATATATGACGTGAAACACCCGATTCATTAACGTTTAGTGATGATAATTCAACCGTGACTCCAATATGTTTGAAAATGACTTTCATTTCATGTCGACAATGAAAGTGTTTTTGATGATAAAAGAGATTAAAGTGCAGTGATTGCTTTTAAAACTTACGCGTAAATCGACGAATAATATCTACTTGATGATGCAGCGACACTTAAATTGATATTCTGTAGCGCGTAACAACACTTCACTTGAATGTTGAGGAAATATATGTCTATTACGACACGGGCATACATTGGTGTGAATATAGCCTTAAATGTTATGGCGGAATATTTCATTGCGAATTGAGACCTAAGCGGCCTTCTTACGTTAGGTTTTTTTCAATATATAACTCACCATTTTATAATGATAATTTTTATCTCTTCAGTAGTACGTGTTTACTTTGAATGCCATAATAAGTATACACTTCTCTCTTACCTGATAACAAATAAGTATACAATTCTCTCTTACATGATAACAAATAAGTATACAGTATCTCTTACCTAGTAACAAATAAATATACAGTATCTCTTACCTGGTAACAAATAAGTATACAGTATCTCTTACCTGATAACAAATAAGTATACAGTATCTCTTACCTGGTAACAAATAAGTATACAGTATCTCTTACCTGGTAACAAATAAGTATACAGTATCTCTTACCTGGTAACAAATAAGTATACATTATCTCTTACCTGGTAACAAATAAGTATACAGTATCTCTTACCTTGTAACAAATAAGTATACAGTATCTCTTACCTGATAACAAATAAGTATACATTATCTCTTACCTGGTAACAAATAAGTATACAGTATCTCTTACCTTGTAACAAATAAGTATACAGTATCTCTTACCTGATAACAAATAAGTATACAGTATCTCTTACCTGGTAACAAATAAGTATACAGTATCTCTTACCTGGTAACAAATAAGTATACATTATCTCTTACCTGGTAACAAATAAGTATACAATATCTCTTACCTTGTAACAAATAAGTATACAGTATCTCTTACCTGGTAACAAATAAGTATACATTATCTCTTACCTGGTAACAAATAAGTATACATTATCTCTTACCTGATAACAAATAAGTATACATTATCTCTTACCTGGTAACAAATAAGTATACATTATCTCTTACCTGGTAACAAATATACAGCATCTCTTACCTGGTAACAAATAAGTATACAGTATCTCTTACCTGGTAACAAATAAGTATACAGTATCTCTTACCTGGTAACAAATAAGTATACAGTATCTCTTACCTGGTAACAAATAAGTATACACTTCTCTCTTACCTGGTAACAAATAAGTATACAATATATCTTACCTGGTAACAAATAAGTATACAGTATCTCTTACCTGGTAACAAATAAGTATACACTTCTCTCTTACCTGGTAACAAATAAGTATACAGTATCTCTTACCTGGTAACAAATAAGTATACAGTATCTCTTACCTGGTAACAAATAAGTATACAGTATCTCTTACCTGGTAATAAATAATTATACAATTCTCTCTTACCTGATAACAAATAAGTATACACCTCTCTTACCTGGTAACAAATAAGTATACACTTCTCTCTTACCTGGTAACAAATAAGTATACACTTCTCTCTTACCTGGTAACAAATAAGTATCTCTTACTGGTAAGTATCTCTCTTACCTGGTAACAAAAAGTAAGTAACAGTACTTCTCTCTTACCTGGTAACAAATAAGTATACAATATCTCTTACCTGGTAACAAATAAGTATAAACCTGGTAAGTATACAGTATCTCTTACCTGGTAACAAATAAGTATACAGTATCTCTTACCTGGTAACAAATAAGTATACAGTATCTCTTACCTGGTAACAAATAAGTATACACCTCTCTTACCTGGTAACAAATAAGTATACACTTCTCTCTTACCTGGTAACAAATAAGTATACACTTCTCTCTTACCTGGTAACAAAGAAGTATACAGTATCTCTTACCAGGTAACAAATAAGTATACAGTATCTCTTACCTGGTAATAAATAAGTATACAGTATCTCTTACCTGGTTACTTTTTTATTTTATTGATCAAGCGTAGACAATAGGTCAAACACACTTTTAATTTTATTTTCGCCAGTGATTTGAAAATTACTCATCATACTTACATTGTCAGTAATAATGATTTTATTGTTAGGGTTAAATTGAAATGCTTCAATACTGGCATGCTAAGCTGGAATCAAGGGGAAATGTTGATGCAGTATTTAACCAAATTCTATAACTTATAATCTATGTTATTTTATGTATATGAATACATAAGATAATTACTCAATTTTGAATAAGATATATCATAGAGAAATAAGACCGTTTACAAAGAAATGAGACATTTTATAAAATAATACTTGATTCTTTTATTTTCGATATGTAATGACAGTAGATAAATATCACAACTCATAAGAACGTTTCGTCATTATGTCTACCACCAATACTTCAGTAACCCGCGAAAATATAATCACACAGAAATACTTGGCTTTGCAGTATCTTTCTTTGAGAGCCTGCAATGCAAGGTTCTCAGTATTTAAATTTGTTGTCATTTCAGGAACAGCGAAATTCGAAATCAAATGATACCAAGATGTCTGCTATTGCATTGCTTTCTGGATTTGCGGAAAGGACCTCTATGGTAGGAGTGGCATATATTCATACGTCCGTTCAACCTATAGCTAAGTTGATATGGACAGTCCTCCTTCTGGGCGCTGTGGGGGCTATGATTTTCCACCTGGTGTTCCTCAGTGAACAATACTACTCACGACCAAAACAGACCAAGATTACTATAGAATTTAGTAACCTACCTCCCCCGGCTATCAGCATCTGTAACACAAACCCTATAAGACAGTCTCAGCTGTCACTCGCGTCTAAACAACTTAAAGAATTAATAACTCGTACTCACCCTAACAAATATAAAGTACAAGTTGAGGAATTAATAACTGGTTTGAATGAGAATTCAAAAGGCGGAACCGGAAATGATACAGAAGAGGGAGTAGGCGGTAATTCTACCATAAATATTGTTAGTGATAGCGGAGGGAGTGATGGTGCCAGAAGTGTGGACGGTGGGATTACTGCAAGTAGTACCGGAGGGAGAAGAGGAAGAAATAAGGATGGAGAACATGAAACTGGTGAGTCAGATGGTGGTACTAATACTGGAGGTAGCGGAAGTGGTGGTACCGGAAATGCAATGGGTAGTACTAACATCACGACTACTGGGGGTAGCACCGGAATCTCAGAACGTGGTACTACCGAAAGTAGCACAGGAAGTAGTAGTGGTGATGGTACCGGAATCTCAGAAGGTAGTAGTACCGAAAGTAGCACAGGAAGTAGAAGAGGGAGGAATAGTGGAGGTGATATTGGTGGATCAGGAAGTACTACTGACAATAGCAGTACTGATGGAGACAGTAGGGAAAATGGTGTTTCCGGAGGAGGGGGCACTACCGGAAGTGGTTCAAAGAATGGTAACAGAAATGGAGGTTCCGGACAGAGTGCTAATGGAAAAACTGCAGAGAGTTTTGTAAGTAGATTTTAGCCAGGTAAATACGGTAAATATGAGCTTCATTATCTTGTTACATCAAACACATTGTCTTCGCTTTGCCTTGAAATAGCCACCAGTATATCAGTTACCTCTGTTTGAAACTCCGATTTTAAATGCTTTACAAATTACAAAACATCTTGTTCTGATATATCAATTTAATTCCAAAATTACAGTGAAAGATTTTTTCGAACATAATTATTCAATTATTTTCAAAGGATAAACATCACCTTGAAATAAGACTATTGCATGCAAATATATTTGTATATTTCAGTCAAGAAAGCGGAGGTTTGTGGAAGACTTAGCTACGTTAAACCTTACTGACAGAGATGAAAACCCTATTGATACTGGAGCTGGCGATGACCCACTTACAGCCCTCATGACCACCTTCAAACAACTCTACATGAAGGAAACCAGGTGCTTTTTTTTATTGATCTACCTGTAACTTTTTATAGAATAGGTTTCTGTTAGTTTAAATTCCTGCGTACAATTGATGAAACAAAATTGATTATCATTGTTTTGCGGTTCATTGTGAAGCCAATTTGGACTAGATTCAGATTCTTTATTTGCCGTGAGCCATACGACTCATAGGCACAAAAGCAATACAAATACATAAACATATGTAATACAATACATATATAAGTACTTCCACTCATTTACACTTACACTCGCACACACACACACACACACCCACCCACACACCCTCCCTCACACACACACACGCACGAACGAGCATACACTCACCCGCTCATACGTATTCATTGTTCAATTTATTTGTTAAACAAAATGTCTGAGGCTTTCGGATGAATTAACGCTACCGTCTCAACAGCTTGACTTGCGATGGCAAACTAAGCACAATCAGCACGTGAAATGAGAACCGAGTTCGTGACAATAAAGACACCAGACCATCGAACACAAAAAAATGGGATACAATGATTACGTCATCAAATTACACAAATTCTCATCACCAAGCGCTTCCAAAAACAGCAGCCGACATCTTTCATGGTTATATTGATGTTGGGAACAAAAAGTTCGATATCGAATCAGCTATGATATGTTTACATCATAATGTAGCTAGGCATCTAGTAATGGAGACTATACACTGCATATTGATATGAAATCAGTGATAAAGGAAATCATGTTAACGGGCTGATGAAGCGGATATGGTTATAAGGTCAATGGGTTAAAGTTTAACACCATCATATAATATGGCTTTGTTTGTGTTGGTAAATGTATGTCTAACCATCCTACATCTAGTCAGAAATAATAACGTTACTACACTCTGTCACCTATCACCTACATCTAGTCAGAGATAATGATATCCGCTTCAGTTACTACACTCTGTCAATTACATCTAGTTAGAAATAATGATTACCGCTTCAGTTACTACACTCTGTCACCTATCACCTAATCAGAAATAATGATTACCAAATCTAGTCAGAATTAATGATTACCAGAAATACATCTGCGGGAAAAGAAAAGAATTAGATGTGTTTATGAAACACTATCACCTACATACTTTTGGGAATATCTACTGTGTCAGAAATAATGATTACCGCTTCAGTTGCATGAACACTCTGTCACCTGAAAACTACCGCTTCATTGTTCTAACTCTGTCACCTATCACCTACATCTAGTCAGCAATAATGATTGCCGCTTCAGTTACTACACTCTGTCACCTACATCTAGTCGGAATTAATGATTACCGTTTCAGTTTACACTCTGTTACTACATCTAGTCTACCGCTTCAGTTGTACACCTGTCACCTACATTCTAGTCAGAAATAATGATTACCGCTTCAGTTACTACACCGCTTCTCTGTCACCTATCACCTACATCTAGTCAGAATTAATGATTACCGCTTCAGTTACTACACTCTGTCACCTACATCTAGTCAGAAATAATGATTACCGCTTCACTCACTACATCTGTCACCTATCACCTACATCTAGTCAGAATAATGATTACCGCTTCAGTTACTACACTCTGTCACCTATCCTACATCTAGTCAGAAATAATGATTACCGCTTCAGTTACTACACTCTGTCACTTACATCTAGTCAGAATTAATGATTACCGCTTCACCTACATCTAGTCAGAATTAATGATTACCGCTTCAGTTACTACACTCTGTCACCTACATCTAGTCAGAAATAATGATTACCGCTTCAGTTACTACACTCTGTCACCTACTACATCTAGTCAGAAATAATGATTACCGCTTCAGTTACTACACTCTGTCACCTATCACCTACATCTAGTCAGAAATAATGATTACCGCTTCAGTTACTACACTCTGTCACCTATCACCTACATCTAGTCAGAAATAATGATTACCGCTTCAGTTACTACACTCTGTCACATCTATCACCTACTAGTCAGAAATAATGATCTAGTCAGTACAAATAATGATTACCGCTTCAGTTACTACACTCTGTCACCTACATCTAGTCAGAATTAATGATTACCGCTTCAGTTACTACACTCTGTCACCTATCACCTACATCTAGTCAGAAATAATGATTACCGCTTCAGTTACTACACTCTGTCACCTATCACCTACATCTAGTCAGAAATAATGATTACCGCTTCAGTTACTACACTCTGTCACCTACATCTAGTCAGAAATAATGATTACCGCTTCAGTTACTACACTCTGTCACCTATCACCTACATGTAGTCAGCAATAATGATTACCGCTTCAGTTACTACACTCTGTCACCCACATCTAGTCAGAATTAATGATTACCGCTTCAGTTACTATGCTCTGTCACCTATCACCTACATCTAGTCAGAATTAATGATTACCGCTTCAGTTACTACACTCTGTCACCTACATCTAGTCAGAAATAATGATTACCGCTTCAGTTACTACACTCTGTCACCTACATCTAGTCAGAATTAATGATTACCGCTTCAGTTACTACACTCTGTCACCTACATCTAGTCAGAAATAATGATTACCGCTTCAGTTACTACACTCTGTCACCTACATCTAGTCAGAATTAATGATTACCGCTTCAGTTACTACACTCTGTCACCTATCACCTACATCTAGTCAGAAATAATGATTACCGCTTCAGTTACTACACTCTGTCACCTACATCTAGTCAGAAATAATGATTACCGCTTCAGTTACTACACTCTGTCACCTATCACCTACATCTAGTCAGAAATAATGATTACCGCTTCAGTTACTACACTCTGTCACCTACATCTAGTCAGAAATAATAATGATTACCGCTTCAGTTAATGACTACACTCTGTAATGATTACCGCTTCAGTTACTACACTCTGTCACCTACATCTAGTCAGAAATAATGATTACCGCTTCAGTTACTACACTCTGTCACCTACATCTAGTCAGAAATAATGATTACCGCTTCAGTTACTACACTCTGTCACCTACATCTAGTCAGAATTAATGATTACCGCTTCAGTTACTACACTCTGTCACCTACATCTAGTCAGCTAATGATTACCGCTTCTACATCTAGTCAGAATTAATGATTACCGCTTCAGTTACTACACTCTGTCAACTATATCTAGTCAGAATTAATGATTACCGCTTCAGTTACTACACTCTGTCACCTATCACCTACATCTAGTCAGAAATAATGATTACCGCTTCAGTTACTACACTCTGTCACCTACATCTAGTCAGAAATAATGATTACCGCTTCAGTTACTACACTCTGTCACCTATACACTCTGTCACCTACATCTAGTCAGAAATAATGATTACCGCTTCAGTTACTACACTCTGTCACCTATCACCTACATCTAGTCAGAAATAATGATTACCGCTTCAGTTACTACACTCTGTCACCTACATCTAGTTAGAAATAATGATTACCGCTTCAGTTACTACACTCTGTCACCTATCACCTACATCTAGTCAGAGATAATGATATCCGCTTCAGTTACTACACTCTGTCACCTACATCTAGTCAGAATTAATGATTACCGCTTCAGTTACTACACTCTGTCACCTATCACCTACATCTAGTCAGAAATAATGATTACCGCTTCAGTTACTACACTCTGTCACCTATCACCTACATCTAGTCAGAGATAATGATATCCGCTTCAGTTACTACACTCTGTCACCTATCACCTACATCTAGTCAGTCACCTATCACCTACATCTAGTCAGAATAATAATGATTACCTGCTTCAGTAATGACTACACTCTGTCACCTATCACCTACATCTAGTCAGAAATAATGATTACCGCTTCAGTTACTACACTCTGTCACCTATCACCTACATCTAGTCAGAAATAATGATTACCGCTTCAGTTACTACACTCTGTCACCTACATCTAGTTAGAAATAATGATTACCGCCGTTACTACCTATCACCTACATCTAGTCAGAAATAATGATTACCGCTTCAGTTACTACACTCTGTCACCTATCACCTACATCTAGTCAGAAATAATGATTACCGCTTCAGTTACTACACTCTGTCACCTACATCTAGTCAGAAATAATGATTACCGCTTCAGTTACTACACTCTGTTACATCTACCGCTTCTACTACACCTATCACCTACATCTAGTCAGAAATAATGATTACCGCTTCAGTTACTTACCTACATCTAGTCAGAAATAATGATTACCGCTTCAGTTACTACACTCTGTCACCTACATCTAGTCAGAAATAATGATTACCGCTTCAGTTACTACACTCTGTCACCTACATCTAGTTAGAAATAATGATTACCGCTTCAGTTACTACACTCTGTCACCTATCACCTACATCTAGTCAGAAATAATGATTACCGCTTCAGTTACTACACTCTGTCACCTACATCTAGTCAGAAATAATGATTACCGCTTCAGTTACTACACTCTGTCACCTACATCTAGTCAGAAATAATGATTACCGCTTCAGTTACTACACTCTGTCACCTACATCTAGTCAGAATTAATGATTACCGCTTCAGTTTCTACGCTCTGTCACCTAGCACCTACATCTAGTCAGAATTAATGATTACCGCTTCAGTTACTACACTCTGTCACCTACATCTAGTCAGAAATAATGATTACCGCTTCAGTTACTACACTCTGTCACCTATCACCTACATCTAGTCAGAATTAATGATTACCGCTTCAGTTACTACACTCTGTCACCTACATCTAGTCAGAATTAATGATTACCGCTTCAGTTACTACTCTGTCACCTACATCTAGTCAGAGATAATGATATCCGCTTCAGTTACTACACTCTGTCAATTACATCTAGTTAGAAATAATGATTACCGCTTCAGTTACTACACTCTGTCACCTACGTCTAGTCAGAAATAATGATTACCGCTTCAGTTACTACACTCTGTCACCTATTACCTACATCTAGTCAGAATTAATCATTACCGCTTCCGTTACTACACTCTGTCACCTATCACCTACATCTAGTCAGAAATAATGATTACCGCTTCAGTTACTACACTCTGTCACCTACATCTAGTCAGAATTAATTATTACCGCTTCAGTTACTACACTCTGTCACCTATCACCTACATCTAGTCAGAATTAATGATTACCGCTTCAGTTACTACACTCTGTCACCTACATCTAGTCAGAAATAATGATTACCGCTTCAGTTACTACACTCTGTCACCTACATCTAGTCAGAAATAATGATTACCGCTTCAGTTACTCTCAACTCTGTCACCTACATCAGAAATAATGATTACCGCTTCAGTTACTACACTCTGTCACCTACATCTAGTCAGAATTAATGATTACCGCTTCAGTTACTACACTCTGTCACCTACATCTAGTCAGAATTAATGATTACCGCTTCAGTTACTACACTCTGTCACCTGTAGGATCTAGAAGTGATGTGAAGGTGTACCAGATTCAGTGTGTAGGATCTAGAAGTGATGTGAATGTGTACCAGATTCAGTGTGTAGGATCTAGAAGTGATGTGAATGTGTACCAGATTCAGTGTGTAGGATCTAGAAGTGATGTGAAGGTGTACCAGATTCAGTGTGTAGGATCTAGAGGTGATGTGAAGGTGTACCAGATTCAGTGTGTAGGATCTAGAAGTGATGTGAAGGTGTACCAGATTCAGTGTGTAGGATCTAGAGGTGATGTGAAGGTGTACCAGATTCAGTGTGTAGGATCTAGAAGTGATGTGAAGGTGTACCAGATTCGATGTTTTCTATCATGTATCTGGTAAGTTTCGTACTTCATCCCTTGTTTTGTGGTGTTTATATATATATATATATGTGTACCAGTTTCTAATTGTGTTTTCTATATTGGGTGATCTAGTAAGTTGTGTACTGTAGTTATTCAGTGTGTAGTGTTTATATATATATATTGTGTATTGTAATATTCAGTTGTTATCTAGTTTCTGATTTTGAAGGTGTAAGTTGTGTTATATGTAGTTATTGTATATTGTAATGTTGGGAGAGGACCTAGTTAGTTGTGTTATCTGTAGTTATTGTGTGTAGTAATGTTGGGAGAGGGTCTAGTAAGTTGTGTTATATGTAGTTATTGTGTACTGTAATGTTGGGAGAGGGCCTAGTAAGTTGTGTTATCTGTAGTTATTGTGTGTAGTAATATTGGGAGAGGGTCTAGTAAGTTGTGTTATCTGTAGTTATTGTGTGTAGTAATATTGGGAGAGGGCCTAGTAAGTTGTGTTATCTGTAGTTATTGTGTATTGTAATGTTGGGAGAGGGCCTAGTAAGTTGTGTTATCTGTAGTTATTGTGTGTAGTAATATTGGGAGAGGGCCTAGTAAGTTGTGTTATCTGTAGTTATTGTGTGTAGTAATATTGGGAGAGGGTCTAGTAAGTTGTGTTATCTGTAGTTATTGTGTGTAGTAATATTGGGAGAGGGTCTAGTAAGTTGTGTTATCTGTAGTTATTGTGTATTGTAATGTTGGGAGAGGGCCTAGTAAGTTGTGTTATCTGTAGTTATTGTGTATTGTAATGTTGGGAGAGGGCCTAGTAAGTTGTGTTATCTGTAGTTATTGTGTGTTGTAATGTTGGGAGAGGGCCTAGTAAGTTGTGTTATCTGTAGTTATTGTGTATTGTAATGTTGGAAGAAGGCCTAGTAAGTTGTGTTATCTGTAGTTATTGTGTATTGTAATGTTAGGAGAGGGCCTAGTAAGTTGTGTTATCTGTAGTTATTGTGTACAGTAATGTTGGGAGAGGGCCTAGTAAGTTGTGTTATCTGTAGTTATTGTGTACAGTAATGTTAGGAGAGGGCCTAGTAAGTTGTGTTATCTGTAGTTATTGTGTATTGTAATGTTGGGAGAGGGCCTAGTAAGTTGTGTTATCTGTAGTTATTGTGTATTGTAATGTTGGGAGAGGGACTAGTAAGTTGTGTTATCTGTAGTTAATGTGTATTGTGATGTTGGGAAAGGGCCTCGTAAGTTGTGTTATCTGTAGTTATTGTGTATTGTAATGTTGGGAGAGGGGCTGGTTAGTTGTGATATTTGTAGTTATTATTTAATGTAATGTTGGGAGAGGGCCTAGTTTGTCGTGTTATCTGTAGTTATTGTGTATTGTAATATTGGGAGGGGGCCTAGTAAGTTGTGTTATCGGTAATTATTGTGTACAGTAATGTTAGGAGAGGGCTTAGTAAGTTGTGTTATGTAATGTTAGTTATTGTGTGTAGTAATGTTGGGAGAGGGCCTAGTAAGTCCTGTTATCTGTAGTTATTGTGTACTGTAATGTTGGGAGAGGGCCTAGTAAGTTGTGTTACCTGTAGTTATTGTATATTGTAATGTTGGGAGAGGGTCTAGTAAGTTGTGTTATATGTAGTTATTGTGTACTGTAATGTTGGGAGAGGGCCTAGTAAGTTGTGTTATCTGTAGTTATTGTGTATTGTAATGTTGGGAGACGGCCTAGTAAGTTGTGTTATCTGTAGTTATTGTGTATTGTAATGTTGGGAGAGGGCCTAGTAAGTTGTGTTATCTGTAGTTATTGTGTATTGTAATGTTGGGAGAGGGCCTAGTAAGTTGTGTTATATGTAGTTATTGTATATTGTAATGTTGGGAGAGGGCCTAGTAAGTTGTGTTATATGTAGTTATTGTGTGTAGTAATGTTGGGAGAGGGCCTAGTAAGTTGTGTTATATGTAGTTATTGTGTATTGTAATGTTGGGAGAGGGCCTAGTAAGTTGTGTTATCTGTAGTTATTGTGTATTGTAATGTTGGGAGAGGGCCTAGTAAGTTGTGTTATCTGTAGTCATTGTGTATTGTAATGTTGGGAGAGGGCCTAGTAAGTTGTGTTAGAGGGCCTGTAGTTATTGTGTATTGTAATGTTGGGAGAGGGCCTAGTAAGTTGTGTCATCTGTAGTTATTGTGTGTTGTAATGTTGGGAGAGGGCCTAGTAAGTTGTGTTATCTGTAGTTATTGTATATTGTAATGTTGGGAGATAGCCTAGTAAGTTGTGTTATCTGTAGTTATTGTATATTGGAATGTTGGGAGAGGGCCTAGTAAGTTGTGTTATCTGTAGTTATTGTGTATTGTAATGTTGGGAGAGGGCCTAGTAAGTTGTGTTATCTGTAGTTATTGTATATTGTAATGTTGGGAGAGGGCCTAGTAAGTTGTGTTATCTGTAGTTATTGTGTATTGTAATTGTAATGTTGGGAGAGGGCCTAGTAAGTTGTGTTATCTGTAGTTATTGTGTATTGTAATGTTGGGAGAGGGCCTAGTAAGTTGTGTTATATGTAGTTATTGTGTATTGTAATGTTGGGAGAGGGCCTAGTAAGTTGTGTTATCTGTAGTTATTGTGTATTGTAATGTTGGGAGAGGGCCTAGTAAGTTGTGTTATATGTAGTTATTGTATATTGTAATATTGGGAGAGGGTCTAGTAAGTTCTGTTATCTGTAGTTATTGTATATTGTTATGTTGGGCCTAGTAAGTTGTGTTACCTGTAGTTATTGTATATTGTTATGTTGGGAGAGCGCCTAGTAAGTTGTGTTATCTGTAGTTATTGTGTATTGTAATGTTGGGAGAGGGCCTAGTAAGTTGTGTTATCTGTAGTTATTGTATATTGTAATGTTGGGAGAGGGCCTAGTAAGTTGTGTTATCTGTAGTTATTGTGTATTGTAATGTTGGGAGAGGGCCTAGTGTTGTGGTAGTTGTGTTATCTGTGTTATTGTATATTGTAATGTTGGGAGAGGGCCTGGTAAGTTGTGTTATCTTTAGTTATTGTGTATTGTAATGTTGGGAGAGGGCCTAGTAAGTTGTGTTATCTGTAGTTATTGTGTATTGTAATGTTGGGAGAGGGCCTAGTAAGTTGTGTTATCTGTAGTTATTGTGTGTAGTAATGTTGGGAGAGGGCCTAGTAAGTCCTGTTATCTGTAGTTATTGTGTACTGTAATGTTGGGAGAGGGCCTAGTAAGTTGTGTTATCTGTAGTTATTGTGTATTGCAATGTTGGGAGATGGCCTAGTAAGTTGTGTTATCTGTAGTTATTGTGTATTGTAATGTTGGGAGAGGGCCTAGTAAGTTGTGTTATCTGTAGTTATTGTATATTGTAATGTTGGGAGATAGCCTAGTAAGTTGTGTTATCTGTAGTTATTGTATATTGGAATGTTGGGAGAGGGCCTAGTAAGTTGTGTTATCTGTAGTTATTGTATATTGTTATGTTGGGAGAGCGCCTAGTAAGTTGTGTTATCTGTAGTTATTGTGTATTGTAATGTTGGGAGAGGGCCTAGTAAGTTGTGTTATCTGTAGTTATTGTATATTGTAATGTCGTGAGAAGGCCTAGTAAGTTGTGTTATCTGTAGTTATTGTGTATTGTGATGTCGGGAGAGGGCCTAGTAAGTTGTGTTATCTGTAGTTATTTTGTATTGTAATGTTGGGAGAGGGCCTAGTAAGTTGTGTTATCTGTAGTTATTGTGTACTGTAATGTTGGGAGACGGCCTAGTAAGTTGTGTTATCTGTAGTTATTGTGTATTGTAATGTTGGGAGACGGCCTAGTAAGTTGTGTTATCTGTAGTTATTTTGTATTGTAATGTTGGGAGAGGGGCTAGTAAGTTGTGTTATCTGTAGTTATTGTGTATTGTAATGTTGGGAGAGGGCCTAGTAAGTTGTGTTATCTGTAGTCATTGTGTATTGTAATGTTGGGAGAGGGCCTAGTAAGTTGTGTTATCTGTAGTTATTGTGTCTTGTAATGTTGGGAGAGGGCCTAGTAAGTTGTGTTATCTGTAGTTATTGTGTATTGTAATGTTGGGAGAGGGCCTAGTAAGTTGTGTTATCTGTAGTTATTGTGTATTGTAATGTTGGGAGAGGGCCTAGTAAGTTGTGTTATCTGTAGTTATTGTGTACTGTAATGTTGGGAGAGGGCCTAGTAAGTTGTGTTATCTGTAGTTATTGTGTATTGTAATGTTGGGAGACGGCCTAGTAAGTTGTGTTATCTGTAGTTATTGTGTGTAGTAATGTTGGGAGAGGGCCTAGTAAGTTGTGTTATCTGTAGTTATTGTGTATTGTAATGTTGGGAGACGGCCTAGTAAGTTGTGTTATCTGTAGTTATTTTGTATTGTAATGTTGGGAGAGGGCCTAGTAAGTTGTGTTATCTGTAGTTATTGTGTACTGTAATGTTGGGAGACGGTCTAGTAAGTTGTGTTATCTGTAGTTATTGTGTACTGTAATGTTGGGAGACGGCCTAGTAAGTTGTGTTATATGTAGTTATTTTGTATTGTAATGTTGGGAGACGGCCTAGTAAGTTGTGTTATCTGTAGTTATTGTGTATTGTAATGTTGGGAGAGGGCCTAGTAAGTTGTGTTATCTGTAGTTATTGTGTACTGTAATGTTGGGAGAGGGCCTAGTAAGTTGTGTTATCTGTAGTTATTGTATATTGTAATGTTGAGAGAGGGCCAAGTAAGTTGTGTTATCTGTAGTTATTGTGTATTGTAATGTTGGGCGAGGGCCTAGTAAGTTGTGTTATCTGTAGTTATTGTATATTGTAATGTTGGGAGATAGCCTAGTTAGTTGTGCCCATTCTCTTTGATTTATATATTTATCAATAAAATGTGTTATATTACAATATAACAGTTTTAATAGTTAAGATATCTTGCCGTGTTGACGCTTTCTTTTTACTTTTCGTTGTAATTTTATTATATAGTTGTCAACTCGTTTTTTAACAAATTACTTTTAATCATTATTTAATTTACTCGATTGAAACACTATATGACGAATAAGAGTATTATTTGTGAGTTTTACTTTATCTTAGACCAACAGATGATAGAAATTGGAAAATATTCATTTGAAAATGGTATCCGCTTTCCGGGGCAATGTTAAGGTCAAACATCGGTTTTACACCGGTATACAATATGTCTGCAGATCATTGAATTTAGAGAGAGATGCGTTTGTTGTTTTGGTTCAGTGACTCTGATCAAACATTTAGTTCTACTCCACAGGGATGTGGATAGATTCTATTGATGTTCTGTATCATTAAATGTAACGAGTTCTGTCACTTACTCCACATTTTTAACGATTTTGTGTAATTATTCGTTGACGGAAACCCTTTAAATTGTACATTATACGTGGAGACAAATTGTTGTAGTGCTTCAGAATTCATTATATAAAAAGCCATCAACTATATTAACGACAGTACATATCACTTATTAACATCCAAACGAAATCTATTACAGACTAGACACTGTTGTTAAAGAAAGTAGGCTACATATCCTTTATTATCATCCAAACGAAATCTATAACAAACTAGACACTGTTGTTGAAAGACAGTGAATATCGTTTATTATCATCTAAGCGAAATCTATAAGAAACTAGACACTGTTGTTAATTTGAATTGAATTGATATCATTTTTTTTAATACTCCTACATGTAATTTTTATACAACACGTTTACCATGCTATAAACATCATAGAAAAAAAAAGAAAGACATCGCGCCCTTTCGACATATATAGTGCAATGACAAACTAAAGCAGCGGGTTTATCTGTTCAACATTTCTGTTTGGTGTGTACCGCCAGGTATCCAGATGATTCTATTTCTGGACACGCCGGAGTATATACACGGGATCACGGACGGATACGGAGCACGTGTGGTGATTCACGAACCGGATACGATACCTTACCCTGCTGAAGACGGATTCTTTGTACCTGCCGCCTTCGAAACAAGTATCGGACTCAAACTGGTAAAGTGTTTGGTTGATCTGTATGTTCTGGCTGATTCCATTGCAACACCCGTATTAGGATATATAAATTACATTTTCTTTCATCCAGCATATTTTTTCTTTCTTTTTGTCCTTCATAAGTATTTCTTATGAATGTCCTTCCTTTTTTCACTACTGCATCATATATCCATATACATGTTTACATATATGTTCATATATAACCTTAATAAGTTACTCAATATACCGCTCGGCTAGGGAGAACTCTTACTAATCAGCCAGGGGTCCGCAGTTCGAATCCTAGCGAACCCATCGAAATAAGCAATGACCTCTGTTACATACTACACAATGTTTAAGTTTTATTCCCTGGCGGCGCTGGAGCTGTAAGGGATCTGGAACTCTGTCAGTCTGCTCTCAAAAGAGACTATCTTACATACACCATTGCTTTCATTTCTGTTCCATTTTGCTAGTATTTCTTATTTCTTTCTACCTAATCACCACTCCTACATTCTTATCATCAGTATTTTGAAATATTTTCAAAAATCCGCTTTCTGACTTTTCACAAGTGAATGATTTCATTGTCATATATTGTAAACATTTTCATTCCCTTCCATGATTCTCGGTAAAGTTATATGCATGTAGGAATGAAAATTTCATGTCAGCAAAACAAAAATTAAAAAATTACAATAACTTATAACTTAACAACCTATTGATCCACACCACTTACCATACTCAGTATACATCAAACTATCGCCCTGTAACTGATAAACTTGTACGATCGTTATCAATGCTACTGAACTATACTCAGTGTACATCAAACTATCGCCCTGTAGCCGATAAACTGGTACAATTGTTATCAATGCTTCTGAAATCCAGTAAACGTTACTAACTATTGAATATTTTGGTACACTGATAATGATTTGTGTGTATTATATATCACCATGACTACCAGCCAGATATTAATCTATATGGAGTACTGTACTTACTAGATATATTTCCTCTATTACCTATTACCATGGCTACCAGCCAGATATTATCTAGATCGAGTACTTTACTGACTAGATATATTTCCTTTATTACCTACCATCATGACTACCAGCCAAATATTATCTATATCGAGTACTTTACTGACTAGATATATTTGCTGTATTACCTATCACCATGACTACCAGCCAGATATTATTTATATCGAGTACTTAACTGACTAGATATATTTCCTGTATTATATATCACCATGACTACCAGCCAGATGTTATCTATATCGAGTACTTTACTGACTAGATATATTTCCTGTTTTACATATCACCATGACTACCAGTCAGATATTATCTATATCGAGCAATTGGTCGGCTAGATACGATAAAGCTGTGAAACCATGGTGAAACTTGATCAATAAAAAGTCCTATGTTATTTACAGAGATTGGAATGATATTGATTTCGGTGGATATTGATAATAACCTTATATATATATAGTTTTTCATTATTTACCCAGACTTATGAAGCGTGTCTCCTTGTCCACGGATTCGTTTGTACTTTCGCATTCCGATGCATAGATTAACTGATTATTTATAACAGAACCAGTAACAAATTCTCCGAAGACGTGATCAATATAAGATACTTCATGGGGAGATAAATCTAAATTACATTTTTAGGTCACCTGACCCAAAGTCATGGTGATTTACAGCGATCATAGTCCGTACGTCCGTCTATCCGTCGTACGTCAACATTTCCTTGTCAGTCCGTCTGTCGATCGGCGTGCCTTAACTTTCCCTTGTCCATCCATCAGTCGTACGACGTGCGTTAACTTTTCCTTGTCCGTCCGTCGTCGAACGGCGTGTGTTAACTTTCCCTTGTCCGTCTGTCCATCGTACGGCGTTGTTAATTTAACGTTCAGATAAAAAACCATCAAGAAAATACCAGCATGGTAAAATAATCATAATTCAAACTCAAATTCAATAAAGCTAGTGCAAAATATGAACAAAATGACTATTTACATGGAGACTCCTGAAAAAGTACGAGGAGAATAAGACCAGGTGTTCCGGAAGAAGAAGCGCCTTCTGCTTCATCGACGACACTCGACATGTTAATCTCGGTCTATCCAAGTAAGTAATGTCACGTTCTCAAATGAGAACAAGGTAAACAACCGAACCAGCAGGCAAACTAACAAGCATCAAATACACCCAGCTTCATATCGCACAAAGAAATAGAATATTTCTAAATGAGATCACTATGGCGACAATAAAAATTCCCCATAATTTTCATCGACATATATCTTTTGAATCCTTGAGTTACGAATGTGTCAGTCAGTTGACGACTTCTTGCACGAAAAATCGTGATAATGGGGACAGGCCCTCGAATCGAATCAACTATGACATGTATATACCATAGGTTGGTAACGTAATTTGCAGCCTTTTATCAATAAAATCTCAGATGAGAGCAACATTTGATTCAATTATAATATACAGAGTTATGGCCCTTTGCAGTTTTATTTCCATGGCCTCTGTGAATACGATAAGTTGAGTAAACATGAATAAATTTTGATGAAACTTGGTTGCAGCCTTATATCAATATGATATTGACAACGGAACCTATTCATTTGTAATTGATCGAGTTATGGTCCTTTATGACAGGGATTTTAAATTGTAACATGGTGTCCGTCCTCCATATCCGTCCGTCACCTTTTATCAAGAAATCGCTACTAGTTATAAATAGCTGATGGAATTTTGACAAAGTTCTGTTTGAAGTTTCTTTGAGGGAAGAGGGTCCAGTTTTATATGAATAATGAAGCTGGACCTCCGGTAGTCTGATGACACGGTCCAGTTTTATAGGAATAATGAAGCTGGACCTCCGGTAGTCTGATGACACTGTCCAGTTTTATAGGAATAATGAAGCTGGACCTCCGGTAGTCTGATGACACGGTCCAGTTTTATAGGAATAATGAAGCTGGACCTCCGGATGACAGTCCAGTTTTATGATGACACGGTCCAGTTTTATAGGAATAATGAAGCTGGACCTCCGGTAGTCTGATGACACTGTCCAGTTTTATAGGAATAATGAAGCTGGACCTCCGGTAGTCTGATGACACTGTCCAGTTTTAAATGAATAATGAAGATGGACCTCCGGTAGTCTGATGACACTTTCCAGTTTTAAATGAATAATGAAGCTGGACCTCCGGTAGTCTGATGACACGGTCCAGTTTTAAATGAATAATGAAGCTGGACCTCCGGTAGTCTGATGACACGGTCCAGTTTTATAGGAATAATGAAGCTGGACCTCCGGTAGTCTGATGACACTGTCCAGTTTTAAATGAATAATGAAGCTGGACCTCCGGTAGTCTGATGACACGGTCCAGTTTTATATGTCTGATGACACGGTCCAGTTTTATAGGAATAATGAAGCTGGACCTCTGGTAGTCTGATGACACTGTCCAGTTTTATAGGAATAATGAAGCTGGACCTCCGGTAGTCTGATGACACTGTCCAGTTTTATAGGAATAATGAAGCTGGACCTCCGGTAGTCTGATGACACTGTCCAGTTTTATAGGAATATTGAAGCTGGACCTCCGGTAGTCTGATGACACTGTCCAGTTTTATAGGAATAATGAAGCTGGACCTCCGGTAGTCTGATGACACTGTCCAGTTTTATAGGAATAATGAAGCTGGACTTCCGGTAGTCTGATGACACGGTCCAGTTTTATATGTCTGATGACACGGTCCAGTTTTATATGAATAATGAAGCTGGACCTCCGGCAGTCTGATGACACTGTCCAGTTTTATAGGAATAATGAAGCTGGACCTCCGGTAGTCTGATGACTCTGTCCAGTTTGATATGTCTGATGACACGGTCCAGTTTTATATGAATAATGAAGCTGGACCTCCGGTAGTCTGATGACACTGTCCAGTTTTATAGGAATAATGAAGCTGGACCTCCGGTAGTCTGATGACACGGTCCAGTTTTATAGGAATAATGAAGCTGGACCTCCGGTAGTCTGATGACACTGTCCAGTTTTATAGGAATAATGAAGCTGGACCTCCGGTAGTCTGATGACACGGTCCAGTTTTATAGGAATAATGAAGCTGGACCTCCGGTAGTCTGATGACTCTGTCCAGTTTGATATGTCTGATGACACGGTCCAGTTTTATATGAATAATGAAGCTGGACCTCCGGTAGTCTGATGACACGGTCCAGTGCGTTAAATTTGCTCTGTAGAAATGCAAAGATTTTATCCCAGTTTTGTTGAAAGCATCCTTGAAAACTTGATGTTGTATAAACAGATGGTCTGGTCCCTTCGAGGACAGCTGAATTGGTGAAATAGCGATAAACTGTAAAAATCGGTTAAAATTCATGAACTTTGATCGTATTTGGTCTACAGCGTTATTGGATGAAAGTAATTAAGTTCTGCTTAATCTAAAGGAATGAACACCCTTGAGACATAGAGATGGAATACAATAAGGAAAAGAGAAGTTTAAAATCCTTTTATAAGAATGAACAATTGCGAAACAAGCTGTTTAAACTTATATGATCACTCTTGTTGGCCCGGATGAAAGCGCGCGAGAGGTCTTTTTGTTGGGAAACCGCAGTACTCGGAGGGAAATCCGCGTGGTCGGGCTGGTGACCGCTTACTTTCTCACAACCGTTCCGGGACTCGAACCCCCGGACAGATACGTGAAAGAAGAGTATGTTACCACTATTACACGTAATGGTTACATATCTATATTTGCATGTAATGATGACGTCAGACAGAGTAACCATTATACGTCATGGTTACATATCTATATTTGTATGTAACGATGACGTCAGACAGAGTAACCATTATACGTCATGGTTACATATCTATATTTGTATGTAACGATGACGTCAGACAGAGTAACCATTACAAATATCAGGTATTACAGAGTAATTAAATGTTTTCTTATATCAGATATTTACATGGTTACATAGTAGTTACATGTTTATACATCAAGTATTTATTGGTTAAACAGTAATTATATGTTTATACATTAGGCATTTACATGGCTGCATAGTAATTGTGTGTTAAAACACCAGGTATTTTCGTGGTTACACCGTAATGACATGTTTATATGTATCAATTACTTACATGGTTACACAGTAATTTATATGGTTATCGACATATAGTGTGTAGTATTCTGATAAGATATTTTTGTACATGTATTGTCATTTTGATCTATGCAATGAATTTGCATATTTTTGTACATAGTTCCTGTTGCTGTATGTGTTTATTTTTTACATGTGTATTTTTACTTGTGTGCCTGTATGAATACTTCTGTAAATTGTCCTTATCAGTGAATAGGGTATGCATGTGTGTGTGGTTTCATGTAAGTGTGTCTGTGTGCAAGTCTGGTAATATTTCCACTTTCTGTAATATTTTCATGTCTAGATGGAATCATATTATTGTACATAGAAATTCATTTTAAAGAAAGCTATATTCACTTAGTGACTAAAGAATTTCCATATTGTTTTATAGAATTATTCTATAACAAATCTAGGTACTTCACCATTTTTTATTTTTCCTCTCCATCTATCCTATTATGACATTCCACATAAGAATACTTAGGTGTTTTGTTTATGTGTCCTTTCTCTATATTTTCTTCTTTCTCACCTTTCACCTTTCCTGTCACGACCTATATATATCATCCCTTAAGACTGAGTGTTTTGACAATTACATGTTTAATTTAACTGTGGTTTATTTGACCGATGGTCTCTCTATGTTTAAGTTCTTGTTTGACGATCAAGGGTAATGATCTAGCCCAGTATCGGGCGGCTATCGGTTGTTTCTATCTTCGTATCACTGGTATACCTATTTCACAAAAGTTTTTCATCTATATAGATATGTTTAAGTGTTTTAATGACTGCAGGTTTAGAGTGATATTTATCTTAACAAGATTGTGCTGTTTCATTCATGTCCTTCTTGCTTGTATAACTGATAATTCATGTTTCCTGATAATACTGCATCTCCTTCTACTTGTCTGTAATGATATCCATCCTAACCCTGGCCCCTCTGAAAATAACGATATATCTATCTTTCACCTTAACATCCGTAGTTTGAGGAATAAATTATCTCAATTAGAAAATTTGACATCTGATTTTGATATTGTCTGTGTCACTGAGACTCACCTTGATATATCTATAACGGATGCTGACGTACTCCTAGATGGTTATGAATTATACCGTAAGGATAGGGGATCTCCGGGTGGGGGTATAGCTGTATACACATCCAGGCTCTTGTGCACCCGTCGTAGAGCTGATTTAGAATTTCGGGTGGGTGAAGTTATTTGGACGGAGATCCAGTTTCCAAGGAAGAAATACTTGTTGTGTACTTTATATAGACCTCCGAATATCTCACACGCCTTTTGGAATCACTTTCGACTTTCTCTAGAATCCGCTTTTCATGAAACTACGCATATAGTTGTTGTTGGTGACATTAACGTTGATCTCCTGACCATAGAAAACACACATGCACTTACTGACATTGTTCACTCTTTTCACCTGACCAACGTTATAGACAGCCCGACACGCATTGGACGCACGACTGCTACACTACTTGACCCAATTTTTCTATCTGACACGTGTATTTCTAATTTTTCTGACGTAATTGACATAGATAACGGCCTTTCTGACCATAAAGCGACATCTGTTGAACTGACTGTTGAGACTGCTGTTAGAAGGGCATATGAACGCAAAATTACTTGTTATAGAGAAGCAAATTTTGAACTTTTTAATGACAAACTAAACGACACTGACTGGTTAGATGTATTTACGACGTCGCATTCCCCGGATGATATGTGTGAATCATTTACAAACAGATACCTAGACAACTGTTACTATCCGACCTAACGACAAGCCCTGGTTCAATTCGGAATTACGACGTGAAATTAGCAAAAGAAACAGACTACTAAAAAAAATTAAAACTAACCGCACTCCAGGCAATCTGACTAACTTCCGGAAACAACGTAATCATGTTAATAATTTAAAGAAACGTACTAAAGAAAATTTCTATGCGGACATAAATGGTATTTTAGATCGTTATTCTGACTCGAACCCCAGAAATTTTTGGAAAATTGTCCGCAGACTTCTAAAAACATCTGACTCAACAAATAACATACCTCCCCTTATTAGCAATTTTGGAAATCTTGAAATGACAGTTGAAGGTAAAGCCAATATTCTAAATGATTACTTTGTTTCCATTTCTACCATTGACGATACTGACGTTGACATACCAGAAATAGAGCTACGGACGGACGCTACTCTATCAGATATACCATTTCAATTAGACGACATTACTGACATTCTAAAATCTTCACATGTTAATAAAGCTGTTGGCAGTGATACAATAAGTCACATTATGTTAAAAAATACTGCAGAGTCGATAGCATATCCATTATCTCTAATTTTTAGATCTTCCTTCGATACTGGTATCTTTCCGTCACAATGGAAACTAGCTTTAATTATGCCATTATACAAAAAAGGGAATAAAAATGAGTCTTCTAATTATAGACCAATAGCTCTTCTCAGTACTCTTGGCAAAGTTTTTAAACGTTTGGTTGTAAAATATCTAAATAACCTTTTACTTGATAATTCTTTGATTTTTAAATACCAGTCAGGTTTCCAGCCTGGTCATTCTACTGTTCATCAAATTTTTGAAATTTATCATACATTATGTGAAAATATGGAAAATTTTGAGTCAACATGTTTAGTTTTTTGTGATATTTCTAAGGCGTTCGACAGGGTATGGCACAAGGGACTGAATGTGAAATTAGAAAATCATGGTATATGTGGAAAACTTTTAGTTTGGCTGAACAACTATGTCAGTAACAGAAAACAGCAAGTTTGTGTAGGAAATAGTAAGTCTTCCGTTAAATCTACAAGTTCAGGTGTTCCACAAGGTTCAGTATTAGGCCCCTTACTCTTTATTTTGTATATAAATGATATAGCTGATAACCTTGAAAGTCTTTCTAAACTGTTTGCCGATGATACTTCATTATTATGTTCCGGTACTTCCCTTTGGACATTGAAACTAAAATTAATAACGACCTAGCTAAAATTCAACATTGGGCAGAAAAGTGGCTTGTTAAATTTAATCCCCTAAAAACGGAAGCCTTACTTATTTCAAACATAGAGCATGATCATGTCATAGATATTAAATTTAATAATGTGAGTGTCGATTTTGTTGAACATCATAAACATCTAGGTGTAACTTTAGATGAGAATTGTAAATGGGGTAAACATATAGAAAACATTTGTAAAGATGCATCTAAACAGGTAAGTATCCTACGTAAATTAAAATACATGTTAAAGAGACAAACTTTAGTCAAAATCTATAAGGCTTATATACTTCCATTATTAGAATACTGTTGTGAAGTTTGGGATGGGTGTTCTCTCAGTGATGCAGACAAACTAGAAAAACTTCAGTTTGAATCTATCAGAATTATCACTGGTTTACCCTCTTATACCAGTAGAGAATCACTGTATTCTGAGAGTGGTCTAGAACCATTATCAGAAAGACGCACTAGAAGAAAACTACAGCTTTTCTACAAAATAGTTAATAATCTCACTCCAAATTATCTGTCTACTCTATTGTCCCCTTTAGTATCTGAAAATTCACAATATAACCTCCGTAATGCACAAAATTATTCTTTACTAAATTTCAGACTACAACTAACAAACTTATCTTTCTTTCCGTCCACTATCCGACTTTGGAACCAACTTGAACTTGAACTTAGACAAAGTGTTTCTTACTCTATCTTTAAACATTCTCTTCGACCCACTACACTAGTTCCATATTATTGTTTGCTTGGTAGTCGTAAGGCTGATATACTACACGCTAGGTTAAGAAATAAATCAAGTACCTTAAATAATGACCTTTTCAGATCCAATCTAATAGATTATCGTTTCTGTCAATGTGGACACCCTGTTGAAGATACTTACCACTATTTTTTTGTTTGTAATATTTATTCGGACCAGAGAGCCATTCTGTACCGAGAACTAAATAATTTTATCCCTCTAGACCTGCAGTTACTCCTACATGGTAGTATTATCTACTCATATGAAGATAATGTAAAAATATGTCAAATCACTCGGCAATATATACTTGATTCAAACAGATTTTGATCTTTATCTCTCTATCTACCTCCCTCTATCTCCTTCCGTGATGAATGTAAAAATATTTGGTCTCTCCTTGCTCCGACACAAGTGGTGACGTTTTTTTTTCTGAAGGACCCGGATGCCAGGAGAAAGCGATATTCGCACGGGATGTGATGAACTGTAGAAAAGTTTGAAAGTTATGAAAAGCGTTTTGTATTTTTACTTGTGTTGTTTGTATCAGGAGAGACCGCTCTACATGAAGTTATTTAAACAAACTCTCTCTCTCTCCCCCCCCCCCTCTCTCTCTCTCTCCCCCCCCCCTCTCTCTCTCTCTCTCGTTTTTTGTATATTATAATTGTATTTAAACATGTCGTCTTGTCTTGTTAATATGTATTTTGTAAAATTTTATAGGAAAGGGCTTTATATAAGTTAGAAAACTTGTGCCCAATCCTGCTTGTATACTTTGTACAAATAAAATATGTTTAAATCAAAACCATTACACGTCATGGTTGCATATCTATATTTGTATGTAACGATGACGTCAGAGAGTGCAGCACATGAAATCCACACGGGAAATGTAATTAAGAAACATATACACTTTTGAAATATGAATGACTTCCGGTTACCTATTTTTTCTATGACATTATATCGTTTACCACTGATAAATATCGCTCACCTTTACAGGTTTCCATGTCCCGACTTGTGTCTCCATTTGGAATTTGTACAGACGAAGATATTTTTTTTCGGGAACATGGTGTCAAATACACATTTCAGGTATCAGATAAATTTCTCAACACTTTTCCACGTTTTGCACATTATGCATACATATTCCTCTAAACCCAGGTGCTAGAAGCACTAATTTAATAAATTCCTTTTCCAGCAAACAAATCGACAACAGATTTATCTTTATTGTATTATATAATACATCTCTATTCAATTACCTAATAGGATAAACAACAACAAATACAAAGAATGTGTTTCACATAGACACTACCACTGATTTATCAACAAAGCATGTTCAATCAAAAATACGCTTCGTTGACATTTATATATATGCACCTGCAAGACAAACAATAGTAAACGTTATATAAAAGTTCTTGAAACTATTTCCCCTAAAACTATGTTTTAATATTAAGAATGAATTCGCACAATTTAGACAAAAAAAGAACAAAAGTACGTTTGTCAGCCGCTTCCTGTGTCACCTTAAAGACACATACAAGTAACACGCGGTGTGAATTAGAACGTGCGTATCTCAGATCAACAGACACCGGTTGAAATTATATTCATATTCACTGTAAAAGCACAATATTTCTTCTCCTTTTTGTAATCTGTTATTTAAAATCATTTCTTATAATTGCTTCTGTAGTAAACCACGATTATTTTACCTGTTTCGGACTCTCCCTCTACCGTTTGTTTGTTAGTCCCACCGTCCGGTAGACGCTTCGGATTTATAAACGTTCTATTAACACTGATGTTAAAATAGGGAACGCACGCTGTTTCCGGTCTTAGACTATAAGAGCAGGTGCGAACTAGGCGAAAGGCCGTAATAGTGGACTCGTTTAATAAATAAACAGATCAGGCTAGTGGGCTTTACTTTATACGTAAGAACATCAAACACAATGGTGAAGTTTAGGTCCCACAAAGAAAGTCTAAGATTTAGCGATAAAAAGTTAAAACATATAAATATGATTATACTTGATAAAATCAGAATAAATATGGATTTGTTATTAAATAAATACATATACATAAAAATAAAATTCTATTCATAACACGTTGACATGTATTTGATCAGACCTGTCTGTGGATGTGTAAGGCCAGAGAAGTGATGACGTCATGTGGATGTTTGGGCCCACATGCTCATGACAACCTCTTAAGGACAAATATTGATTCTGACGTCAGATTGTGTGAAACTCGCAGAGGTAAGTGTGATAAGTAAGTAACCAAGTACTATACGTGTCACCTACAAACGTACCGCACACAAAGACACGAGCCATATACAAAATAACACAGATAAAGGTCACGCACAAAGATATGTGTCACACACAGATAAATGTCACAAACAAAGATATGTGTCACACACAAATAAATGTCACAAACAAAGATATGTGTCACACACAGATAAATGTCACGCACAAAGATATGTGTCACACACAGATAAATGTCACGCACAAAGATACGTGTCACAGTAAAATGTCACAAACAAAGATACGTGTCACACACAGATTATTATCACAAACAAAGAAATGTGTCACACACAGATAATTATCACAAACAAAGATATGTGTCACACACATAAATATCACTCACAAAGATGCGTGTCACACTGCCACACACAAAGATGCGTGTCACACTGTCACACAATTTTTTTTATCACAAACAAAGATGATTGTCACACTGCCACACACAAATATCTGTCACACACAAAATGAGTATCGACAACAAAGGTAAGCGTGGAACTGATTAAGACACATGTCTTACAGAGACACGAGTATGACTCACAAATCTTTGTGTCTAACAGAATTATGGTTTTAACGGACAAACTTCTCATGAAACTTGAGGTAGATTTACTGTTATTCTTTTTTATTTAATTTTAGTAAACAAGGCGACACACCTGATTTGGGATATAATAAGTTCTATACTATTTATATTACATGATGTAGACATTATGACTTAAATATCATGTGTGTCACTTTTGTTACAGAGAAGAGATGTGCCAGTAAGCTTGCTCAGAGATTTCGTGCTAAAACACTACAATGTGACTGTCCTCAAGCTTGCAAGTAAGTTCCGTTGTTCGCTAATTAGACGTGTTTTGCACATTTAGTCCACCGACTTCTCTATGCAACATTTCAAGAGGAGAACTCCAAGCAAAAGATCTTTTTTTATATAATGTTTTAAGGACATCTGAACACGAACACACACGCACGCACACACGCACGCACGCACGCATGCACACGGTACACACAATTCTGATCTATTTCTAAGAGAAATCGTTCAATTCTTATCTCAGATAAATCGTCAAATTTAATCCATTTCTGAGATAAAACGACCAATGAAAACAGAATCGGATGTTCTACACATCTTGACCTCGGTTTTTTTTCAGGGAAAATAAATACACGAAGTTTATCAGCACACATCAATATCCAACCAACGAGTATTTGGTACGTACAGTGTCGTAATTGTTGTCTTGTTTACACGTGGTGTACAGATGACACGTGACTTTTAGTTCACACAACCACTATCGTGGCAATTACATTGTGCTCACAATTTATAGTTCATGAATTGTATCTAATTCTTTTGCTTTTTATGAATGATAAACTATAACTTTACTCAACTAATCTCTTAGTTTTGAATTTAAGATTTCAGAAAGGGGAGGTCCAAATTTTAAATTGTCGCGGGAAGGGTTAAAAAAAACCCACCCCATAAAGAGCGTATTGCAATAATTGAAGATGAAAAAATGGAACTTTTTTTGTGTTTGTGTTTGATTTCCAATTTTCTGATATCTGAAATCTAAAGGAATGTGACTGGGAGTTCGTCGTATCTTTTCTACAGACATTGTTAATGGGTATATGTCTCGGCTATTGTCAGTGTTCGCACGTGCTTCCTGATCAGCGTGAAAATAAAATCCATTATAATGAATTTTTGAGCCAAGCTGATGATATTTGACAATATAAGATTTTTTAACATTTACATGGTTATGGCACAAAGCTATCCAGAAGCACTTGTGATTTAAGGTACGATAAATGAAATGTGGGGCATGGCCATCAGGACGCCATCATTGTTTGCAATGGAAACGACACCAGTTGACGGATTTCACTGTCGATGACGAATGTTTACTCTAGTTTTAACCAGGGGTTTAATGGCCCATGACCGCAGCATGTACACCGGCATGTTAAACATTTACACAATAATCACTTAATGTCCTTATTTCACCTTATTATAATGCAGATAAGGCAGGGTTATCTACTCTTGTGAGCAAGCATTGATAGTGACGTCATTTGTTTGTGAGAGTGACGTAATGAGAAAACGACTTAATTTTTCTCGCACAACTTAATGATGTAACAAGCAATGCCTGCTCATAACAGAAGATAACTCTGCATTGCGAAAAGACTGAGTAAACGACTGAATTTTACAAGCAACCTATTCTTCATCAAGGTTACTTCCCTTCGTTTTATCTTATGGCCAATAATTAAGCTTAAGAAAACATTCCATCGGCAATAATGTGTCATCTACAACAACAAAAAATGTCATGACAGGCCTTTAATCATTTGAATTTTGCCTGGAATTATTGTAACTTCTGTGACTCCCTGGAACTTCGTAAAGTTTGTCTTTTGTCCTCGTTACTTGTGATTATTCCTGTTGACCTGTCTGTCGACCTCTTCACGTGTGAGTATTCCTGTTGACCTGTCTGTCGACCTCTTCACCTGTGATTATTCCTCTTGACCTGTCTGTCGACCTCTTCACCTGTGATTATTCCTGTTGACCTGTCTGTCGACCTCTTCACCTGTGATTATTCCTGTTGACCTGTCTGTCGACCTCTTCACCTGTGATTATTCCTGTTGACCTGTCTGTCGACCTCTTCACGTGTGAGTATTCCTGTTGACCTGTCTGTCGACCTCTTCACCTGTGATTATTCCTGTTGACCTGTCTGTCGACCTCTTCACCTGTGATTATTCCTGTTGACCTGTCTGTCGAACTCTTCACCTGTGATTATTCCTGTTGACCTGTCTGTCGACCTCTTCACCTGTGATTATTCCTGTTGACCTGTCTGTCGACCTCTTCACCTGTGATTATTCCTGTTGACCTGTCTGTCGACCTCTTCACCTGTGATTATTCCTGTTGACCTGTCTTTCGTCCTCTTCACCTGTGATTATTCCTGTTGACCTGTCTTTCGTCCTCTTCACTTGTGATTATTCCTCTTGACCTGTCTTTCGTTCTCTTCACCTGTGATTATTTCTATTGACCCGTCTTTCGTCCTCTTCACCTGTGATTATTCTTCTTGACCTGTCTTTCGTCCTCTTCACCTGTGATTATTCCTGTTGACCTGTCTTTCGTCCTCTTCACCTGTGATTATTCCTGTTGACCTGTCTTTCGTCCTCTTCACCTGTGATTATTCCTGTTGACCTGTCTTTCGTCCTCTTCACCTGTGATTATTCCTGTTGACCTGTCTTTCGTCCTCTTCACCTGTGATTATTCCTGTTAACATGTCTTTCGTCCTCTTCACCTGTGATTATTCCTCTTGACCTGTCTTTCTTCCTCTTCACCTGTGATTATTCCTGTTGACCTGTCTTTCGTCCTCTTCACCTGTGATTATTCCTATTGATCTGTCTTTCGTCCTCTTCACCTGTGATTATTCCTGTTGACCTGTCTTTCGTCCTCTTTACCTGAATGTGATCGTCAAGAAAATGTAAAGAAAATGTGTGTTGTTCTATAATATAACCTACAACATACAGTGGTAGTCTTTTCCATGTGTTGTATGTAAAAATCATTGTAATGAAACAAAATATCTTGAACTTTGAATTTGCGTACTGGTAAAGCATTCCATTTTCATTTCGCCGTCCGGGATTAATTCTCCGATCGGGAACAGGTGAGTATGATGTGCTCACTTATCCGCAAAGGAGGGGTTTTCCCAGTGTTCTCCAGTGTCCTCAATATGTAAGGTCCTCTCGCATACGCTTCAGTGTGTGGTATCACGTGTGGTAGATGTGGTGTGTTGATTTGACCTGTAATATAATCAACTGTTTCAGTACATGTTGCTACAAGGTGTTTGTGAAGGCGACAGACTGCATTGCACTGAGATGAAGAGACAACTTAGCGATCCACGGCTATTGAGGTAACTACTGTGAAAATCTCACTCCGGACTCCGGTAACCGGACATCAAAAATTATACACCATAATTTTCTTTATTAATGAACAACCATATTATTATGTCTTTAAGAAACAGTATAATTCTATGTACTAACTGTGTCGATCTAAAGAATAAATCACACCTCAACAATCCGGACACTCATTATTCGAACACTCCTTATCCGGACAGTCACTCTCCAGGTACTCATAAACCGAACACTCTAATGCTAAAATTTTGTCAAAAACAGCAAACAACAACAGTAAAACGGCAACAAACAACAGCAAACAGCTGCAAACAACACCAGTAAAACAGCAACAAACACCAGCAAACACCAGTAAACAATGGCATCAAACAGCAGCAGAAGTTTGAATTTTTATCATCTCTACATATTTAAATAAATAAAAATTTAATTTTGTAAGTGAAGAATGTAAATGGAATAAATTTATGCTTTTTGCAAGTAAAATGATAATAATTTGTGAGTAAAGCCTGTAAAAATGCAAAATATCAACAATACACACCAAAATGCCCCATACATGTAATATACCATGTACTCTTGTACTTAATCTGTATGTAATTCTTTTTTTTCAGTCTGAACTTTCTAAAACTTGTGGTGTATTACGAGGACCTGAATTACGAACATATAAAGGAGACTCCGGAAATTGAGGTCAGTTAAACCAAATAATTTCTCTTGGTAAATTATGCATTATTTATCTCATAAATGCATTATTTATCTCAAAATGAAGGAGATAAAGACAGTAAAAATGTTTCACTTCTATACGAGATATTACGATTTACCTCCCTTCGATTGGTGCAAGAGAAAGTGTAAGGAAGGACAACTCTTAATTGAAAATTTATCTGTGTGATTCAATAGTTTTAAATACATTAAAACTATACTGATTTATTAAACAATAGTTTTACAGGTTAGGTGAACATTATAAAAAAATCTTTGATTAAGAAGTATACATGGTACAAATCTCAAAATAGCATACAAGCGTATGAAATTAGTACAGGGCACTAAAGATACCATACGTATGTCACTAGTACAAAGTACAGATCACAAAGATATCATACGTATGTCACTAGTACAAAGTACTGATCACAAAGATATCATACGTATGTCACTAGTACAGAGTAGTACAATAGTACAGAGTACAGATCACAAAGATATCATACGTATGTCACTAGTACAGAGTACTGATCACAAAGATATCATACGTATGTCACTAGTACAGAGTACTGATCACAAAGATATCATACGTATGTCACTAGTACAGAGTACTGATCACAAAGATATCATACGTATGTCACTAGTACAGAGTACTGATCACAAAGATATCATACGTATGTCACTAGTACAGAGTACTGATCACAAAGATATATACGTATGTCACTAGTACAAGATATACGTATGTCACTAGTACAGATCACAAAGATAGTATGTCACTATACGTATGTCACTAGTACAGAGTACTGATCATAAAGATATCATACGTATGTCACTAGTACAGAGTACTGATCATAAAGATATCATACGTATGTCACTAGTACAGAGTACAGATCACAAAGATATCATAGGTATGTCACTAGTACAGAGTACTGATCACAAAGATATATGTATGTCACTAGTACAGAGTACTGATCACAAAGATATCATACGTATGTCACTAGTACAGAGCACTGATCACAAAGATATCACGCGTATGTCACTAATACAGAGTACTGATCACAAAGATATATGTATGTCACTAGTACAGAGTACTGATCACAAAGATATACGTATGTCACTAGTACAGAGTACTGATCACAAAGATATGATCACAAAGATATACGTATGTCAATAGTACAGACTACTGATCACAAAGATATACGTATGTCACACTGATCACAAAGATATACGTATGTCACAAAGATATCATACGTATGTCAGTACAGAGTACTGATCACAAAGATATATGTATGTCACTAGTACAGAGTACTGATCACAAAGATATACGTATGTCACTAGTACAGAGTACTGATCACAAAGATATCATACGTATGTCACTAGTACAGAGTACTGATCACAAAGATATACGTATGTCACTAGTACAGAGTACTGATCACAAAGATATATGTATGTCACTAGTACAGAGTACTGATCACAAAGATATACGTATGTCACTAGTACAGAGTACTGATCATAAAGATATACGTATGTCACTAGTACAGGGCACTGATCACGAAGATATACATATGTCACTAGTACAGAGCACTGATCACGAAGATATACATATGTCACTAGTACAGAGCACTGATCACAAAGATATACGTATGTCACTAGTACAGAGTTCAGGTCACAAAGATAGCATACGTATGTCACTAGTACAGAGCACTGATTACAAAGATATACGTATGTCACTAGTACAGAGTACTGATCACAAAGATATCATACGTATGTCACTAGTACACAGTACTGACCACAAAGATATACGTATGTCACTAGTACAAAGTACAGATCACAAAGATATACGTATGTCACTAGTACAGAGTACTGATCATAAAGATATCATACGTATGTCACTAGTACAGAGTACTGATCACAAAGATATACGTATGGCACTAGTACAGAGTTCAGATCACAAATATATACGTATGTCACTAGTACAGAGTACTGATCACAAAGATATACGTATGTCAATAGTACAGAGTACAGATCACAAAGATAGCATACGTATGTCACTAGTACAGAGCACTGATCACAAAGATATCACACGTATGTCACTAGTACAGAGTACTAATCACAAAGATATATGTATGTCACTAGTACAGAGTACTGATCACAAAGATATACGTATGTCACTAGTACAGAGTACTGATCACAAAGATATCATACGTATGTCACTAGTACAGAGTACTGATCACAAAGATATCATACGTATGTCACTAGTACAGAGTACAGATCACAAAGATATACGTATGTCACTAGTACAGAGCACTGATCACAAAGATATCACAAAGATATCATACGTATGTCACTAGTACACAGTACTAATCACAAAGATATACGTATGTCACTAGTACATAGTACTGATCACAAAGATATCATACGTATGTCACTAGTACAGAGCAGTGATCACAAAGATATCACACGTATGTCACTAGTACAGAGTTCTGATAACAAAGATATCTGTATGTCACTAGTACAGAGTACTGATCACAAAGATAGCATACGTATGTCACTAGTACAGAGCACTGATCACAAAGATATCATACGTATGTCACTAGTACAGAGTACTGATCACAAAGATATCATACGTATGTCACTAGTACAGAGTACTGATCACAAAGATATACGTATGTCACTAGTACAGAGTACTGATCACAAAGATATACGTATGTCACTAGTACAGAGTACTGATCACAAAGATATACGTATGTCACTAGTACAGAGCACTGATCACAAAGATATACGTATGTCACTAGTACAGAGTACTGATCACAAAGATATACGTATGTCACTAGGACAGAGCACTGATCACAAAGATATCATACGTATGTCACTAGTACAGAGCACTGATCACAAAGATATCATACGTATGTCACTAGTACAGAGCACTGATCACAAAGATATACGTATGTCACTAGTACAGAGTACTGATCACAAAGATATACGTATGTCACTAGTTTAAGTTGGATATGTTACTTTTTCACGATTTTACGATGTGGAATTTCAATTAATAGGGTTATCTGTTCTGTTTTTAGTCTAACTGTTATCACCAGCAACATTATTGCTGTTAAATGAAACTTTTGCGAAAAAGATATCACAGCGAAACTTCAATGTTCCGCTGAAATATGGATATTGGAACTTTTTCATTTAAAAAAAATCGGACCTTATGCCTCATTCGGTGTTGAATATCATCTTGGTCATGCCAAGAAATAGTCGACGCTTATCAAATTATTTATTTTTTGTATGTGACTTTTCGTGAATGATAAATAAAATTTATAACTGAATTCAAGAGAAAATGATTATAAGTCAAATATACACTGTGAGCTATGTTATTTAGTCACCTTTTCTGTTTCCTTGTTAGGACGCCCAGTTCCTGTCAGATGTGGGCGGGGCACTTGGGTTATGGATCGGACTCTCACTGCTCAGCGTATTTGAAGTCCTTCAGCTTATTGTGGAACTGGTTAACTTGATAATATTTAAGCAACCTGCAGAACGGTCGCGAAAAAACTCTTGTCTATAACGACCACACAAACATCCATGTCTATAGTGACTACATTAACACTCCCGAGGATAAGGACGACACAAACGCACTTGTCTATAACGACGACATAAACGCTCCATTCCATAACAAATGTATCAAAACTCCTGAGTATACCGACCACAAAAACGCTCCTGGCTATATCGACCACACAAACGCTCCTGTCTATAACGACCTCACAAACGTTCCTGGTTATAACTACCACACAAACGCTCCTTTCTATAGCGAAGACACAAACGCTCCTTTCTATAACGACCAAAAAAACGCTCCTGTCTATAACGACCAAACAAACGCTCCTTTATATAACGACTACAAAAACGCTCATGTCTATAACAATCACACAAACGCTCCTTTCTATAACGACTACAAAAACGCTCATGTCTATAACAATCACACAAACGCTCCTTTCTATAACGACTACAAAAACGCTCCTGTCTATAACGATCACACAAACGCTTTTGTCTATAACGACCACACAAACGCTCATTTCTATAACGACTACAAAAACGCTCCTGTCTATAACGATCACACAAACGCTTTTGTCTATAACGACCACACAAACGCTCATTTCTATAAGGACAGCATAAACGCTCCTGTCTATAACGATCACACAAACGCTTTTGTCTATAACCACCACACAATCGCTCTTGTCTATAACGACCACACAAACGCTCCTGGTTATAACGATCTTAGAAAAACACTCCTGTCCATAACCACCACACAATCGCTCTTGTCTATAACGATCTTGCAAACACTTCCGTTTATGACGACCATACAAACGCTTTTGGTAATAACGATCTTGCAAACACTCCCGTGTTTAACGACCACACAAACGCTCCGGTCTATAACAACTTCACAAAGGCTTCTTTCTACAACGACCATACAAACGCTCCTTTCTATAACGACCACACAAACGTTCCTGTCTATAACGACCATTCAAATGCCTACAATGGCCATACAAACATACCTGTATATAACAACCACAAAAACCTTCCATTTAATAGACACATAAGTATATATAATAAACACTCAAACACACCTGTATATAACGACCACACCAACACTGATGTACTCTTGACTATAAGCGTAAACGTCATTTCATTGAAGCAATATACAACAATTAGAGTTTTCAACGAAAATGTAGTTTGTCAAAATTCGGAGAAAAAAAACCTTACAAGCAAATACATGTGAGAGTCATGCGAGGGTTGTTAATGAGGTGGTGTATAGTGAGAAACGGACAAGTTTACTTTATCAACATTAATTGTTTAAATATAAACAATGCAAGTTTTATGAACCTATTTATTTCAATCGGTAGGTTTTCGTATTTTAATTAAATTACATAACAAAGACTACATATATTACTGTACTCTGTCTTCATCTCATTTTCGCATTTCAAAATAATTAAAAATATTGTAAAATGAAATATGATTAAGATGTAATATTGAACCTGTTTTACTCGATGGTTGGTGTTGTGCTGCTGGTGATGATGTTTACTTGCTTAGAGTCAATTATTGATTAAACATTTTGTATAGAATACATATTTTTTTCGTCGTATGCTACCAGTGGCCGTCTATAGAAATCTAAATATTTAACTGTGAGGTAATTTCTTGTGTTTTTCTCACATGTGACATCTCTAATTGTGACATATGATTCTTGTGTTTTTCTTACATGTGACATCTCTAATTGTGACGTATGATTCTTGTGTTTTTCTTACATGTGACATCTCTAATTGTGACGTATGATTCTTGTGTTTTTCTTACATGTGACATCTCTAATTGTGACGTATGATTCTTGTGTTTTTCTTGCATGTGATATCTCTAATTGTGACGTATGATTCTTGTGTTTTTCTTACATGTGACATCTCTAATTGTGACGTATGATTCTTGTGTTTTTCTTACATGTGACATCTCTAATTGTGACGTATGATTCTTGTGTTTTTCTTACATGTGACATCTCTAATTGTGACGTATGATTCTTGTGTTTTTCTTACATGTGACATCTCTAATTGTGACGTATGATTCTTGTGTTTTTCTTACATGTGACATCTCTAATTGTGACGTATGATTCTTGTGTTTTTCTTACATGTGACATCTCTAATTGTGACGTAATATTCTTCTGTTTTTCTTATTTGTGTAATCATTAACTATAATGCAATATTCTTGTTTTCTCTGACCTGGGTCATCATTGGTTGTGACATAATATTATTGTGCTTACGTCATCGTTAATTAAGATATAATATTATTGTGTTTTCTTACTTTTTTCATCATTTAATTTTTGTTTATTTTGAACATTTCCGTGCAGCCCGTTTCTCCAAAAACCAAACCAAATTATAATTCGAGCGCCTGCATCTCAACAAACTTGTACATGTGCACTTGAAAACCGGAACACGAACAATGCAGCCGGATATGTATCTACAACTGCGTGGCTATACTATCACAAATTTTGTCACACATTTCCACTCTAAATTTCCACTGAAGTATTTCAAATGCGCTTTCGTAGATAGTTATAAAATTGTATACAAATAATTTATATATCACAAAGACAATAAGGGGGTCTTATTGGTAGATAGTATGTATAAACATACATGACTGCACGTGCGGGTGTCGTCAGAATCACAATTCTTAATCAGGGTCGACGAAATGATGGGGTAATATATCGACCAATAAAAAAGACTTACACGAAAGAAAATTTATTTTATGGTGTGAAAACTTGTACATAAGTGTGTATTGGTAAAGACCCTAAAACAAAGGGGGTAAATCCTGTGAGATAATTCATGATACACGAAAATGATACCAGAGACGATTATGATAGCTGTCACCGAGGTACAATAATTTCCAGAATGGCGTCAGCTGGAAAATATCGACCATCCTCCCATTAGTTTTTGAAGAGTTATTTTCTCGTGCGGTCGAGTTCATCTTTATTGTCAATAGGGGCTTACAGAATTGGTACAATGGACATTGCGTTCAGGCGAACACGTGTTACCTCTGTTTCTTTGTGGCAACAGCTCGCAAAAACTGCAGTAGCACCGCTACGTATAGCAGCAACACATGTCGGCTTTGGCCATCACTTATACTATTGATTGGTTCTGGGGTAAAATACCCGCTTGTGTGCATGGTGGTAAATCCTGACAAGATATCGATAAATAATTGTGTGTGTGTGTGTGTGTGTGTGTGCGTATGAGGTGCGTGTGTGTGTATGTGCGTGTGTGTTTGTGTGAGTGTTTGCGCGCGCGCGTGTGTGTGTAAAGTGCCTGTATCGCGGACTTGGATATGAACGTGATCTGTGCTTAGTGCAACATTTCAAATGAAAATCCATTGCTTTGACATTCTTTCTAAAAACTCTGATACCACAGGAGGACCAATCCGGTACCTAAGTAACAGCCTTAGTAATAAATAAATTTCGTCACGTAAACTTTTTTCCCGAAGAGAAAAACATATAAGTATATTGTCAGGAACATGTAACAGGTTATATCATATTTTAATACGTCACATCAATTTTCCATTAAAAGTTCTTCAAAATAACACAAGTTAGGTTTTACATGTTAAACAATTGCGAGTAAAAAGTTTCTTCAGTTAAAAATTTGTTTCCTAACAAAAAATCTACCTATCATAAGACTCCGCGACAAAATCTAGACTTTATCGAAATACATCCGATTATTCTTGCGAATTTGCTGTTTGATGTATTGTGAAACATATACGTTCCTGTGCTCTACATTTGCTGGATTTTTTTCCTGAAACATTTGAAATATCTAATGAAGGGTCGTGACATGACAACCAGCTTGACCAATAGTACAAAGTACGGTCATTTTTCACAATAAACGCCATTACGGTATCTTATTTCCTGCTGACCGGATCAACTGGAAACACCAGTCTGGTATAAAAGTTAACCGCTCTGTGTGGCAGTCTCACAAAGTAACTGATAACATAATGTTGTCATGATGTGGACTTGCGCAAGACTACCTGGCTTCGTGAAGTTTCGTGATTATTCATAAATTATCGTATGCTTGTGACCGAGGGGCACACACATCTTACATTTCATGAACATTAAGTCTGTAAACGACGGAGTTTTTGTCTAACACTAAAATAATTTCATCCAGAGTCATAATACATCTGACTTTGGTGTAAATCACTGACTTTGAAATTTGATGTCACAAATATAATAAAAGCCTTTGTTACTAAAAGACATGTGAAATGTGTTTGTTAAAACGTTTTACAGAACAAAAAAGTTCAGAATTCACATCTTTATATATCCCGGTTACAAACAAGTTAAATAGGTGTATTGATCGCAGTATCAGCTCTTGTGTCTTAAAACGTACGACAAATAAAACGTGCTTGCCTTAAGGTAGGTTGATTCTAGTCCTCGCTTTCTGTTGAATTAAACATGTAACATTATTGATATTCTAAACAAACCCAGCGGACCTGATTTTGATTGTTTTAGGTTTCACACAAGGACTTGGTACATACTCAGTTTTGATGTTTCACACAGGGACTTGGTACATACTCGGTTTTGATGTTTCACACAGGGACTAGGCACATACTCGGTTTTGATGTTTCACACAGGGACTAGGCACATACTCGGTTTTGATGTTTCACACAGGGACTTGGCACATACTCGGTTTTGATGTTTCACACGGGTACTTGGCACCACTTCCCTAACCCATGGTATGCAAATATATGTATATATTAATCAAAGGGTTTTAATTCGTGCCAAATCCCTGTGTGTTTTGTTCCAGTGACGTATACATGGTATTAGGAACTCCACTGAGGTTATCTATTGGATGACAAGGAGTGTTATCAGTCAAACTCCGTCAAACAGCCATACGTCTACAGACTGATACAAGTTGATCTACATACGGACAACCACGTGGAGATTATTACGGACAATTCTGGACCTAAATGAACAAGTCAAGCGACATATTAAGGAGAATGATGCCCGATTTTTCGCCTCAGTTTTAAGTAAATGAGTAAATTAATCCAGTCGGT